GGAAAAAACAAAACAAAACACAAAAAAATAAAACCACCCCACAAACAAAATAACCAACCAACCAAAAAAAATCCAAAACAACCACACCATACTAATGAATAGCTCATGTCTTTTGGAAAAAAACCACTTATCTTCCTCAGATCCATAGGACACTTGAAAGGAAGAGAAACATGTCAACATTATATTCTTTCAATTACTTCAGTTTTTTAATGGTTTAAGCCTTGAGGTTGTGGATGATCTGCCACTGTCCCTTGACAGACACATTCATTTCCCTTGTGCCAGTGGATCCCAGGAGGACTAACAATTGGAAAATTCAAAGGAAACAGGATTGGCAGGCCTTGCAGAGATCCATGTGACTGAGATTAACACAGAGAGGAACACCCTCGTACCTGGGTTTGCTGCTGAAGGACCCAGGAAGGCTCAAAACTCCTAAAGTATGAGAGTGATAATGTGATGGGATTCTCCACCCCTCTTCCATGGGTTGCATTTCCTGAATATGTCTAGAAATGACTCAAAATTATGTGATGATCCATACTTTGCATACCCTAAAATACCTTTAGTGCACCAAAAAGGTGTGAAAGTAATAAAAGCTAGAAGCAGAATTCCCAAACCACTCGGGAAAATCCCATGCAGTGTTTCTTAGCTTGAAGTAAGCTCATTAATTTGGAGTGGGATTCCTTCTAGTTTAACTAGCCATCTAAGATTAGTTGGCTAGGGCTGAGCCAGTCACTGCAGGATGCCCAGCATCAGTGGAAAGCAATGCACACCCCCAGGAGATGCAATGAGTCACAAACACAGCGATGCTTTTTTCCAGAGCGCCCGTCCAACAATGTGCACTTCAGGAACCCTGAGCCAGCGTTTGCAGCTTTGTGTTAAAACCTGTCAAGGGCTCCTTTGCGGAGCTCTTTCCTCTGTTAAAGCTGAGCACGTTCTCCTGCCCTGTCTTTCCTAGCTTGCAATGTGCTATTTACCCTCAGTAAGCCCTTTCTTCTGATCCCATAAGTGCTCACTCCTTTGAGAATTTACTGATTTCTTTTGCAAAGCCATGTGGTCAATCTCAACCTTTGTCCATATTAACTGATCCTTTCAAGGATTTTCAGGCTGCTTCTAAGGCGTGACATCCCTTCAAAAGCTAAGCCAATTCTTCCACAGCGTATTTATTCAGGCTTAAACTACTATCTCATTTATTACTGCGCCTATCATTTTTCCAAGTCTGAACCAATCAGCACTTTTCTTAAGCTCACCAGTATCTTTCTGGAAAAGACATTCACTATATATTAGACAGTGCTCTCATGCTCACAGGACAAGAGGACTCCAAGTAGCAGCTTAGCTACTTCAGTCTTTGGTGGACATTACCTAGCCTAAATTACCTTATCTCGTTGGTTTGGTCTATAAAGCTTCAAATCAGTGTTGCTTAAAGTCACATCCCCTCTCCTGATAAGCAAACCAGAGTTCCTCAATATTTCATATTTAGAAGCCTGTTTTCCTCATCCCCACTGGTGTCTTTCATGCTTTGATATTTAAAGTTATAGAGATATTTCTTTATCAAGTGAACTCACTGTCTTTAAAAATAGCCCAGACACTGCAAACTCTTTCAAAGATCCCTAGGTTCCCATTGTTCTGCCTAAAGAACAGAAAGATCTTAGAGGTCTTTTCCACCTTAAATTATTCTGTGACTCTAAGACTTGGGAGAGCCAGGATCAAGCCCCAAAAAGAAGAGGGGGAAAAAAAAAAAAAAAATGGTACTGCATAATTTTCCAGTTCGTGTAAAGATCATCATGACCCCTACAAAAAGCTCCACATCAGCTTTCCCTGAGGACAAAGCTATCACCACTCCATCTGCCTCCTCTCAGAAGAACAAATAGTATTGTAAATGCTGACAGGGCCTGATTTATAGGTTGAGGTTTTTACTCATATTCAACTATCCAAGTGCTAATAACACATGTATTAACACTTTCATACTTACTCAGCCAGGATTCCAGCTAAGTTACACAATTCACCTTCATCATGCTTTCCTATACCCTTCCAATAGAGAAATACAGTTTGAGCACCCCAAAATGCAATTCAGACTATTTAAACCATCTCAGTTGATCAAAACAACTAATAAATTATGAAAAAACAACCCCTGAAGTTCCTTTAGCTTCAGGTCAGACACTACTTCATTTGCAACAGCAAAACTCCAAACAATTCTTTAGCAGAGGACTTAAAAATACCTCAGTACTAACAACCACCCAGCATTTTTCTGCAAGTTACACAGAATTTAAGGTGCTGCTGCATCCATTTCTGAAGAGCTCCCTTTTCCTTTGCAATGTTCCTGTTTTTAGGAAATGTAAGGTTTTTATTTTCCACAGACACGAGTAACCTACCTGCACCGTTTAAAAAGAAAAGCAAATAAGCCAACCATCTCCTCCACCTCCGTGTCTGCAAACATGTTATTCAAATTCATCAGAGAAAACAAGCTTCAATAGGAAAGCACATTTTCTTTCTTGTGTAAAAGCCTACTCACCTTGCACAAGCCTGTAACCCTTCTAATATCACCCCACCCCAGCCAGAGCAAGCATCTAGCTAAATACCTCTACTCCAGGGTGAGCTCAGGTGCCACCCAACAGCCTGAGGATGGGAAACACCTGGAAGCAGTTAGGGCAGCTGGTGTGCAGGGAATGAAGCAATGCTCAGTTTCCCTCGCTGTGGTCGTTCACGGAACATTAAGAGCAAGTGCTCAGCAATGTGTCTGCTTGCCACACGCTTGGGAGGAACACAGCTAATGCTAGAGCCCCTGTCTCATGTGGGGTGCTGGCAGCCCTGTCAGAGCTGTGGCAACCACGGGTCCAAACCCTGCTGCTCACTATGGTATGGCATAGCTGCTTGCATCAGTTTGTTTTTATGAAATGCATTAGTTTTTAAATTAAGATTTAAGAGAAACTCATTCATATGATTTTGTAAAGAGATGTGCTGGAGGCAAAGTCTGAATTACTGTCATTGATTGCATTAGCATGTAAGAAGCTCACAATATACCTTAACTGAAGCTGAGGATGCCTAGACCGGGAGGTATCATTAGATCACTACAGATTTCATCTGCAGATTGCAGAAAATTTGTGGAAACTTTCCCATTTTGAAAGCAACAGAACAGAAAGGCAGAGAGCTGAAAATGAAAAAGAAGCCTAGAACTGAGCCAGCTTTTCCAAGTGCTAAATATACATTATTCACTTAACAGTATGGTTCCCATAGCCACAGGCTGTCCAACCCTTCTTCCCAGCCCATCACCTCAGCTCCTTCACCGTGCAGGACAACCACAGAATACACAGGTATAGGAGTCTGGGCCACACTGAGTTGTAATTGACTCATGGTCACCTAACAGGCTGATGAATTTATGATCAACTCCTGTTGTTAAAAGGAAGGTAATAAAAGGGCGAAAAACTCATCTCCAATGATGAGGTTAAATTCTCATGCAACTGAATGAGGTGGGGAAGTACTTGTAGGGCTGATCCTTCATCTCCCATTTATGCTGGTACCAAAGAAGAAATGCTTTTCAGCTACAGAAAAATGGATATTGAATACCACTAATTTATTTTCAAAAATAGTTCACTAAAACTGAGCTGCCTATCACTTATCCATGTGTTCACAATATGCCTTTTCCATGAAATGCTGCAGATTCCTCCTTGGGTCATAGAGGTATAGAGCATCCATTATTTATTTTCAGACTTTTGTCAGTGTAAACTTTGTATTACAGGCAAAAGAATTTTGAAAATTCTCTTAGTATCAATCTAAAGCACTTAATTTTTGGAAGAAGTTAATTAAGGTATAACATCTGGAGGCAGATTTAAGCTTTTTCACTGAATCTCTAGTCCTATTTAATTTACCATTAATTTGGTTTCTGACACTGGATGATTCTCTCCAGCCAATAAATGAACTTTCCCACTTTCCCACTTCCATCCTCCCCCATTTTGCAATCACTAGCAAGTCACAGTAATCTGCTTTGTCCTTGAGTTAGCTGGCATTGGATTTCTCAGAGGCTGGTCACCCCTCTAATATTTCTATAAAATTACAATGTAGCCATACAAAGATTCCATAAAGTTGCATAATTAATGAAGCATTAAAAAGATATTTGAGCTAAGACTGCAATATAAAAGGTGCTTTAAGTAGGTGCCAACACTAGCTCCTGTGTAGGTAGGTTGCTCTTGGGATACAAAGAGCACCCTTGCAAAGGAGTGAGATTTGTCCTCCCCACACATCCTTTGAACATCAGTCTCATGGTTAAAAAAAAATGCACCAAGAATATTCCACTGGGCGCCACCACCTCTCTGTCAAATTATCCATGCAAGTTCCCAAATTCTATCCTTTTCCTTTCTCCTGCTTACAAGTAGAGTTATTTCAGCTATCATTTGTAAATATTGAAAACTATCTAAGGGTGTTGGGGGTTTCAAAAAGCACCAAAATCATTCTGATATATTTTAGTGTTCTAGGAAAGCAGTCACTGGATGAACAGAAGCAACAGGAGAGGTGAAAAATGGAAAGATAAAACAGTGCAGCAGAGACTGATGCTTCAGTTGTCAGTAAACACTTGTGCTGATTCCCAAGCCAGGTAGGACTGGTTGGTCATGGCTTTCCACAAACCTTTGTACAACTCTGTGTTGAAGGAAATCCTGATACAAATGGATTTTGATTGATTCAATTATCTTTGAGTATTATTTTATCTGGCCAAGTCCTACACAAGTCTTTCTGATATTATTTGAAAGTTCTAGAGATTCTGTCATTACTTACCACAGCATCTATCCAGCCATGCTACAGCACTCCCATTTGAAGCTGCACCTTTTTTTCCAGTGAAATTGAGCTGTTAGGTATCCTTTCAATGAATCCATGCATGGCTAGAATGTTTCACTGACTAACAGAGCAAGTGAATTACTCTATGCATTTTATACATGGTACGTAAAAGACACAGTTTAATATGGAGAAAATAATTGTCAACACACAATAATTACATATAATCTCATATGCTCTGATATGTGCAATTTAGTGTTTTATTAAACAAATACAGTAGCTAACCAAAATCAGATAGCTGATAATGGGAAACAACATTAAAGCCTGTGTTCCTATGGTAATTATTGGTCATCTGAAATGGCATATGCTCTAAAACATAACACAGAAAATTACCTTCCTGTGAAATAAGAAATACAATAGAAATAAAGTTAAGGGACATGTTTATTTCTGAGCTTTCTGCAAGCAAAATTGCTTTGATACAAAATGAGTTCAATGATACAGTGCTACCATCCACTCAAGCAAAAGAAAACCTCACATTTACATGAATGCACTTTATATTGATATTCTTACAGAATAATAGTTCAGATATCCAGAATGTGTCTGGCCTCATTGAAAGCAATGGCACAGAAATGCTGCAAGGTATTGGAGTATCATATAATTGGCAAGTGCTTAATTAACTCTGTGAGTTCTCTGAGAGATGCTGTATAAATAAGGGTACTGTGAAGGTGTGTTTGTATTCCTTAGTACTTTTGACATACATCATTTAGTGTTTGTTTAGTTAGCTCAAAATGTGTAATTGTGTCTTTTGGCTTTCAGTATTCTCTTTTTCTTTTTTAAAGAAAAATCATGAGGTATCCTTTACTGTTAACTAATGACATAGTGATAGGCCTTTTTTATTGAGGTTGCAGAGACTTACTGTACATTCAGTACACTGTACATTCAGCAATTCTTTTTAGCGTACTCTCTACATGTTACTGTGTACAACTGTTAGTTTACATTAGAACTCTTCCCCTTCTCACAGGATATGGCAAAACAAAAAAAAATCTGACAAAAATTATACACATAAAATAAGAAGACAAATACACAAATAAGGCCATCTGCAGAATTAAAAATCCACCTCTTGCGATATTTCACAGTAATTTCTACATAATATTTTACATCTTATGAACTTAAATATTTAATGCAAAAGGAAAAGACCTTTATGGAGCCAATCATATTATCTCTTCAAGGACTTGTCCGATTTGCTGGCTAGTGGCCTTCTCTGGGGGGTTGGAATTTTAGAAGGCTTGGCGGATCCTGGCCGAGAGCCTGCTCGGGGTGTCGGCCTGCTGGTGGCAGGAACAGTCTCTGACATATCGGAGCACACAGACTGGATTTCTGAGATGTCAAAGTCAGACGCGTCACTGCCGCGGCGGCTGCTCGACCTGCTGCCAGCCTTGCTTCCTGCTCGGCTACCAGGTCTGCTTGGAGTTCTTCTGGTGTCTAAAAAAAGAGAGGATAGCCACCAGGTTTAAAGGTGAGGATGGAAGATCTGTGCAGGTCTTTCCTAGGTCTTTAGCACCCCCAAAAATTCCTTATTGCACAAACTAAACTTTAAATGTCTGCCAGGCAAGCTAACTGATGCTGTGTCTCGCACTAAAGAAAAGGAACCGCAAGATCAAATGCTGACACCGAGTTAGTTCATCACTAGCCTATCTTATCAAAAATGCGTTATCCTGGCAGCTTTTACTGACTTCCTAGACATGCATTGTACCTTCACTCAACAGCCAGAGCCTTTATTTCCCCTGCCAATTTCTCAGCTATTAATTGGGGGAAAAAAAAATCAATATCTGGTCTCTTCATGCATTCATGGTTTCTAAATATAGGCATCTTGGAGATGCAAATGAACATCCCAATATTTAAATGTGTAGCACTTTAAAAAGAAAATAAATTCAAACCCATACAGATGAAAGCTGCAAGTAAACAAGGGCAAAGTAGACATCCTGCCCAACAAAGGGCTGAGAAGATGAGCTCTCAGCAAGCCTGCTAAGTAAAAGCCTGCCCAGACAATGTGCTGTGAAGAAAAAACCGCAACAAGGAATCTTAAACAGAAAACAATTAATGTGGTTTTTCATAATTTTCCAATTACTTATTAAGCATTTTTGATCTTCACAGCTCTGGTTCCCTGTATGTATGAAGAACTGTGTTGCAAAGCACAGCTTCACTGCCTTCTCTTTTTGTATACTGCTTTTAAAATCTCTGTGGGATATTCCATTAATAAGGCAATTTACAGCTGCTCCCTGCAGTTCTTCCAAAAGAAATAGACAGGTCATGACTAAGTGACCCCCCCCCCTTTGCTCCATCACAATTGAGAACAACTTGAATACTGTAAAGAACTGGATCCTTTGAGTAAATGCTTCTTCCCCAGTTCCTAGGGCAGATGCATTGAAGGTACCATTCTCAAGAAGACTGCAGGCATGAATTCACACATCCACAGCTGAACATGTGAATGGAGGGCCTGATTATGTGCACCCTCAGCAATGGGGTACAAGACTGTACAACTTTTACTCCTTCTCACTCTTCTGACATCTCCCTTGACCCCTAATGTGACCTTAAGTGCTCAGGTGGAAAACAAAGCAAGTGGTAGATCAATCTCTGAAGTCAAGACACTCACCTGCAAACTGAGCTCTGACTCTGGTAGCTGCTGTTGACAGGATGCCACTGTCTTCTCCTGAGTGGAAACCCTTCCCTGATAGATACCCTGGCAGTCTCAGTTTACTTCCTTGAATTGGTGTTCCCTATGTAAACCAAAACACAAAAAATGCTTTTTTAACTGAAGACAAGGACTAGTATTAGGGACTACATAGCTTAGGATGTGATCATCACAACATTCACTGTGAATCTGAAATATTGGTTTAAGCCACTATGGGCATTATTCATAATGTGAAGTTTAGAATGCTCCTTTAGCAGTTTGCATTTGAAGTAGTCCAAATGTAAAACAACAACAACAAAAGAATCATTTTAAGTCTGCTTAACGTTTAGCATCTTTGTGTGTATTTCAACACATATGAAGAAAGAAAAAAGCTACCTTTTTATAATTAGTCAAGCAGGTAAGATTAGTTGATGGTACATACTGAGAGTTTGTATCTGCATAACTTGAATTTCCACCATTCTGGCTGTAGCTATAGGTGATGAAAATATTTTTTAAATTGAAACAAGGCTACCAAATTTCAGAAACCTTATGCTAGGAGGAAAAAAAAACCCAAGCCAAAACAAGGGAAAACAGAAAAAAGGCCATAGGACTAACTGTAAAAGTTCCAGTTGTCAATATACTGCCTTACAATGTCTCTACTACCCAGTCTTACCCTGCCTGCTTTCTTATTTCTGAAATAAGTCTTGATTTACAATCTGCCCTAAATCTGCCCAAAATTTCTTTCACAGCCACAAAAATTGAATCATCAGATTTCAAAATGAGTATCACTCACTAAATAAGAGGCATATGCAAATAAGAGGAAAATTCCAGTATTCACAGTAATTTAATAACACAAAAATACTACATAGATATTCAAAAATTAGAAAAAAACAGTGCAGTGATAAATGCAGTTTGTGGAGTGGCCTGGATCCCAGGATCCTGCATTCTGTGCCCTTGATCTCCATAGAGCTGTAGATAGAATTAGGTACTGAAAACCAGGATCCAGAGAAATGTGTTGGAAGCTGCCTTGAGCTAAGAACAGAGCAGAGGCCTGGCAGGAGCTTGCCTGGCAGCTGCCAGTTCAGACCCCTTCTGAACAAAAGAGTGCTGAGATGCTCCAGAGCAATCCTGCTGGCTCTGACAGGGCAGGTCATAATGTTAAGCTCTCATTACGGCCAAGGACAGTGCTGGACATACAGCTAGCCCCACCCTGGGAACCTCTGCTCTACACACACTGCTTGGAGGGTAAGAGAAAGGGAACACTGTTACCTCCACTGAAGCTGCTGCACTCTGGCCAAGGCATTGGGAGGGAATCACCAGTGCAAAAAATCAAACTAGCCTGTTCAGTTTTGCCCTAAGCCAAAATGCAGTTTACATATAAAATGAATAACTGCTCTCTTGGGCAGCAGAATGCCTTAAAAAATCCACTGAACCTACCCCACCCTAACCATTCTGTTTATAATCTTAAACCACACTGGTTTACATAAAAGAAACTCACTGAAACTACTGGCAGTTGGAAGAGTAGATAAGAAATACAGTGCCCCCATATGAAATCAGGCCAGCTGCTTTCCTGTCATTGTAATTCAATGAAAACAACATCTTTCCATGTCTATAAACCCTTTAATGTACCATCAATTAATCTTTCACTGCAGTTACCAGCTAAGAGATGAAAGAAAATACAGGAATATGTTAGAAACTGACAACTGACTAAATTCAGTGCTGTTAATCAGTCTAAGCCACAGCCCCGTGTGCTTGCAGTGCTGCACCCACAGACACACCTGCATGTGCACAACACTCACAGGAGGTGGGAGGAAGAAGTTTGTTGTGCATCTTTGAGAAAAGCCATGCTGAGGGTATGGACACTTCACACCAGAAGGTGTCACATGAACAGCAATAGGCATCAAAGTGCAGATTTGTGAAAAGCAGATACAACAGAGGGAGTGGTAGCACAAGCTTCTCCTCTCCAAGCCCTCCATCCAACCCAGGGCAAGAGTAACTCCCACAAATGACACATCAGTGTGCAGCCTGATCCAGCTGCAATCTTTTCACTGACTGTCATGACATTAAAGCAAACACTTTGGCTTCAAGCCCCTTTAAATTTTGGTCATACAGCCTAATTGCCAGCATAATCCTAATTGCTATACTAGCAATTTCCATGTAAGCCACGCTAGTTTCCTGTTAAGTCATCAAATAGCTATCCTGTTAGAGCAATGACTGGTCACTACCCCCTAAACAAAACTTTCAGTTGTTGTAAAGTTCTATTTATCACAGCCAGACTTTTTTGCCATCTTCTTCACTGTGATTGGGTATTTCTTTATTGTGTGGTTTTGCATTAGAGATCATGATTTATTAATCTCGTGTCTGCAGTTCAGAAACATTGTAGTACTTAATGAATTCAAAGTAAACAATTTTAGGAAAGAAACCTGCAAAGTATATTGAATGTTTTATTTTTCTTTTAAAAAGTACTTTTCCACATTTACTCAACTATTTCATTCCATACTTTGCTGATTTATTGAGCATTTGAGATTTAAACATTAGCTCAGTGAGGCTCTATTTTCCTAAAAATTAAAAAACCCCATGAAAAATAGAACATTAAAAAAAACCCAAAAAACAAAACAAACTTTGGGGAGAGGGAAAAAGTAAGAAATAATTTGACAAAGGTCTAAAACAAAGACAATGCATTAATATACACAGGATGTTGCAGCTTAGACATACTGAAACTCTAGTGACTGTTAGTGAAGTGACAGTTTTAGTGAAGGAAGTCATTAGACTAGAATTTCTGTCCTTACTGTACCTCTGCAGATGACCCTTGATAGTCTGAGGATTCTGGTGGCTTAGAAGGAGTTGATGTTTTGCTGTTTGTCAACCATGGTTTACCATAGTTGCGTGTTAAATGATGTGGTGTCTGTATGAAACAATGGTAAATCAAAATGTGAAGGACAGTAGAGGAAAACTATGGCACAGAGAAGGATACCCAAGCTTTCAAAATCTCAGTAGAAATAAAATCTAAGCAGAAAAAGTTAATGACAAATGTTCTAAAATGAAGAGATGACAGAGTTTATTTTTCAAGTGAAATGGAGAGGTTTGTTGATCTTTCAGAGCAGTTCCCAAACTGCCGCTTAGCTCATGTGGCTCCTTAAACATAGAAATTCTTCTACTGCCATGTTGCAAACAAACAGTAGAGAAAACATATAGAAAACACTCTCATATCCACCTCAGACTTTCAAATAAAATGGAGACACTTTTTCCTCCATCAGCTAGAGAATGCAGCAATATTACTGGAGTGAGGAAAATCCCAAAAATTCAATCTATACCCCATTTGTTAACCAGTGCAGTTTTGTAGGTTTCTCCTTACCTTCGGTGTACTTGTAGCAACAGCCTGTGGGGCAGCTGCCTGGCCAGCTTGACTTGACAGAGAAGTAGATCTGTTGGGAGAAGCACCTCTGGAAGAGGGTCGTGATCTACGGCCCCTTGGTCGGAAAGCTGCCATGCTCTGACTGGCACCATCTGCCAAAATGAATTTTTCACGCAGCTCCACGTTTGTCCTCCCTTTAGCTGCAAAGAGAGGTGTTCGTTGACTCAGACATGAAGGCTGTCGCAAGGCTGTTTATTGCCATTTTTGCCATGCCAACTCCAAAACATTTTAACAATAAATAAAATGCATTACTATGTAATGCATTTATTTTAGACACAGAAGAGTTATGTGCAGGACTCACTTATTCTAATACTTTATGCCAGCAGGAATGAACCACTGTCAAAGGAAGTCAGCGTGATAATGGAATGCTCAACGTGCTAAATCATTGTTAATTAATCAACTATTAATACATAGACACAACCTGATGGGCAGTTTTGCTAACTCTACAGCTATTCATAATAAATAATACTTGCTTGTGCGTTCTAGAAGAAATTACAGGAAAGCAGCAAATATATTTATTCAAAAGTATGAAGTTATGTAGTTTGGCAACATGCAATGATGAACATAAAACCCAAACTATGATGAAGTAATTGGTGGCTAAGCACTCACACACACACACATACAAACACACATACAAGAGAATGTTCTGCATGAATAAATGCACGACATGTTAGCATTTAACTGTGTCAGTGTGAATGGCAATTGTTTTTGAAACACTCTTCAAGCGTGTCAAAAAAATTAGCTTGCAAAGCACCAGCCCATGTAGGAACATGTTAAGCTAAATATGAAGGGTGAAGCATATAGCTAAAAGTATACATATATTAAAAAAGCGGGAAGGAAATAAGGAGAGAGAAGAAGAGGAGAAGGAGACAAAGAGAGGGGTTTGCCAACCTATAGTAGGCTGAGTGGTAATTGAAGAGTTTGATTCCGAACGTAACATTTTACTCCCGTGATGATGAACTAGAAAAAATGACACAGGACATGGGTCACATTAAAGAAAATCGTTAGCAGGAGAAGAAATCAAGTACAGCAGCTGCATATGCAAGAGACTTGGAGCACCAGGCCAAAAGACAGGACTTGAGCAAAAGTTGTCCCTAAGTGTTCTGAGGTGAGCCCTCAAAGGTCCCCTAGGCAGAAGGAAATGGCGTTTGGACAGACTCGGCTGCAGTCCCAAGTGTACTTGTGTGGCAGCGGTATTTATCTGCTGACATAAAGAAGTAATACAAGCTAAAGAGATTTTATGTGACTAGGTGCAGTACTTTTGAAACTGTTTATGACCACGGTTCTTTGCAGTATGATTCATCTGAATACGTGAGGAGCACTTGGTGGAAATGCAAATTTGCTAGGTGAAGTGGTTTAGGAAAAGTTTGAACCTGCAACACTGATTTCAACCAGGCAAGGATTAGGTAGCAATGCACAACATCCAGTGATGCTGATTTTACAGAGTATTCTTACAGGTATTCTTTAGACCCTCTGTGTTGACATCTGCTCAAATATACCCAAGAGAAAGGATCCTTCTTCTATTCCTTTCTACTTCTATTCCTCAAAAGAGTAGTAGAAAATAAAATGTGTCTCAGAAGATCTGGCTTCATTGAAGGGTTAACTTGGTTGGTTCTGTTGTACCCCGAACATTTTTCTCAGGCCTATTGACAGGTAGAGTGTTACAATTTTTTCCTAGGTTGACACTGAAAGATGTAATACTTAATAAATATCCAATAATTTATTGGAATTCCTTATTACAGTCCTCAGTATTGTGTCCTGAGAAAACAGCTGATGCTGATGCAATGCCCTGGAGGGCTCAGTGATAGAGCACTCCCTGCTCCCACGGAGCATAATGTCCTCCAGACCAGAACATTTTCCACTTGCTTTGTGTAAGGCTCAGGGATCTACAAAGTGCTTCTGGGGAAGATGCCAAGGAAAAGACAAGGTTACAAAGGTAGAAAGACTGGGAAGAATCACTGGCCAGAGGTTTTTGTGGTGGTGGTGTTACTCATCAATTCAATTGCCTTATTTTGACTTATTGTGTTGCTGAGAAGGTTTTATTGGACATTTCTGTGTGCTATTTCTGCCAAGTCATACAAGCCACTTACATACCATCGAGTCTATTTGGGCTAAGTTCAGTTCTTACTTACACCACTATAACACTGAAGGAACTGTGCAGAAGACACCACAGTTTTTCCAGACATACATCAGTGCAACTGAGAGGATCTCAACCATGTGATTTAAAGTTCACAAAAATGTGACATTTAGTGAGATGATGTTTACAACAACTGGCATTTTATACAAGTCCATCTCCATCTTGAGACAATGAATGGTGACTGCATCCAAATAATAAGCTGCAAGTCTTTAACATTTCTGTTACATACCACGGCAAGGATCATTTTTCACTAAGAACTCATCAAGTGCCATCCAGCCACCTCCAACACGGACCATGACCGTACTTCTTAGGATACGAACAAGGCGCAGTTGCTGAGAGTCACCAAACTGCAATAAAAATCAAATGACAGTCTGAGCTTCTCAGGCATTCAGATGCAGTTCAACACTGATAGGTTAAAAAAATCAGACCTTTTAAAAAGTTTATTTTGATATTTAATAATTAGTAAATGCTAAAAAAAAATCTATTTATTTATGCAGATTATTAAAGCTGTTAAGATTTCAAATCAGATGGCACTGCATTAATCAAAAGAAGATGGCAGGATGGTAAGGAAGAAACTCAGGTTTAATTTTATGTTTGATTCTCAAATGTCTGAGGTCATAAAAGAAGCAAAATTAGTAGTACATTATTTGATTGGTTACAGTCTGCTTTTGTGCAAATTAATGAAGACCTATTTGCATTATTTCACTGGTAAAATCTTAAGCAAACACTCTTCTGCAACAGTCTTGATTTTTAATGTTGTCAGCTGAAAGGAAGGCAGCATCACTTCAAACAAGCAGTATATAATCTGGAAATTCAACATGTTATGAGTGTTGCACAGTTCTCTCAATTGATTAACCTATGGGAATATTGTCAGGTATAGCACTACAGTGCTGACACTGCTTACCTATAGCAAGGTGCATGTGAGGAAGGGAACATTAAAGAAGCAATGAATGATTAATAACTATAATTATGTTTGTCATTCCTCTGACTACACATCAAGGTTCTTCACAAATTCAGAGATGAGTCTGTTTCATACTAAGTTCTTGTATGAGTCCTTTGGGCCAGGCCAAATGCATATTTTGCTCTTGAAACCTGTGTAACAAAACCTGTACGCAGTACCTTCACTCACATTCAGATCAAAGAAAGCATGACCAAAATGCTGACCTCACAATCTCAAGAAAACTCACCAGAAGAATTCAGTACTTTTAAGCCAGCACTACTAAAATATTTTGATACCAGATCACCAGGCCAAGTGCAGTGCACCCTCACACAAACATGCAGAGCACTCACTAAAACCAATGGGAGTTGAGTGGCCCTCTTTGGGACAATCTCCGACCCTTGGAGAAGGTTGGCCATAATTCAACTGCACCTACTTGCTCCAGTGAGGGGACTGAACAAACCACACCAAAAATGTGCTCCCTGCTTGTTAGATGACTTTAGTTGTTTGGTACTGTTCAAGCCAAGAAGAGAGAATAAGTTTAAAGGAATATTACTTTTAGGAACCAAACAAAAGCAAAGCTTGCTTCTTAATTCAATAATAAATTGTATTTGTTATAAGTAAGAACATTTACATGAGCATTATTTCTCAGAGTTTTTTAATAATGCATTCAATATGTGCCAAACAAAGAACCATTTTATATATGTAGATCACAGGTTTTTTTTTTTAAAGGCATCCAAATTAACACAGTTTATTTTCATTGGCTTGTTCCTACCAAATTTTTTTCCTAGTGATTCTGAAGATAGTATCTTTCTTCTTTTCTTTATTTTTTCCTCCATCACAGCCTAATTAGTCAGTTAGACCCCATCAGGCAACTACACCAAGGGTCAAGTGTGCTTTGGAAACTGCCCAGCTAGAAATTAATTCAGAAAGTGGGGCTGGAAAGTAACATGGTAATACAATAGTACCTATCACTGCATTTCTTCTTATGGTAACTCGGTTGATTTCCTTCTTAAAATAGCCTGGTACAACTTTCTTTAAACAGTATTTAACATTATTTCAAATAACCAGAGGTAAAAACATAAAGGAGTTTAAGATACAAAAAGGTCTGTTCTTGACAATAGCCTGTAGGTGCCGTTCTGCATCAGTAAGAGTTTCTCAAGGAATGCTCTATGTTCCCCAGATCTGAGAGTACAGATGATAGATAAAAGGATTAACATAATTTCAAACAGTTCTTTCAAAAAGAGACTTGTTCTATATGTGGAAAATATTTTAAATTATTGCTTAGATGTATTGCTTGAGGCATGTGGCAAAGTTATGCACTGTGCTTTCTTCTATACTTCAACAGGCTCTGCTAGTAAACAAGAGTGCACCCACATTTTCAACATCTTGAGATTTAAAATGGCTATTGCTGTTACCACTAGCATGTCCAGAATGGATTACATCCATTATTGCCTTTTTAAAAGCATAAGACTAACCTGATACCTGATTTGTAGGGAGTGTTTCCGTTCTTACTGGGCAGATGTGATTTAGCACTTCAGGAAGCTGTGTATCAGCGTGTAGCACAGGAGTAAGCACTGGGCAGCATCTCCTGCTGAGGGAGGACTCACCAGTGACCCAGCTGACACAAAGCATTCCTTAACACAGCTCCAGCACATTATAGACTCGCCATAGCTCCTTGAAAACACTCTGGGAGAGGCATTATTCTACAGGGGAACAGCAATTTTATTTTGCCTATTTCCAAAATATGTATTTAAAGATTCACTGTGTTAGGAAATAAAGTAATAACTATCAGCTAGGTTCTTAATCAGTCTGCTTGATTGCTTAGAGACTGTACCTTTTTTTTGCAAAGATGAAAGTACTTTTTGTGCAATTTGCAATAAATAAGTGATAAGACACTGGGATCTGTTTGCCATGATTAGCCTTTAATCAAATAGCCTAAAAATAACATTACAGAATTTTGAAGAATTTGACTATAAAACTGATTAGATAATTGTGATCTCTACAATTGCAGTTTAAATGCTCAAGATTTTTCGCTGTGGGAATTGCTGCTGACCATTATCTGGTTCCTTTAAAAGTAATCTCCTTAATGAGGAAAATGACCAAAGAAAGCAGGTGAGGGATTGTATAGCAGGGATCCTGAGACAAGGAATGCTCCATAGCATTTAAAGAAATACCACAGCTGACCAGCAATGAATTAGCTGAAAATTAAAGGATGGCAAGAAGGCTGACCATTGCAAGCTTAAATATGTGTTAGGGGGAGGAAAAAAAGAGAGAGAGAAAATAACAACAAAAAAAAACCAAACCAAAAAAACCCAAAAAAAACCTTCATAACACATTCCACTGGTTTATACCTGATTTCCCAGGAAGAACTGATAAGAAATGAAAAATGGAAGAAAGACACGATTAGTTTACAGGAAATTCTCTACATGACCTAGAACACATGCAAACTAACACATTAGACATACTAAATAAAGTATCTACTTGAGAGATGAGCAGGTAGCTAGCCATCCAGAGACTGAATATTGGAAAATATTCAAGGCCTTCGTTTCCTTCCCATTGCTGTTTCTGTAGTCTTTTAAAATCTACAAGTACTTATTAATCTCTCTTAGCCAAATGTTGCATATTTTACCTCAAATTTTTCTGGCCATTGAATCCAGGGGTAGCAGATCTTTCTCTACTGATTGATATTATTTTTCTGTGATCTATAATAATTCTGCAGATATCTAACACTTTGCTTATATTTAGAAGTATGCGTCTTCCAATAAAATGACAAAAGAGTGTAAAAATGGTTGAATACACTTCGGTAAAAGATTTTTGAAGTACAACACAATACCACAAGGAAATATCAGTAACTGTTTTTATGAAAATAATAGAAAAACAGCTACAATTTAAACACTTAAAGTTTTTAGGCAGAAAGACCAGCTTTTGAGGATATATTGTACATATGTATGCATGTGTACAGATGTGTGCTGTTAGCTCTTAAAAATTCCTATGACTGAAAACAGCTTTGGTAGTTTGAGTGAAAATGAATACAGGCATCAGCAATTTTCCATATTTTTAGAACATATCTATATGTTCTAACAAGAAAAAAACATTTAGACAATCTCAAAGAAAATATGTAATTGTCATACAAGATTCTTGTGAATTCATATAGCCTAATTCCTTGTGTAAACCATGTCATATGAAGAAAGCTGAAAGAACTGAGGTCCTTAAATGACTTACCCTGTACTTGTTATCCCCAATCTGTTCCACTTGAAACCGTTTCGCACATTTACATTTCGCTACCTGCCTTGTAACCTGCAAAAAACCACAACAGGATAATTACTTTAAATATCACAATTACAAAGATTTGTGTACCTAGTAAGCTTCAAATTAAATAGGAGTGAAAATAAAGTGAATTATCATAGAATACAACCCCAGTAGAAGAGAATGCAACCTAAGAAAGCAGAGAATGTACCTCATCTTCAATTTTGTCAGCATCTGTGAGAGGCTTGTATGCATCCTTGTTTGGATGAAGAGCTGCTACAAATTCATAATAGTCAATATATCCATCACCATCTCTATCAAAAATGTCTGCAACAGCACTCATTTCAAGTCGGCTCGTAGGGAACTCTGCAGGACAAAGACAGCAACACAAATTTTTTCGCTTTTCAATCCCATTACAATGAGAAGCTTTATCACAAATATTAGAAGGTGATTAGGCATTTGGTGACAGATAGACATTTGGTCCTTATCAAAAAAATAAGGACACTCAAACAAGTGAAGGAATATTTCTGAAAAAAACCTCAATCTGAATCTTCACTGTTACCCAGATATTGGATTAAAATGAGTACCACAGTGTGGCTTAAAGACAGAGACAAAAGCAAGGACACACATTAAACTGTAAAATATATGGGGGGTGGGGGGTGTTAACATTTTGACCTCCAAAGTGCATAAAATACCAGAAATTAACAAGACAAATAGTTAGTGAGGAAAGGTCAAGCAAGCATTTCAGTGCTGATCAAATCTGGAATGTGAAGCCTTCTCAGGGCAGATCCATGCATGGTGTTTCATGAAGTCCTTCTTTAGATGAAGTTCACAGCAGAGATTCTCAATGAAATGGTCAAAGAAAATTTCAAGGTGATGAACCAGGATTATACCAGGAGTGTTTGGTGGTTATAATAAATTGATGCCAACTGAGTTAAAAGTGGTGGCATTAGGTTTTTTCCATTAATTTTTATTAACTCAAGCAAAACAGCAAAATTCACACATAGTGATTCTTTACTGCATTTCCTAAAGCAGGGGGAAAATATACAGAGTACAATATTTTCCTACTGAGTAACACTAAAGTGAAATGCTAAAAGCAGCCCAATTCTGAGTCATTGCTGTTCAAAGCAAAAGTCTCCATGATCTGAAGATAAAGGATTATTTTAAGTATTAGGTCCTTGTTTGTTATGAGTCAGTTCCTAGAAGGAAATATGATCACATATACAATGTGGAAGACTGACATTACCACCATAACTAAGGAATACTGATCCACCAGGAAAGCTAGGAAAATTCCTTTCTAGTTTGATTGCTTGGCATTTTAAACCTTACTATATAGGTATATAAATATTTTCATGGTTCGTGGAAACACACTGGTTTCAAAAATTACAGTTTCCTTCTGTAACTGAAACTATTCTATGTAAGTTCTTTAATAAAAATCATATGATCCTATGAACTCATTTTGAAAATCATCTATAAGGTACATAAGGTACTTTTTGCTATTATGAGTAATCAATCAAAAAGTAATTGTTGAAGCAGCTAGTGTACTATGGGAATGACAATCTGAGTTCAATAAACCGGCAAGCTACTAATTAGACAATAATACAAATGTGACATTTGTAAGCTGATTCACAATGTAAAAAACTAGAAAGAGTTTCTATAATACAGAAATATTTTCAAGTAAAAGAATTACAAAGTAATAATAATAAATTCAAAAGGAAATCTGTGACCTTCTAACACAATAAAATTCATAGGTCACACTATCTAGACAATAAGATTTCATGAGATGCTTGTTCCAAGTTCAATCTTATGTTAATTTAAAAACTTACTTGAAGAAAGAATTCCATCAATGAATTCCTGTCTTGTAATCTTTCCATCCTGATCTTTATCAATCCTCCTAAAGAAGTCCATCACACGAGACTTCTTGTGGTTCATCCATCGCATGTATTTTTTCCTCCAAATATCAAAATCAAAGTTGGCAAATTCTCTCAGCTTAATAAAAAACAGAAAAAACTTTTTTCAGCTGAAATCCATCAATCTAGAACATCAATGAGATAGATACCATCTGTGTTTTGTTGAATAATTGATTTTTGAGGACCTATGCAAGCATTTTAAACATCTCAGCTCTCCTCATTTAAAATGATGATGACAGCTTTTAAAGCACATTAAAGCACCTGTACCACAGTGTTTTCAGTTAGCTGTGTCATACAATATAATACAACAAATATGGAGTTATTCACAATATTGGAATTTAATCCAGGATAAAGAAAATTACGCAAAATGTATGTATGTTCTGTACAGTGCTTTTCTGACCTCTTCAAGTCTGTCCAAAGCATCGTTAAGTTTTCTCCTTCTTTCCAATGCCAGAAGCCAAACTTGCTGCCATTTGCTGACTAAAAGGTTTACCCGTGGATTCTTGGTTTCAATTTGTGCCTGGGCTGCTGAGGGATAAATGCCTGGTGTTGGGGAACGCTTTCCTGTTGAAACATGATAAAAGGCATAGGGCTCACCCAGTTCAAACAAAACAAATGTTCACAAGAAATGCACTTAACCCTCCTAAAATTATTCCTTCCTGTCCCAAATAAGGAGGTCATACCCCAAGATGATTCCATATAGTGGGATTTTTCTTCTTTTTTTTACCATTGCTGGGGAACAACCCAGTGGTGTTTACAGCCTCTTTTATCTAGCCAGAAGCAACTGGTGAGGGCTCCACTAGTCAAGCTGCGCAGTTTAAATTAAATCTTCGTAAATCTCTCAGAGTTGCAAAGTAAACAACCTCATTTTAGAAGCAGGTTCCATGTATGGGTAAGTATAAAATACAATGGGTAAGTATATCTAAAAATACAAAAAGCAATTTCCTCACTTGGTGATTCACTTTCCATTCAACTTCACTGAATACACTTCTAACTGGATTAATATAATTTTATAGACAGTAAGAGCACAATTTTCTCTCCATATCTCTCTGTGAAGTTGTCTGCACTTTCAGATAATGGAAGATTTGCAAAGACTCAGCATGTACTTGCTCTTGGAAGTTTAAGGGCACAGGAAAGACTGCACACTTTAAAAATAGCTATTCCTAAAGATTAGGACAAAATGTAAAAATACATGTCTGGTCTGAGAAATTTCCTCATTTTATAAAAATGAGAGATAATTAGAAAAGTCAGCCAAGAGAACTTTACCCCCTTTCACCAGAAGTTAATCAAACCTATTGGATTATTAGCAATCTGTAAACTTTACAGATAGAGCAGTGTGACACACCCCAAAATACGCTGTTACTTACTTCCTGCTCTCCCCTTATCAAGGACAGGAATATGAGATTGTACTGGAGAGGGTTCAAGTGCTTTCCTTTTGTAGGTCTTTGTAACTTTATCCACATCAGGCTGTTTTCTGGTCATTTCTTCCATGAATGTCTGCAATCAGATAGAGGGGATCTTAATTAACAATACACAAAAGTAACCAGAGGAATGAAAAACATACACAATAGCAAAACACCAAAGTTAAAAAGAAACCCACAGAAAGACACTTATAATGCCAGCCTCACAATATAGACACAGATGGATGTTTTGTAGATAAGAAAAATCAGCCATATAAGCTTTTAAGATCACTATGGTCTGGCTGTTAAAAGAAGGCTAAATCTAAAAACCAATCTGTCAAACTTCTTATTAACTGTATGTGGTGAGGTTATACAGAACAGAATCTTGCCTCCAAGATCCTGCTGTTCAGACTGCAGTTCACAGAAGGGAGACAGTGCAGGTAAATCTATGAGCATTCACTACACCAGCAGCTCCCTCTGGCACTTCATAAACCTGTTTTTGATATTTAATCAGTAAAGGCACACTGCAGCACTGGATCTAAGGTGGCAGCACTATCATACATTTCACGTGGGCTTTCTTTTATTCCTAATACTATCCTTGCTTGTATTCAATTATCATAAGAAACAATAGCAAAGGAGATTGGCACTTGATCGTGCAGCATAACTGAGATGTGAACCCCGTGTGAGTGACACATGTCCCTCACTGATCCTTACCTGATGTTCAGCTATAAGTGCTTTAACCTCCTCAATCTCCTGGGGGATGACCTCTTTGTCTTTTTCAGTCAGTGTAGTTTCTGCCCACTGCAACCAGGACAGCAAGGCTTCCAGCAGCTCCTGGTTAGCAATGAGTCCAGCCAGAGCTCCTGCCAGTCTCTGTTGATGTTGTTTAGCCCATGCTAAGACCTTGACAAAGGAACCAATACATGAGTATGTGCACATCTGAAACTCTTCATTATGTTTTTAAAATTGCTCTGCTAACTGTGAACCCAGAGCTACTTCTTAGGCCTACTGATATTTGAATATCAAAGGTGTTAAATGTAGTGGCTGATCACTAACAGTAGCTAGGTAACTAGAATTCCTAGTCCAACACATTTCTTCCACAGATATTCAGGATTAGGTGCTGCTAAACACAGTAACTAGTACACTCAGGCAACATATTAAGAAGTTTAACTGTATGTGTGAGTTAGTGAATCACACAGGATTTGGTGCCAGTTTTCCTGCTGGGCACTCCTTTGCTATCACCAGTATTTTGTTTTTCTTTAAGCTTAATATAAACCAGAAAATATTACCTTAACAGCTGAGGGTACAACCTCAGAAGATACCATTTAGATATCTTCTAGATGAAGAATATTTTGGACTGAAATCTTTTCTAATATAATCATAAAATCCTTCACATTTGCCCTTGTATTTTCTTTCCTTTGTAACTTTTCAATTTCCTCCTAGAAACTATTGGTTTTCCTCACTTGGGAAGTGTCAGACAGTATTTCCTTTAATACACACAAACAAAGGAGCTCGACCATCTGCTTTAGCTCTTAAAGCCCTGTAAGTTTTGAAAGAAAGCCTAGGGAAGCACAGTATTCACATCCATCACCATGGGTATTTTAAATGTTTAGTTCTCAACAGCTGGATCATTTCCTCACAGTGTAACTACCGTGTTAGTTGTCAGCTGTGTTCTAATCAAAGATGGACTGCTGCAATGAAGATGGTTCAACATATACTGACCTCTTCAAACCTGGCTCTGATGATGGTTATCCAGTGCTTAATGGTGGTGATGGAGTCTGGGTGGCAGATAGCCAGAATAGCTTCTCCCATACCTGTTGCTTTATTCAGTTCTGCCTTTTTCTCTTCCAGTTTCTTCATAAATTCCTAAAACAGAGGTAATAATTTTAATTAGATGCTGATAAAATTTGCAGGAGAAATCCGAGTGCATAATCTGGAAGGCCATGTGCCTCTTGACTGCTCAAGCACATTCAAATTGCAAGAGGAAAGTTTCACTTGTATGAGAAAAGCTTAAACTGCTTAAAAAGTCTGTTCCACATAAAGTACTAAACAAAGCTCTAAAACCTTATCCCAGCTTGCTGCTCCTTAAAAGCCCACCACAATCTAAATCCTTGGATGATGCGTGCCCTTAATAAAAAAAACAAAGGAAAATCACAGCATTTAGAAGTGCTGTAAACCAGCTATATGATGGTTAGAATCACTGTTGGCAACATTTCAATGACTTGGTTTGTCAGTTACAGTAATTCTTCATAATAACTCTCAAGCTCCTTCCACAGGCTGGAAATGTCCAACAATTGCATGCTCAGACAAGATGACAGAGTTCAGGAGCAGCTCTACTAAACTAACACAAATGTGACAACTCAGCAGCTGAGGGGGAGAGACACAGCATGTGGAAAAAATCTTGCAAAAGCAGAAGGATGTTTACAGCCTTAGGCATCCAAGCTCATTGGTATTCCAATGATAGCAGGGCCAGAAATGGATGTGGTGGGGGAGAAACAACAATAAGAAAAAGCAACTCAAAGGAGGCTCCTATCCTTTCTAGAGCTTGCATTTCTTTCTTTTTTTTTCTTTTCCCCTTTCCCTTTTATTTTTGTTGAACATTGCTACTACAATGGCTTTACTTTTCTGCCTAAATGTTATGCAAGTCTGTTTGTCTTTATGAGCATCCTTAACTAGAACTGCTATTATCTCTTAGTGCCTAGTGGAAATTTTTTTATACTTTAACATTTTTAATTAGGCTACAAAATGGAAACATGTCTCTGAAGGCTTAACTCTTCCTCTCTCCAGCCATAACACCATTTATTTTGGATTAATGATGAAGTTAAAGATGAGCCAAGTCAGGTCCTAGACAATTCAAAATCGCCAAAACATTGTACAAATCGGCTCTTCAACAACTCATAATGACATTAGCCTCTGCCTTTACAAAGTAAGTATGAAGTTATTATGAAATAAAATGTAAAATATAATCTCTTCTACCTTGTTCTAGAAGCTTGGAATATGTAGGCTCTATATTTAAATGTATTTGTTGCTAATTGACTTTGATTTAAACTTTAATTATTGCCAGAGTTTAAGACCCAAATCATAATAACAAACCTTCTCTCACAAAAACACATGCATCCTTACAATATTTCAGTTCAACTTGCTTTTGGAGAAGTTGAATTGGATTATAATGAGAGATTACCAAAACAAGCCAGAGGCAGGTGGAAAATGGGCAAAAAGCCCCCGTTGTGTTCCCCTGCTCAGCTGTACTAGAGTATTTCAAGAACTAAATCTATGACAAACAAGTCACAGTGTATTTAACTCTCCCTAATTTTATTGAACTCTGTGGCAAACCAGTGACACAGACACATTTACAAAAGAGGAAATGGGAGGCTTTTCATTGAGCAATGCAGTGCATTAACCCACTACAGCTCTCAGTACCATTTGGATAAAATACTGTCCTGAAGGAAACATTTCTACATGTAGTTCAATACAAATGCAATAAAACTATTTTACTAAAATTACAGTGAATAAAGGATGATACATTTCATATTTATATCATAATTTCAGTCATACATTGTTATTATAGTATGCAGCATTATAATGCATTAATGGTATTTAAAAGTAATATATATGTATTCTTCCCTTATTTTATTTTTGTTTTCTTGAAAGCTTATGTTCTAAGCTTAAAAGAAGAGATGACCTATTGAGAAAGATTGTGTGAGTGGTAAAACTGTGGTACCATAATCTTTCTTAGCTTGAAAATTTCTCTTTCTATTGTTTGCCCATGAAGAGGAAAATGTTGGGAAAATACCTTCTAAAGCCTACTAAAAAAATTAAGTATAGTATGGCCACATCTAACACCAAGATTGGTTGTGTTGTGCTAGCTGTCGTCCTTCCCAGCTGGACAGGGTTTCTCAGAGACAAACTTTGCCTTGAGGCTCCAAGTTATACTTCAGCTTTGGCAGCACAAATTTTAAAATTAGTACAGAAATATTTTGCTAATCGATCTACAGTGTGAAGGAAGACATTTAAAATTCTATTTTCTAATTATTTCAGTGGACTGAAGATTTCACTCAGTTCTCTGTAGTCAGAAGATTAAAAAATCAAATAAAAGGGAACTGGTGAAGCACATGTGGAGGAAAGGCAGCTAAAAGACATTTCACTGAACAGAGACATTAAGTTGCTGCTGCCAACATTAGTCAACACACTTTGAGGTTGCTACATCAGCACACACTGATGTAGCACATATGTACACATTTGATGTATACATATAATTGCCAGTTTATGACTAGCACTCAGTTTCCAGGGCCCTAAACTAAAACTGCAAACTTTTTCAAAACATTGCATTTTAAGTACATTGGAAATCCCTCAGCTAAGAACCATTTAATAGTTCTATCTTGCATATACTCCTCTGCATAATAATATTGGCAAACTGAATTTAAACAGGATGCTTTTCCAACCTCCATTTCATAAATTTTGCTTTAACTTTCTTCAGAGCAATGACGAACATATCCAGGACTTATAACTTGTTCTATAACACTGTGGGCACTACACCCTTGGTACTATTTTGAATAGGCTGCTCTGTGCATGTTTGTAGTCTCCTGTTTGGAGAGTGAAAATTTGACCTCTATGATCCTTACTTAGCCAATTTCACATTTCATTACTGCAAAGTTAATTTGATGGCCTATAATTTACTACCTGCAGTACCTATGACACTGCAATATTACAGTGGCCAATGCATGTGAAGTATGGCAGCAAGCTGTTTCACCACGACAAAAAGTTCATGGATGATAACATCATTCTGCTGACATTTACAAATGGCCTTGCCAGAAAAGTCTATTTAGGCCAATGGTGCTAAGGAGACAGAAACACTTTTGCTACTGTAGCAGTCTGTGTGGCAATTACAGGCATGGTATGCTCCACAGAGGGGCTTGCATCTGTCTCTAAATCTTTATAGCAACTTCCTAAAGGCCCTTTTTTTTTTTTTTTTAATAAGCCAAGATGACTCAAACAACAGCCCAACACCAGTCTGGACATCCAGCTCTTAACTACATGAAATTTCTAGCTTCTCTACAGAAAGAATTGCTCCAACACTGGATGCTGGATAGAACTATCTGGGATAGACTGTATTTTACCACCTATGAGAGCCATTAGAATGAAGAGGATCCTCTGCATGTTCGTGCTCACCCTGTGCTGCTCTATAAGCGTTCTCAAGGCCTCTTCATCATCTGGGAGGATGCCGTGGAAACGAAGAGCCTGCTCTGCCTCTGCCAGCCACTCCAAAAGGACATGCACAACTGAGTGGAATTCTTCTGCCTGTTAAGAGACAAGAAGTCATGGTCACTCATGAGATGACCTGACAGACACACTGCAGCTTACACGGGGAGACTGAGCCACATTTGGAATCATTAATCATCCAGCAGTACCGGCACATTATCTTTCCATTAAAAAGTCAATGATATATAGCACTACATTTTCATAACTGTAAAAACAGCTCATGCTTCCAAAAAAAATTATAGGAAGCCTAAAAGCCTGTTCATGCTTTTAGCCATCTGATTTATATTGTATTTGCAGCTCAGTTGAGAATGTCATGACATTCTTTACACTGACAAATTACACAGGAGGTGCTTTCAGAGACCAGCTGGAGAGAGGAGAACTATTGTCTGCACAGCCTAAAGCACCAGTAAAGCAAAATGAATTGACAGCCTGTTGGAGAGTGACTCTTGTGTGTAGAGAAAGCAAGAAAGATTCACCTTTGGATAAAGCCATATTCAGACACAATTAGTGTTTGAGGTAAGTTCAGGACTGTGTCTGCTGAGCAAAGCAGAGCAGGAATATTGTACATAGGGATACATTGCTACTGCAGGAGCCCCATTCTAGCATCAGTCCAAGCTAGTGTATCTTCAGAGAGCTGAAAATCCATGTTATCTCAGGTTTGGAAACAATACAGATACACATATCTTTTGCTTTTGCTACCAGATAATGCTGATATACATAGACTGTTCTAGGTCATGACTGCACTCAGCACAACTCTTTTATTTCCTCTGAAGTACCTCACTGTGCATTTTAATTGTGCCAATGTAAAGAATTTTTCAATACACAAATCTACTTCTTTCCAATAAGTCACAAAAAGCACAAATATGATTGCAACCTCCTGCTTCTTGTGAATGGGGCATAGTTCTTTACCAGCCTTCATATTTGACTGCAACTTCAGGGATTTCCTTAGATGGTAAGGTCTTCGAAACATTTGTTTTGCATTTGTGGCAGAGACTAATAATAACAGGAATAATAAATGCAAAGAGGCACTATTTATGTGCTGTGGTAAAAGGATAAACAAGGTAAGCAATGCATTAGCACTTAAATGAATATTTTCAAATGAAATTAGAGGGAATGACATCAAGTGAAAATGAAATTAAATTTTTGGCAAATAAACTGCAAGGTATTTTTCAATCCTTCTCATACATCACGTGTAGCAACATTATTATTCCTTTACCTGCCGAAGGGCCTGTTCCAGTCGTGTCTGCTTGGATACTGAGAGGGCACAAACTGTCTCCCAGCGAGTGCTCAGCTCCTGCATTTGGACTTTGACCCAGGAAGAGTCATCACGGCTGCCTTCTATCAGCTCCCTTGCAGAGCGCTTCAGAGCCTGGACACTGCTGGTTCTTTTTCCCAGCTCCTTCTGGAAAACCTAGACACCACCAAATATATTTGAAATGTTTAGCTCATTAAGAATGCTTATGTAAAAAACAAGAAAAAACTACTGCTTATGAAAAGAAATAAAAATACAGATTTATTTTTGTCACAAGTAACTCCGTTTAAGTGATGCAAAACACCTAAGTTCTATTTATTAGATTCTGTAGGAAGATATTAACACTCTCTTCTAACATAATAAAAGTGGAATATGGTAGGAAAATGTCAGGCAAATCCCAAGAATCCATTATGGTGCAATGCATGGGAAATCTTGTCTCCTTACCACTGCTGGCTTTCAATTCTTTATCAAAGCAATTGATCTGACATGGATTAACACATAAGATTGCTGTGGCAGGAAAAGATCAGATAAAAAGCTAACAATCGAGGAAGGGGTTTAAAATCATCCAAACAGAAATAAATCCCCATCTGGGTTGTGGATCTTGCTGCTTATTCATATATTTATGTGGGGGTATGTTCACTACAGCAGTAAATTGAACAAGCTCCAATTACTTAAAAGAAGCTCTTAAAAGAAGATAATTACAGTGTGCTGTGCCACTGACTGCAACCTACTTGTGATGGACAGAGGGATTCCAGAAGCAACTGAAGCACTGTGCAGGCCAATTTTTATAGACAACCCATGTTTCCAAACACTTTTTTTCCCCAAAATCTCCTCCTTAGTGGGGATGAGATACTGAAGGTCACAGGTGGAACAGAGAGACTTCACCTCCTAATCTTCCCAGGCTGCAGAGCTCTGCCTATGTGTCACCTTTTCAACACAAGTAACTTCAGCAGCCATTTCTTCTGACATACTGAATTGCAAAACTGGGATTCAGAGGCAGAGTCTAATATCTCCTACTTGTTCCCACATCCAAAAACACTTCAGTAACATACTACTGCAGGTTTCCAACACAGGCTCCCTGGGCCATGGTCTAGTTGAAATCTATGCATAACTTTAGCACTGTTATTACTTTTCTAAATAGGTCTGAAAGGCTGCTGTAGTCATGATAAGTGCATGGGACATTTATTTAGCAGATGGACTGAAAAAGAGTTATCTGCCCCAGAGTTTTCCAGTAAAATAATTTTTGCCATCTCTTGCCCCATGACATACATTTGCAAATGCATATTTGTGATTTATGACATGATATAAATAAATACACAGGGTAGCACAATAAAATAGAGTATCTCAGTGCTAACTGGTATTAATGAGTCACTAAGAGTTGTCCTCTTTCATGTATGTTTTATAACATTTTCTATTGTTGACTTCGTTTATGTTACAAAAGTATTTCATATCTCTAAAAATTAAATATTAGTGAAAGATAAAGATATTATTAAAACACTACACTTATGAGCAGTCCAGTAATTGAAGAACAGTATTTTTGGAACTACCTTATGGTTGTCAATCAAGTTCATTACTAAATCGATGTCTCCATGTACTGGCTGGTCTTCTGCTAGTTGAGGTTCAATTTTGTATAACCAGTCAATGAGAGCTTGCAGAGCATCAGTAAACTGTCCTGAAAACAGCAGGGCTTCCTCCAGTTTATTTTGTCTGAGAGGGGAAAAAAGTCAAACAACCACACACAGATAAAATAATCATTTACACACTTCAGGAAAATATTTTCAGCACAAAATAATAGAATCATGGAAATGTTAGGGTTGGAAAAGACTGATAAGATCATTGTGTCCAACCACTATCCCAGCACCACTACATCATGTCCCCAAGCACTACATCCATGTGGCTTTTGAACACTTCCAGGGATGGTGACTCAACTACTTCCTTGGGCAGTCTGTTTCAATGCTCCACAACCCTTTCAGAGAAGAAATTTTTCCTAAAATCCAACCTAAACCTCTCTCTTGGTGTAATCTGAGGCAGTTTCCTCTCATGCTGTCATTTGGTGCTTGGGAGAAGAGACCAATCTCACTTGGCTACAGCCTCCTTTCAGACACTTCTAGAGAGCAATAAAGTCTCCCCTGAGCCTCCTTTTTCCCAGGCTAAACATCCCCAGCTCCCTCAGCTGCTCCTCACAGCCCTTGTGCTCCACACCCTGCCCCAGCCCCACTGCCCTTCCCTGGACTCACTCCAGCCCCTCAATGTCTTTCTCACAGTGAGGGGCCCAGAGCTGGACCCAGCACTGGAGGTGTGGCCCCAGCAGTGCTGAGCACAGGGGGACAATCCCCGCCCTGCTCCTGCTGGCCACACTATTGCTGGTACAGGCCAGGATGTCACTGCCCTTCCTGGCCACCTGGGCACACACTGGCTCACGATCAGCTGGATGTTGACCAGCACCTCCAGAGAACTTCAAATCAAGTTTCCCCCTTTTAAAGGGCTCTTCCACTTCCTCCCCTGCTCTTCTACAATACCATGAGCAAAGTATGCATTTGCAGTATTTTACTGCTTTGGCATTCTTAATTATCAAACAAGCTAGCCACTCTGGTTCTACTTTTACACAACAAATTCCAAAAATAGAAGCCTTTTTCTTATTTGATGAATAATTAGTTGAGTTTCATTTACCTTTCCACTGACTTTCCACAAATTGTATCCCATTTATCTCTTAGTTCACTCAGCATGTCATCAAGTTTCAAATTGTCATCAGCCAAGGTGGTTTTCTCTTTCAAGGAACGTCCAGTCCTATTCGTGGTATCATACACAGAATGTTTGGCACCAAGAGATTTCTGGAATTCCTATAAATATGGAAAAAAAGAAAATGTCCATTTAGCATTAACTGCTTACAGGCCCTAGTTAATTAGTTTTTGACATACTATTTGCAGCATAAATTGTAAATGTTGCTCCAAGAATAATTTAAACTTACTGTAAAATTTCTATGCTAGTGCCACAGTGCACCTGGGGCTTGGCACTAGGAGAACTCTGCTTTTTCTCCTTCTCTGAAAATGTAGCACTCTGCTTACTGGAACAACTTTGGGAATTTGGGAAAATTCCTCCTTCAGTAAGGAAAATTATTCCTGTCCTACCATAATATTCCCAAATTTCAGCCTAGTAGTCAGAAGGATGTGAAAGAACTGCTACTTTGGGAGCCATTAACTGAGCATTCTTTGTACCACATTCTTACAAACTAAGATTTCAAGCCACTTGTAGAGCTCCCCAAGAGCTACAAAGGTTATTCTGGTTTAGCTCAACATGGCCAAGCTGGGAAGCCTCTGAGCAGAAGCAGCAATCAGGAAACATCCAAATAACTCAATCTGTGCTAGAAGTAAAAATCACAAGCAGGTTTCTGTGCCCCAGAACTTTGGACAGTGACAGAGTGTGCCTGCCAGCTCTACCAGCTCCTTTTGCACAGATCCTCTGGAAGATTTTCACTTACACAGAAGAGCACAGGAAATACAGCTCATCTGCTACCACACAGGAATTAACTGGCTGACAGAGTAAATAACTAAATAAAGGAACATGGGCAAAAGATAGCACCAGCCCAACAAGGCAGCTTTTAAATTGTAGCAATGCTTGAAATATTTTATTTCACACCTACATGAAGGGCTAGCAGGGAATCAGTTGGAAAAAAAGAAACCCCAAGTTTGATTTAGAAAACCCTCATATACAGCATCAAATATTTTCGGCTTTTTTTGTTACCAGAGAAGGAACATTTGTTTTGCAATTTAGCATTTCCTTACTATTCTTTCCTTTTCCTCATATAAAACAAGAAAACAAACTTTAGGAAAAAACATAATTGTCAAGCTAGGACTATGGTAAAAATAACTACAATTTTCAAAATATCCAGTTTTTTGTAACAGTTCCTTCAATAAAACAATATGTCTATGCTTCCTTTTTTTGATGGGTTTTGTTAACTACTTTACACAATATTACTAGGTTTGCACAAGGAAACACAATTAAATTGCTGCCACAGAAAGATCATGCATGGAAAACAGATTTAAAGATGGCAACAAGTTGCAGTTAGTTCTTTCCCTGAGACTAAACCATACTTTCATTTGACTTCAGGTATAACTGAGAGGAGATTTTGGTTTAAGCTGCCAGGAACAGATAGGTAAGTTAGAACAGATAGAAATTACTGAAATTTTTGTTCAGCTAGATACCTTCCTTCTAAGGAAGATGGGCACATAGAGATAAAATTAGCCAGAATCATATAAATGTTCTGTAAGAACACTCAGCATTAGCACAGGAATGGATTGGGTGACATAGTGCGGGTTTTTCCATTTCTGACTCCTAAAAATGAGAAAAAAACTCCAATAAACAAACCATGAATAACCCCCAAAAGTCCCTGGCAACATGCTAGATATGAGTGAAGGAGAAAACATATTATCTTGGCTTTTCTTTTTCAGGGACTTTTTTTTTTGGCAGTAACAACTGGCAAAGAGCAAGTCCAAATTATTGCTCACAGCACGCATTCAGATGGGATAGCAAAATCCTTAACTAAACGGAGCAAGGAAACCTTCAAGGCTGGACAGAAAAGACAAAGACAGACACAGAGTATATGTGGGAGTGGAAGGAAAAGACTCAAAATACAAGGAAGGACGTTGCAGTGTTGGGAGGTTTGACAACTCATTAAAAAACAATTGAGTTGATTTCTTGAGAGGGTGGTGTTTGAAGTTTAAAGTCACAAAGTTCACCAAACTCCGTCTTTCTCACACATTCATCTTTTTTCTCCAGATCACCAGTTTCAACCCTTATGTGACTGTACCAGTTTCATCCCATTCCTTAATGAGATTCAAGCAACTCAAGCTGTAATGCTCTGCAGGCTTCTTACAAGAAAGAAGCTGAAGAAAAGATATCAGTGACAGAAGTGATGAGTCTGCCAGTCCATTGAGGAAGCTGGTCTCATAAAACATACTGCTGTAGGTAAAAAGCACATATCAAGTTTCTCAGGTTTAACATTTCTGAAGATGGGATGAGGATACAGGTGGAGAATCCTGAAAACCTCAAAGCAAAGTCACAGCGCTGACCATATTGTCAAGAATTTGAATATGTAAAGAAAAGAGAAGAGTGAAAGGATTAGAAGATTAGCAAGACTCAGACTATCATAACAACAAGATCCTCCCCTGCCAGTTCAGATCACTGACTTCAAATTCCAGCAACAGCAGCAATCCCAAAGCAAAGTGAAATTGCAGAGTTGGCATAACAGAATGTTAATGTAGGTTTTATCTAAAGGTCTTTAACAGCAGACACAGGTAAAGATTATTTTTCCTTGACCAACTGCCAGCTTTTGCTATTTTAAAGGAGAATGGTTTCCTGGCTGATAAACAACACGTCATGCAACCTAAGACATGATAAAAAAATAAAGCAGACGGATGAAGTCATTATTATACATGACAAAATTTGTCAGAGGTAAAGGAAATCACCAGAAGCTACAGTGAAAAGAAAAAATGCAAGAAAAAATTATATATGCAAACCCCTCAGGACATTGTGACATATTAAAAAAGATAAGTAAATGGAGAACAATAAAACTGACATAAAAAGTAAATATATGCCAAAATGTAGAAAACAAAATTATTCTAGTGTTTAATGAAACTGTCCCAAGAGAAGTCTTAATATCTCTGAAGATTCTACCTCTCATCCACTTGATCAATAATATATATTATTCTAGGCATTTTAAAGAAGTCAGTCAAAATGAAGTAAAGACTACTTCTGTCTTTGTTTTTGCTGTGTCTGATGGAATTAGAGCTTTACATTATCATTACAAGTTTGAAGAGCCAAGTGAATGAGAGAGATTTTTACATATTTACAGCTGAATTTCTGAAAAGATAGTTTCAGAATTTTGAATCCAATAAAGAGAAATATGGAGGCAGTATTTGCTCTAATACTGTCATGGTGTTTTCTAGGGGATTTCATTAGTATTTCCACTTAACATAAAAAGCAATCAAAATACTTGATTAACATTATTTTTCACTTTTGAAGTTGTCCTGAAGTATTAAAAGAAAAGTCTCAACCCAAGTAAGTGGATAGTAAATGTTTGGTTTAAGAACTTAAGAAAGAAAAGCCTCTTCAGAGATCTCTATTCTGAAATGGTATTAATCTACTTTTAAAAGTTTCCATGTTGCATTATTTTTCCTCCTTATTTTTAACCATTCCCCCACATATCAGGTACTCTGAATAGTTCTTTTCATTCACACCCTGTTAAAACACCATCATTTAACTTGATGTGAATAAACACCCCATTGCAGTGAGGCCACAAATCTACTTTCTTTGATGATTGAATAGTGCAAGGCCAGTTACCTATATTCCAGTGGGCATTTTGTGTGTGACTCACCTTATGCTGTGCAAGCTGCATCTTTATTTTGTCAGGGTCATTTGCAATTTCAAGATCTGAGTCCAGAGATTTCTCTGATTCTTCCAGCCATTCCATAAGTTTATGCCAGGCTTCATGAAACTAAAGGAAAGTCAGATTTGCATAGACTTTAAAATTCAGTGGTTCATAAAACAGTCCAAAAGCATTAAACCCCAACCAAGACTGGCATACTTTGACAAAATTTGATGGGTTTTTTTCTCCCAGGTCTCTTAAACAGAACTGGTCTAGCCATGTGCCCACTCCCTTCACCAAGTGAGTTAACCACCTTTAATGTATATGATCTGCACACGTCACATGTATCTGTCAGAGACATTGTAGTAATACCTGTTGGTGTGTTGGTTATTTAGATTTCTACAGGTTTAATAATGGATAGTAAATACAGAAAGAACAGGGCTTAGCTATTGCTTATATGGGACCATGGCAGGAAATCTCTGGGAAAAACTTCTGTCTGGATGACTGCCCAAGATGTTCCCTGTAACACTCTTAAAAGCTCTCATTATATCAAATGCTATCTTGATGAGCAAGGAACAGATTTTTGATCTTCCTTCCTGTTTCAAAGGAACGAGCACTTCAGGGAAGGAAGCAGGGAAAAAGTAAAAATTCAACCAGCTTTCACAAAGTGTAATCCATTGGGGTTTTGATTTTTTTAAGCTGGTTATTTCTCTCTCTCTTGAAAATTCTTCTTACCTGGGCTGCCTACACATGGAAGCACAAGAAACTAGTTCAGAAACCTTTCAAGGCATCTCAGACATTGTTGTTCAGGGCTGTTGATCAGGCCTTGACACTAGTAGCCTTCAGTACTCCTTCCACACTCCACACACACAGTTTTCATCTTAATAACACTGTATTCAGCTTTGTAAATGCATATTGAGATGAAACCCATCTCACTGCAGAACTGCTGTGTGTGTGAGTGCACAAGAGAAACTGCTGGAAAATCAGAAGCACAATTGGCTTATGGGCTAATTCATTGTCCAGAGAACTTCTTGCTCTATGAGCTGAGTGGTGGTAGTTGAGAACATTGAAACATGGTTTAGCTGTGAACATCACCAAATCTTGAATGATGTTCCCTTAACAGAATGGAGCTAGAACTTCCTGTTGGTATTTAAACAGCTTACATTCCTCTCACACATTTTGCTTCTTATCATTTCTGTTCTTCAGTGAGGGAACCATGTATCTAAGGAAAAAACCACGCATCCTCCCAAATAAAGAAAACTGTGAAAACAGCCCCCTCCCCCCAAAAACCAACCTCTCTGGGTTTATAAGGAAATAAATGGAGATATCTTACCACACAAAAGATAATGGTCTAGTAACTAACATAAGAGATTGAGTGATAAGTGTTGAGTATAATCAGGACACAACATAGACCCAGGAAGAAAATGCTAAGGAATACTCCCACAGATTAGTGAAAAGGGTTCATCACATTCTTTAAAACATACAGGGTTGATTATGAAACTTCTTTTTGAAGACAGATGGCACTAATACACATCTGGAATCCATACTGTAACTTCCTTTTTTCAGACCATCCTATACTGCAGACAGAAGTCACTGCTTGGGTTGAAAATGATGCTTTCACTTCCCAAATGAAGTGCTCTGGGATTGAATCACAGAAATCGTTCCACTAACTCAACACTGTCTGTTACACTAAACCCAGGCTTGCTTTGTAAGTGCTTTAAAGCATCATACTCTTCAAGAATCTGGATGCAATTACATCTAAGTTCAAAGAGCTCTATAACAGCTGTTGTCCCATTACCTGTTTGGCTCTTTTCCTTGCATCATCCAAAGCTCTTCCCCTTTCAACTAAGCGTTGGACTACTTTTTCCCATCGACTCTGTACACTGATCAGCAGATTCTTAATAAGGACAACGTCCTGTTTCTGGCTGAAATATTTCAAATGGGTTCCATTTTTGTCCAGCTCTATGACCTGATCTCGATGAGAGTTCACTTCTGTGGCAAAAACCTTGGAAAAAAAGGGTAAAAATTACTGAATACTGTGTTGGGTAAACACTGAAAAAAAACAGTCTGATAAAGAATGATGTAGTGAGAAAGACTACAAAACACAATTTTAAAACAAATGAAATGTTTCTCTGAGTGCCAGCATTATAGGATTCATTTGGACATTGTTACAGTATCTCCACAGAGTGGGAGAAAAACATTACACATCTGTTTCTTTACATACCTTGTGTTCATCAATTTGAAATAAGACAGTGTCCAAGATAAGACTTGGCCGAGAAGCTGCAGTTAGAGTCTGCTCAGCCTGAGTAAGCCAGTTGATGAAATCTTGAAGTGAGTTGTGGAACTCCATTGCTAAATTGAGGGCTTCTTCCAGTTTGGTCTGCAAAGACAGGTCATACTTTATTAGCAGTTGATAGTGTGCGGGGGCTTCAGCCAAGGAAACCATTTTAGTTCAGCACTTTGGAGTAAACCATTTTACTTTAGCATTTTAAAGCACTTTTCCAATTCAAAGTTTCTGAGTTTTAAAATAACAGCCTATATTCGAGCATATTCAAGGAGATGGATACAGGAGTTACAGCAAAATTACACATAACAGATGAATAGAAAATACACCACCTAGTATCAAGATAAATTTTTCCACATTAGAGCATATTTCCTACTACTTAATCCAAATGGGGCATTTGGATTTATCAAGTTCAATGCTAAACCAGTAAAATTTCAGAAATCTAAGGTGGTAGTGCAGTTGGAAGGGCCTCAGGTAGGTCATCAAATTTATTCTCTTGCACTTAATGAAGAGTAAGTTTTCTTACAGTACTTCTTTTTAATTCAGTCCAATTGTCATTTTGGTTGCCCAAACAGAAACTAATTTGGGATACAGAATTTTGTTGATCATGAGATGGCAGTCAGAGATTTTCAAACATTTACATTGCTGACCTCACTGAGCACTTCAACCTTACACCTTCCTAGAAGAAGCTGCTTGTACTGAGTATTAATTAGTTTGTCATTTTTACTTTATTATTACCTTGAGATACATCAGCGTTATGACTTTAAAATACAGCTAAGTTGTGAGTTAAATATTTGTGCTTTATACTTATCAGTTCTGTACAGACAGTTTCTCTGTTTGCAATCATGGGTTTGATTGAGTTAGAACAAGTGGACTGTATTTCGTGAAGGAATGAAAGCCACATGAAATTAATAACAAGAAAATGTATGTTGCATATGAGTGAAATCATGCTATTGATCTGTTAGAACAGAAGGTAGTCACTTGAAGTAAATGGTAAAAGGCCAAGTGTTTGGGAATGTTAATAAAAAAAGGCTAAAATCTAAGAAAATTAACACAGCAATTCTGTACTGAGGAGGAGATAAACTTGAAGGATCATTCAGTCTCTCATTCAGTCCATTACTGAATAAAAACCCATAACTGAAAAAAAACCCATAAAACCCCTAGTCCTACCAAATAAGCATTAACAGTATCAGTTAATATATTTCTGTGAAACAGACTTGGGCCATTCTCACCATACTCCTCCCCAGTTATGGAGAATTAACTTCTTGAATCTTATCTTCCCCAGTACTTTCTAAACACATTACTGAATTACGCCAGTCTCTACAACTGATTTTAAATGTAAAAAATCAGGCAAGTATGCATCCATAAAACTACTGATCATTAACACACTTAAATGCATATTTTACACTTCTGTTTTTATGCAAAAACACTTACTTTTCTTTCACTGAGTTTTGTTTGCACAGATTCCCATTTTTCTTTTAAGTTATTTATGTCCTGCTCAACATTTGTTTCAGCAGACTCTGGGCATCTTGCAAGCATCTGCTGGCCTTTCTGCATTAAACACTTGTATGTCTCTTCTTTGGCCTCAAAGGCAGCACAAAGTTCCTAAATACAGAAATTATCAGAAATAATAAGGTAGAAATTCAATACTCTTTATAAAAACCTGTATAATATTTATTCCTCCCCCAACATTTAGCAGGTACGATTAAGACTAATAAAGGAAACACATGTAATTCATAGAAAGCCAAATGAGAAAATGAGGGACACAGTTCCTCAGGAAATGGAAACTGGTATTGTCTGTCAGTGTCTTCTCTGAGATTCAAAGATTGGCAAAGTAAACACTATGCACTCATTGAAGGAGCTGCTACAACTTGGTTGGCTTAAAGTCCAACTGTAGCCAAAACACAAAAAGTGTCAGCATTACACACATTACACACATTAGTGTGCTGGAAGTCCAGACCTATCCAGTACCCTTCAAAAGTGGGTAGGACAGCTTGGGAGGGCTGTCTTATTGTACATTGTCAGTATCTTCCTTCACTTGCCAGGCATGAGCACTGAAGACATTTCAGACATCAAAAGAAAGCTGTAATAATAATGGTAACAATGTGTTTTACCTGTAAACTATTCTAATAATTATGCTGTTTTAATCATGTTGGTAAGCTGGCAAAAGTCTGGGAGCTCCCATGCATCCCCCTGACTCAAACAGACATGCTCAGTATTGGTAACAGACAAATCAAAATGTACCAATGAAGCTGCTGCAGACTCACAAATGAGGAACATCTTCACAAGGAGATGAGGAATAAGTCGTTTACAAATAAGAAGAAAAGTACTTTTCCCTCTGATTCTCAGGACAAGAGCCCAAACCAGACATTTTTGGGGGGCTAAGAGATACTGTACACAGGGCTCTGTACCTGACCACACAGGAGGGCAAAGCAAGAAGCAGGCTCATTCATGAGATTAAGATTTTGACACAACAGAAAGCTTCATTGTTTTCTCTCTGGGGACTATGGAAAGTGGTGTCCCCTAGTCTGCTTCCTCCTACTACCTCAGGAAGAAACTGAAAACAGTGATTGTTTTAAGAAAAGGAGAGGGATGGTATGAGCAGCACTGGGATAGCTAAAAAGGTGCCTTTTTAAGCCCCTTTTGTACTGGTATTCTGTAATGTCTCTTCATATATTTTGTTTTCCTGGAGCTGCTTTAGCTGGAAATGCAGCCCAATCTCAACTCCATTTGTGAACCAATTATGGCTGAGGTTCTTTCATTCATATCTTTTATTCATATCTTTTATTCATATCTGTGGAAACAGGCCTTGTACTAAAGAACGTGGTTCATAACATTACTTCCAAAGAGGAACAAATCAAATGTAGTGTAGAACTTTCTCCTTCAGTTTCACATCAGTAATTGACACAGCTGGCTCTAATTGCTTAGAGCCAAGTTTGAATTTGGAATGTAGTAGACAACATGACAAGTGGCCTCAACATTCCAGAAAAAAGAAAAAAAAATAAAAGGAGAGAATTAACACATATCTGCACATGTGCATTAAGGTTTAACCAAAAAGAAATCAAGTTCTGTGCTTTAAGGGTTGATAGCAAGTCAATGCCTGCAGATGGCCACTAGGACAGTAACATCCTGTTAAAATGTACATGTACAGTTAGGGAGGGATTGTACATCTAGAGTGCATTTTACTGGGGACAGTCAGACTTGTTCTGACTATAACATAAAGGCCCTTTAACTAAGGGCCCTTTAACTAAGTGCCTTTGTAAGTGTAGAAAAATTGCATAGCAAAGAATGTACTAAAAGAAAATTCTGAAGCCTTCCATGAAAATTTTTGCATCTTGATCTAAGTGCAGGATGAAAAAGGGAAAGATCACCACTGCCTTTCAGAGAATCATGAGTCCACTCTCACAGGGGGAAAAAACCCTACCACCAATTTTTCTCCCTTTTTTGTTTTTCCTTTATGACAAATAGAAAAGGATTATAGGGATTCAAAACAACAGGAATATTTGTGTTTGGATCTAGTTTCCTGTCTTATATGATTTTAAAACTGTAAATTACTTTCCCTATCAGTTATAGATACTGGCAAATTTTTGAGGACAAAAAGGAAGGGGGGAAAAGTGCCCTATGTTGGTAACCAATGATCTTTATCACCATTAAAAAAAAAATCTGATTTTTAACATGACAATTCAGCATTCTAATTGGAAGTGTCAAGTCAAGCATATTCCAGTTCAAGTACAGTTCAGTAAGTATCACTGTTACCTCTGAGCCAGGAATTCAGAGGTTCAGATCACCAGGTTTGGGCTTATATCCTGGCCTAAAGCTCATCATGATTTTACACAAATGGAGCAGTAAGAACCACCTTCCTTAGAGGCAAGAGATCAAGTTTAAGTGTCTTTTTAAAAACTCTATGGTTCTATGAAAGCAGAGAAATCCACAGAATGTTGCTTAAAAGAAAGGGAATAATTCAGTCATCCCAGTCAGCTTGCCATTTCTAATCAAAGCACAGCCTCTATGAGCCAGTAGTCCTTCTTATTTCTATGCTAATGTTGACTTTACTGTCAGCTTTGGTTAAATAAAGAATAAAGGATCAAGTCTCTTAAGGTTTAGTGAATGTGGGCCATTTTTAGGTTCATCCTCAAACTTTAGAAAAATCATAAACTTAGTTATCGGGTCAGAAGGGAAAAGAAGAATAGAAATCACAAAAAATCACCTTTTGTAAAGATGCAAAAGTTGTTTTATTTGTCTCAACACTAATAATGCTTCAGCTTTGGGCACGTCCCAACAGGCTACTAAACTGTAAATAACAGTGTTGTTTTGAAGGCTATTAAATTTCTTTAAGACACTGTACAGACCTTGTGATATATAGAACACACTCCGTATTAACAAAAAACACTCTAAAAAGATAGTTAGTCCTGAAATGCAATTTGCAAAGCATTCTAATACTGATACTTACCATATGTGCATTAAGCTGCTCTCTTGCTGTTTCTGGTAAGCCTCCAACAGGTTTTGATGCCAACAGCTGACGTTCAGTGTCTGTCAGCCATTGCTGCAGATCCTCAACTTCACCATGGAAACCTTGAGCCTAAATTATACCACATCATTTTAGAGATAACTTAAATGCTCTCCATTACAATAACCACTTCAGATGCATAAGCAGATTGGTAATTGGTATAATCAGAAATTTGTAATTATCAAAGTAAATTAAAGAAGAAGAAAGAAAAAAAGGAAAAAGCAAACTAACAAACTAGCTGAATTCAATCTAAAGGACAAAAACCATAGAAATCATAAAAGCAGTCAAAATAATTGATCTACTATGAGATCAATGTTTTCCCTGAATAATACAACTATACAGAAATTTCACCCTTTACAAACATGTAGACCAAAAGCTGAATTCTCATATCAGCACTGTAAGGGACAATGTCTAGCTGTGGAAGATACAGCTGGATTCAAAATTTCTCCAGATCCAGGAGCGTCTGCATAATGGTTTTGATTTAGGCCAACTTCTAATACATGTATCTGTGTATTTCATGTAAAAGACACTTTTTCTGAGTTATCTCTATATTTGATCATTTCCTGTTCACCTGGATCAAGGCACTATCCAGCTGCTGCTTCCTTTGCTCTGTTTTTTCCAACAAGTTTTGCCAGCGCTGATTCAGGAGTTCCAACTTGCTCCGTAAATTACTTGCTTCTTCAACAGCACTTGATTCAATCAGGTCATTTCCTGCTTTTTTAACAGCTTCCACCGTAGACTGATGAGCGAAAACATCATTTTGTAGCACCTACAATTGTAACACAGCATGGTCAAATCAAGTAAGTTACTGAATGAAGGCACTCACAGAGATTGAGCCAGTTGTAGCCCAAGGACAAGACAATAGTTAAACATCAGCACAGGTATCAGAAATTAAAGCTCTTAGATCTTCCTCAATCAGATGCACTAACAATTCTGACAGTAACCATTCTAACAAAATACTGAAGTTTATTTTTGTATCTTGGAAAACAATAATATATTCTTTCTGAAAGCATATATTTCTGAAATTATCAAAGGTTTCTAGTAGTGCTAGGGAATAATTATTTCTTCACTTTTTAAATTTATTATATACTTTTCTTTAACAGGATTTTTCTTTGAATACTATGTGCCTGCTGCGCTATACAACAACCCAGCTGCCACAATGAATTCTTGTGCATTTCACGGCTACAACTCCTTTCACATTATGTCAGGCTACCAGGACACTTGACCTGTGCTAAAAGCTGGGGGATGGTTGTACTACTAACACCAAAAGACCTCCTCCATCTGCTGGAAAACCTCTTATCACCAACCACAGTAAAAACCATAGAAGGCAAAAGGTACATTTGGGGATAAAATGCTGTTTTCAGAAGGATGGAGGGCAGGGCAAAAAAAGGTTTAATATAGACCAGAGAAAGAAATACACAAAATGGTTGGGAAGAGAATGGTAAACCCTATCTAAGAATTTCAAGCTTATGACTCCTATCTTCCATGGATTCTGACTGAAACTCACCTCCATCAGAGTACTAGCATATGGAAAAAATGCAAAGCTAAATACAAAGAAACTTAAACTATGTGGAGCACAATATGAAATAGCAAGTCAAAAGCAGACCTTGAATACAAAACACACATTACATTTATTTTAATTCTTCTAAGCTAAGAATCAGATTATTTTATTTTCCTAACAGGGTAAAAAAAGGTATTCAAAGAAGCAGATGCATCTTATCCCTTCCTTCCTGCTGAGACTCACTAAGAACAAGGTCTATTCTTTCCAAAGTTATTCAAGAGGTGGGTGTTTTTACAGGCTACCACAGGATGCACTACTGTGTGAACTTTCTAACCTATAAACTCTGTATTATGAAAAGGAAGTAAATTCATTCATGTGTTTGCTGAACTCCTTCAGCACAGACACAAATGATGCCTCGATGCTCTTCACCAGTGAAACACTTCCATTCGATAAGAGCATAAAAGGCTCGTGGAGCAGAACCCAGTCTTGTAATTTTATTTACTTTGTTTTAAAAGGGTCTGTGTATAACAATAGCCACATAGGCTATGTAGATACTGTATTCTGTTCAAGTTCCAATTGACCACCCAAAAGCTTTCAGAAGCTGCATAGCTGCATTAACACAGACAATGAAAAGACTTTAATTATCTGTGTACTGTCAATTTCAATCAATTCTCTCAAAATCCAAAATGGACTCTGAGCGCTTTTTACATCATATGCAAGCCAAAAATTAAATGGCAGATTTAAAGGGAGAGGAATTATAAGGTTAGATTGAAATCTTCAAGCTTAGAAAGAACACATTGTTATGAAGAGCACAGAGCTAAACACTGAGGCAGGGAAAATATCTTAGTCCTAGGAGATGTTCTAAAAATAAAGGCATAGCAGAATCATTCTTCCATAGGCTTCAAAATAACAATGATCAGTAAAAATACTAAAACAAACAAACAAACAAAAACTCTCAACCCTATGTTGCAAGTAAAACAGAGAAAAAGATGGGAGTTTGCACAGATTTTCAGAGAAGCATTTTCCATCTTAGCTGAACCCAGCTGACATGCAATTTTGCAGAATTCAGAACAAATCACTATTTTCTGAGAAGGAAGAAAGAACCAAAGACATGCAAGAGTCATGCAGCTTGTGAGGCCTGGCTTAAACAGCAGTACTCAAGGAGTTTACTGCTTCAGTGTGCTTCAGGTTTTGAATTCCCTAGGTCAAAGAAAGGTGATTAGAGATGGAGTCTAGGGTAAGCTGTTTATTTTTGGCTAAAACCTATGCCACTTGCACAGCATATGCAAGAAAGGAAGGCATGTGGAGGAGTAAGAGGAAAGATATTACTTATTCTAAGCCTTCATTCCAGCTACAGTCTGCATCTTGAAAGCGTATGTAGAGAATTATTTATCAAATGCAAAGTTTTACTAGAAGACTCATCCCTGTGATAAATATCAAAAGAACATTTTGGTTAATACTGTTTATAATTACATACATGATGTTTGGCAAGTTCAATTTCAATAGCCTTGGGGTCTCCACCCACGGGTTTTTGTTCATTCAGCAAATCTTCTGTATGTGTCAGCCATGCCAGTAACTCATCCAGGGCATGCTGGAACTGCCCCAAGGCCAACAAGGCACCTTCCAGCTTGTGCTACAGTAAAAATAAAGTTAACAAGAAAATCATTTCACAATGCAATTGAATTGTCTTCCATTACCATTAGTCACCATAATCCAGAGCAGAGTCCACACATAAGACAGAATAAAAGCCAGGGAGGAACAGTTACCCACTGCAGGCAATGCTTTATAACTACAGCTGAGTTAGCAATTCCCTTGTAAAGCCTTGCATTCCAGGCTCAAATTCCTCAAATTCCATTTAATATAGAACAGAAAAAGAAATACACAAAATGGTTGGGAAGAGAATGGTAAACCCTATGGTAAAATGGTACCAGACCAGAGTTAAGATTGAAGGCTCTTTCATCAGATGTATTAGTAGCCTTTTATCACTTAAAACATATTTTCAATATAAATGCAATTTGGTGTGTGATCTCTTTAAAATCTTTTCTTTGTCATGAAATTATTCAGTTTAGAAAAAATAACACACTTCAAAGGACTCTTTCACATCTCTCAGCTTGATAAATTAAGGAAATAACACCAAAATAGTTTAATATTAAAGTTAATGGGATTTTATTCAATTGTTCAGCTCAGCACCTACTATTACTTTTGCACATATAAACATTCTTTCAGCTGCTACTTAAGACATCATCAAATAACCAAAATGCAATAATAATCATTCAACACAGCATTACTGACAGAAAATTTAAAAAGAAGGTTTAAAAATGTTTTAAAAACTAAACTAATTGTACAATTCAAATGCTATTATATATAAGATTTTTAGCTTCCAAACTAAAAGGAATGTGCAAATTAATGTAAGTATTATGCATAACAAAGAATTTTTCACAAAAAACAAAATCATTAATAAAGCCCCCACCTCCAAGCTTATTTACCTGTCTACTTATAATTTTGTCTTCTAGGCTGTCCCACAATAGTCTGAGCTCTGAGAGAGGGTCTTGAACAGTGTGCTTGTCACTCTCTTGTGTTGCTTTCTTTAGCAATAGTTCTGCCTGATGGTTCAGTCTTTCCATTTCTATCTGCTGCTGATAAGCTTCTGTCTTAAATTGCTATGGTAAATAGAAAAAGAAAAGAAGTAAATGAAACACAAATAATGATTATAGAATCACAGAATTATTCTGTGTTCTAGCTCTTGTGGTTGTGATGGGGATAATGTTATAACTTTCAAATGGAATTATTCTTGAAAGGAAGTGAAAGCAAATTTTCTTTAGTAGAACACTCTCTAACACACAATTGGTGCAACAGTCTGAAGGCATCTTGTGTACATATGTTCTGAACTATGTAAGGTCATAATTCATTTGAAGTTACATCATAAAATACATAAAACAACCTGCCCACAGCCAACAAAATCTACAAGTGAGCAACAAGACCAAGAACCTTCTCTGATCTTCACATATCTCTGCTTTTTAAACATGGCATAACAGCATCCCAACATCAGGAGCATATTTGGTCACAAGTACAGATCCCTGCAGACAGATTTCCAAATTAGATTGGAATTTTGATTTTCACCTTACTCACATATTGGGAATGTCATGATCTGTGTAAGCATTTACATAAAGGCTCTAATGGCATAAGCAAAGCTTTGGAGGCCTTCTCCCAGAGCCTCAAAGAAACTGTTCATGTTAGAAACAAGAAAACATAAAGTTCATAGCAGAAGAATCCTGCACATAATAACTTCATAGTTTTTGAAAGAGAATGAATGATACTACAACTATTTTTGGGCTATCAGAAAAAAATAAAATGTAGCCTAGACAAAATTTGGAATAGTTTTTTAAGTTAAGTGCATTTTAAAATGAAAAGTTTGATATTAAATATTTTTAAATTTTCATGCAAATTTTTCTTTACTAAAAATTGAAAATGAAAATTGTATTTGACTCTCAAAAATACTGCACAACACAGAAAAATACAGACAAATGGAAATATAAAGGAAATTAATTAATCGCTAGTTCATACCTTAAGTTCCTCTGTTTGCTGCTTCACTGTCTCCAGATCTGTTCCAACTGGGGACATAGATGCTAACTTGCTGCCAGCAATGTCCACCCAGTCAAATAATGCCTGAAAATCACAGTGTGATATTTAAGTGTGAGCAGAGAAATGCTGTTATTTTTGAAAGTTGTATTGAGTAAAATATCAGAACTTTTCTTTTTTCCAGAGAAATTATTGCTGTTCTCATTCAAAGAAAATAACTTTCCCAGCAAAACCTAGGTTTCTTTGTAATACAATAGAACAAATACCCCTGTAACAGTTACAGGAGTGTACATTCTGCAATCCTGGACTTCTATTAGCAGCAAGATTCTGCCACAATTATTCATGCTGAGTAGCAATCTACTTCTTGTATTTACCTTTCAGGGGATTCATAAAAATTGCAGATTTTACACAAGACAAACTCTGTTCTACAGTTGTTTGGAGTGAAAATGGAAAGATAACACCTTAAATGAGGATTATAAACTTTTGAAGAAAGTTTTTGGTGTGAGGAACATGGAACTACCTATTCAGTACACACCAGGCAGTGAAGGATCATAACTGAGCTACAATGAATCTCTAGAGGATAATGCAGAGTGACTTTAAAAAAGTAAAAAATACAAAATAAATTATGTCTTCCCAGTTCTGATGCTAGGATGTGCCCTGTACAGCTACAGGAAATAGAAAGCAGTTAAACCAAATGGTGGTGATTGTGTCAAATCAATCTCTGCACAGCAGGAACACAAGAGAACACAGACAAAAATCCATAGTGATGGTGCACTGCAAAACAGGCGTGTTGCATTATCATTCAGGAGTGGTCTGCTGCTTGATCTGCACCAAATACAGCAGTAACTGCCCTCAGTATCATGTGAAATTTCAGTTTTAAAGATTTAATGAACCATGGAAGACAGTAATTCGACCAAGAAAAAACAAACAAACAAAACCAAACCAAACAAACAACTACAAAAAACCCAACAGCACATACAGAGAAAAGATCATAGTTTCAAAGGATAGGTTGTGTTGGAAGAGACCCTTAAAGGTCATCTAAAGCACAACCCCTCTTTTTCTTTAAACTTCATCAGTTCTGGGAAGCACTGCGTACAAGATATCTTTAAACTGCTGGAACATTTGCCTACAGATTTAAAAAGGGGATAATCTTCTAAAGTATTGTGATAGGATAAATTATACTAGGAATATAAATTATACTAAGAATAATGGTTTAGCAACATTATGTTAATAATTGTACTTATAAATAAGGTGGAATAAAATTCAAGTGCTGTAATTGTCTTTGACTCAAAGAAAACAGCAGCAAGTGTGTATACAGACCTGTACTCTGCTCCTTTCAGACCAAATGTGTCACAACTTTAACCTGCCTTGACTATCACAAGAAACTGTGAGCAGAACTACTATGAATGTGTGGTGCCAAAAAGCCTCTGCTCTTATCAACAAACAAGGGGACATTAATTTTGCATCTAAACACAGTGCAATGTATGGACATGAAGAAAACAGCACAACATATGCACTCTTTAATGCAGAAAAAACCCAACAAACCAACCCCAACCAATCTTGAGGAAAAGCCCTGCCTACTCAAGAAAATAGTCACTACAACCAGAGTGCAGTATTTGTCACCCACCTAATCACATGACACTTTCTACTACAACCACAGTAAATCCCATTGACCCAAGGCTGGGTTAGGCATGTCACATCATCTTACCTGTAGTCCATCCTGGTATTGAACTGCTGCCTGCATAGCTTCCCCAAGCTTATCCACACGTTCTTTCCATGTTTTGTTTAGTGCATCCCAGGCAGAATTCAGCTGCAAATAAGCACAATTTACTCCCATAGACAAAAGAATTTTACTGCTATATAATGTGCATTTACCAACGCTCCACTGAACAATAATACAAATAGAAACTAAGCATGACTGTTTCACATTTATTAACACTCTTGTTCTCCCTATCACTTCAGAAGTAGTTTCTTTCAGAATTCAGTAGAGGTTCTGAATTATAAAAGCTGTAAACTGCAATACTGATTAAATATTTTTTATTAACAGAGATCCAAAAGTTAGTAGAGGAAATACTACTAAATCATTTGGAGTTGCATCACCACAATAAAAATACCTTAAAAGAATCATACACTGCTGAAGACTGGAGAAATAAAAAGTACTTTATAGACATCCAAACAGGATAGTCTCAGTTAAGATGTCTCACTTGGCATGAAGAATACATACCCAAAATTTATTCCAGCATTACTTTTTACAAGAAACAGTCACCTACAATATTAATCAGTGACTATTTTTAAAAAACCTGTCTTTTACAAAAGTTCTAAACCATAAATCAATTAAATAAAACAGTGTGTACATTCGAATCTAATCTAAGATTTATTCACTCAAAAGGGAAATCTTACTTTACCACAAAGGCTTCAGTGGTGTCTCACATTTGCCACAGAATTTTTATTCTCAAAATTTGTTGGGGTCATAGGGAATATACAAATTTCAGCTGAGCAAGCTATCACACAGCAGGCCTAAGCATCTGCATTTCCCATACCTCATCTATACTCTTGTTGACAATGGGTTTGTCAGGCTCTCCACAAGCAGCTCTCAGCTCAGAGCCAAGGCTCACAACTGCTTCTAGTTCTTCTTGTAGTCCATCAATCTCTTCTTTAGCAGCCTACAAAGAGAAAAAAAGCCAACACTGCTAATACTAGATTTAATAACCTATGTAAAACTTGCTTTCAAGACAGAACACAGTGGGATTCCACCTTTGTTTTCCTTCCAGTCACTTGGACTTAGAAAATAAGCATCCCTTTGCAGTGCAGGGATGAAATCAGCTGACATCAGTCTAAATTGTAACAATGGTTTATGATACCATTTTCCATGAGATAGAGAAAGTAAACAGGAAGTTTTAAATTAGATTTCTTTAATCAGAGAGTCTTCTTTGTCAGAGGTTATCATTCAACCTTCCAACATTTAACTATCAGTATAAATAATTACAGGCTTAGAGGATAATACATAGACCATCATACATTTGTCCACCTTTCATTTGGATGTTACATACTACTCGAGGAATCTCAAGCATGTACAACTTTTCAAAGTCTCAGTGAGATGGTTATTATGTACATATTTACAAACAAATAAGGAAATCTAATGACAAGCACATGTTGCACGCTCATTGCAATTAAGCATTGATATGTGTTATTAACTGTAGACTCTTGAGATACCATTACTGAAAATTTCTACACAATTATCCCTCTTAGTCTCTACAAAATTATATATTTTCCTCTGCATACCATAAATAAAGTACTTCAAATCAAGAAAATACTTTCTACTGACCTCTGCAGCTTCTTGCTGTTGCTTGACTACAGATGGGTCAACTCCAGGTCCCTCCAGTTCTCGAATGAAGTCCTGAGTATCTTTAATAGTAGCTACAAGAGCCATATGATCACACCAAAACTTTTCAGCTAGTTCCATTACATCCAACAGTTTGGCCTCTCTTTCCTCAGTCAGAGTCTGGATGTCCTCCCAAATTAGGACCATTTGGTCTAGTTTATCTTGAACAGCTAAACAACAAAGGAACTAGATTACTACCTTGGCAAACAATTCTTGGTCATAAATCTCTCTACAGTTCTACAGCAGAAACATATGTGTACATTTTAGAATTTAGACTCTAAAATATTTCTTTGCAGGACTCCTTATAATGTTAAGTGGAAACAAACACAGTGGCCTTTAAAAATAAAATAAAGGTCATATCCACAATGAATTATTTTAAAAGATATTTTGTTTTTATAAATCTTAAGCAGCTTCTCCTGGAGAACATTCCCCAGATTGGAGGTCATCAGAAATGAAGAATTTTATATGCAGCAGCTTACTGCATTTCCACTACATGAAAGTTTTCTCAGTCTATTACCTTTAGCAGACATATCCTTATCAGCGCCTTCTGAGCGAGCGATCATCTCCTCCCCTCTCTGTTTAAGTGTCTCATACACTGGCTGAAGTTTTTCCAGATCCACTGACACATTCTTATTTTCACTGATCTGCTCTTTTATCTTCTCAACCTCTGCTGAGATCGACGGTGGCTGCCTCAGACGTTCAACTATGCGCTTCAGACTCTCCAGAGTTGGATCTATCTTGTCATGGAACTAGGAGGGTGCCACAGCACACAAGGAAATGGCAGACAAATTAGAATATTTAAAAAAACCCAACAAACTAAAAAATGGCATCTGAAATTATCTTAGAAAAAAGTACTTGACATCTCTATCCAACATATGTATGTGCAAATTGCAATACCTCCCTCTAGGCTCTTTTAATTCTAAGTTACAAAAATAACCCTGCAAAATGATAGGTTCTGTCAAATTCAAGAACTTTTCTATTAAGTTCAGGTTCACTCCTGAGACACTCCCTCTGAGAGTACTATACACATGGCAGAATCCACTTACATTTAGTCCTGTGAAACCCATGCAGTTTGTAGCTTTAGAGAGCCATGGCTTTCTGACTTCATCATTTTAGAAAGATTTGTACTTTACTATGAAAAACATACATTTTCCTGTTAGGACTAACACACTGATGTACTACCTCTGATTAAGGCTTTATATGTAAGGTCATGCAAAAAGACATCTCTAAGTGGCCAGGAGGTGCTTGCTAGGGCAGTAAAGGTATGGTACTTTCTGCAAATAAAAGCACACAACAGTGTATATACTGTATTCTTCCATGTTTGACTGGGCCCACGTGGGTGCTCAGAAATTCAATTACAACTGGGTTAAAGTGGTTCAGCCTTTGGGATAGGTCCAAAGCTGGCTTTATTATATGCTTTTGGATGCACAGAGATTCCTAAATATCTCGTACCACCACGCCCCTTTCAAATTAAAGAAATCAATAAATTGTGGGTGCATTTAATAACTCTCCAGGATCCACAAAAAGCATTCCTGACAACACTTGGAAAAGATGCTCACATACCTTATGTGAATAAATAGCTACCTCCCTTCTATTCAAAGGAATATACACAGGCAAAATAATTACTTTTTCCCCACCATACAACCCACTTCAAATCTGACTCTGTGACTAGCATTACAGGCCTCAGTGTTTTTGTTAGAAGTGTGAATATCACACAAGCCAACTAAATGTGTTATGAAAGAATAGTAGCCTTCCCACATTCAAGACTTCCAAGAAACTGATTGTGGTAACAAAACCTAACAAAAGTGATAAAAACTGAAATTAATTTGGCAATATTTGTGTCTAATTTTAGGACATAGATCGCATTTTTAAGTTGTCAGTGCATTCAGTAGGTCTCCTTGTACCAACTTCAACAAATAGGACAAAGTGTTTTAGAACTTAAAAGGAAGAAAATGCAAGTCATTACAACCTCTCATTCTAGCTTCATACATTACATCCTTCCTTTGATACACAGTGCAATTTAATATAATTTCAAACCTGAAGAGTTAAATAATTACTCTTCAAGGACTGTCTAGACAAACATTGACATAAACATCACTGTGCAGAAATCTGATAATACATATTCACATATCTTTATAAAAAAAGATTTTATATAATCACATTCTGTGGGCATTACAATGTTTTGCTTTGCCATCTGTGTATACATTTAAGTATATAAAATGACCCATAAAGTATTGCATAAATAATTCAGTCATTTCTCAACATCTGATTATGTTCTAGGTGTTAGCAAAGAATGCATTTTAATTCTTCCTTTCTGTACTCAGCCAGTACAACATGTTGATGTCTATCACATACAAAACAGGGACTCTAACACTAAATAGATATCTTGATTTCCAAATTGGCAGCTCCACATAAGAGGCGGACTAAACATTTATGACAAAGAGAAAGGGAGGATTTAAATAATCAGGCATATTTCAGAGGTGCGAATAAGGAAGGTGTTTAGAATGACTGAAAGTTTAGAAAGTTTAGTAAATATAAATATATATATATAAAATATGCCTATAACCACTTCAAAAGCCGGATGATATCTGATGTCATTTAGTTTTGCCTCACATTCTTAAACTCTGCAGGGGCTGGGAATATGACATTAATCATAATGACCTGACAAAATTACTTAGAATGTAGAATTCTTAAGGTCTTCAAGGTGTATTTCTTTATTTAGTATTTAATACCTAAGCAGAATATAGCTCTTATTTCCAGTGAACAGAGAGGAAAAAGGGGAATTTCCTATAAAAACAGCAGTATAGAACAAAGTACTTTTATTCAGGTTTTTGTATGGGTTTATGTACAAAGTTTTACTGAGTTTCTTTTCTAAATCTGGTGTAGAGGAAAAAATTTCAGTGTGAATTTAATGACAATTAACCCATATTTAACAGTACTTAAGAGTTGCTAGAACACAGCATTTGACAATACTCTACTGAAGTTCATTTCATAGGCTGATGAAGCTAGAATATGCAGCTTTTGGGGACTTAACCTGAGTTTTATGCTGATGGCATTTTCTGAAGTCTAAATTTCCTGGCAATGCTTTTCTGTAGCAGTTTCAGTGCATTATGCTACATTTTTTGGAGTCTGCAGCAAAGAGCCAATGCCATCACCACTGCTAAACTACCCACTAGCTCCATTGCCAACTGTTAACCACAGCTCGTAATTTCTAGAAATAACTACACCCAAGTTAGTTAACTCTGCCCAAGTTAGTTAGTTAGCTGACGCTTCATTTGTAAATAAATGTTACTTTTGATCAGTTGATCAAAAGTAACATTTGTTTACAAATGAAGCATCAGCTAGCAACAGACCAGTAAGTGAAAATAAAAGTGAAAATCAAATGCCACATTTTTAGACCACTAGTTTTACTTAAAAATTAAGCAGTTTAACATTTTTCAATGGCTGCAAAGTTATAATACTGACCAATATATAAAATTATAATCCCTCGAGACAGAGAAAAATCAATACCATTAACAGTGGTATGAACATTCACAGACCATTAGGTTGAAAAATCCAGATGAAACCGTAGCTTAGTCTTGATATAACCATGTAAAATGACAATGTGTATTTTTCCATTGAATGAACCCAATTATACTTTAACTGATACCTGGGTACACTGAGAAATGGCTTCATCCAGTGCCAGTGCTCGCTTTTTGACATCTTCCTTAATTTTACTGTACAGGGTGTCAGCTGCCACATATTTCTCTTGGATAGAAAAGCCTTCTCCTGGGCTCAGCTCCAGCAACTGAGGCCCAGTTTTGTTCATCTTATCTATATGAGGCTTGTGCTCAGCAATCAGCTCACGCAGTTGCTATAACAAATGAAACAACTTATCAGTTTCTTACCCTTGTACCACCACATTACAACTGTCCACACTTCCAACACATCCAGCTGGCAAGAAATTCCAAACAAATACCTTTCATCTTAATGTAAAGCAGAAATAAAGCTAATGACTGCTTTGCCAGTGACCATTCCTATTCCAACACAGAACTATGCGGGCATAAAACATCAGAACTAGAGACACACTGGAAACACTCTGGCAGGACATATGATTACAGGCAAAATATAAGATGCTAATTATGCATATGATGCTAACAACAGACATTGCCCATCATATTTAGCACCTGTAATGACAGAAAGGGCAACGATATTCCAGACATGGGCGTCACACCACCACATATACACTTTTCATGTTGATATTGGTCACATGCTGCAAAGCCTTTCATTGAAGAGCATCACAGAAAGAGGTACCAGCATTGCAAGAAAATTAATTCAAATTATCCTTGATTTAAGAACAGGAAACCAGCACAAGGGAGGGTCAAAGAAATCAGTGAAAAGGGCAAAAGGACAAGCAAGGTGATAGTAGAGACCTATCAACCTTGTTTATCCATCTCCCCTTCTGGCCACAAGACCCCTCTGTCTTCATAACAGCATTACTATTTAACTTACATAATGTTTAACAAGTAATTAGTAAGTGGATTATATTTGATCTCAGCGATCTATTCCTTCTCATCATCCACCCCAGAAGCAAAAACTGTGCTGAAGATTGTACAGGGGCTTGTGGAAGTGAAATGTCACAAGGTGTCTTTCAAGTTGTCTAAGGATTTCAGATTTTTCTTGCTTGCACTGACAAAAGGGAAAGGGTTTTGTTTGTGTGAGTAGCCCCAGCCTTCCCTCATTTTATTTACTTTCTCATCTCATCCCTCTCTTTTCAGAAAAGTCCCAGTCTTGTGAGAGGCACTGTCCCTCTCAGTTCTGTGAACTCCATGCATTTCTATCCAATAGCTCAGTGCAGGAGCATGAGAGGTACATGCACTGTTCCTCCCTGCTGAGAGTCTGTTTAAATTAATGAAGACCCAGAAAAGAGCCTATATCAGTCTCAGTGTAAATAAAATCCTGTCTTTACTACAGTCCTTCCCTTAAAAAGGAATACAGATGCTGGCTCTCTTCCTTGCTCCTCCCCAGAAGAGGGGACATTGAGGAGACTGGGAAGGGAAAACAGTGACACAACTCTTCAGTCTCCCAATGACAAAACAGAAATGAAAATAACCCCCCTGACTCTAACTACTTACTTTGAATGTAACTTCATTTGTACACCTTGCCACACGAAAAATAATGTTGATTAGTTTAGAGGAGGAAAAGGAGATTATAAGAACAGTTTGAAAATTTTTAGAAAATAATTTTGTGTGGTTTACTTTTGAGCACAAGGAGATGATTTGACACAAGGCCAAAAGAGTGCACATTTCTGAGTCTAAACCTTATGCTAAAATACTCTGCCAACAGTTCATTTCAAACCAAACTAACTGCATGTTACTCACATAGAATCAACTCCATGAATTCCACAACTTGGAACAAAGATAGTCAGCAATAAATACATCAGAACAGAAACATTAAGTTTTCATTCACATTTGAGAGCTACCTTTTTTTCTTCTTCTTCTTCTTTTTAATAGAACAACAAATTATTTGGTCTTCCCCATGATCTACTATTGGGTAAACAATTCTAGCAAACAAGCATTTCAGAGCAGATTACGTGTTAAAAGTGCCTGACATTAATCTTCAATTTAACAAACAAATCTCAGCTAATGGCACAGCCTGGGGAAAATGCAAAAATAGAAGCTCATCTGAAAGGCTTCTCATAGAAGCAGCATGATTAAAGTACATGAGGAACAATCCTGCAAGTAAAGCAAGCATGATATGGTTCACAGTGACTAATCAAGGTAGTTTGTAAAGCTTATGTTATGCAGCTAGTCTTAACAGAACATGTTTGTTCTTTCTGGACATAATAGGAAGACAAATGAGTGAACCTGGTGTTTACCAGTACATAAGAGTGGCACATTTCATTAGCTGGTCTCAAAGTAAACAAGACTTTGAAGCCAGGGTTCATGCTATCTAACTTGAGTCACTTAATGGAGGCAGCTGAAACAAAAAAAACACTAGTTACTCCATGCTTAGCAGGGAGAAACAGGTATCTCCAGTGGCTGTGCAGGTTTTGCATCTGCCAAAACATGCAGGTTCTTAACCTCAGTGGGATGCATCTGATTCCATGTGATACTAGCAGTCACCTATGAAACATCTCCATTTTTATCCAAAGTGATTATATATCCATGTAAGAGAACCCATACAGTGGCCAGTCTACAACACAGTCACCTCTATTTTGTGATGCTATGGTAAACAACTATTTGTTTTTATTATTGCACAACAAATATTCTGGACATGATAAATTACTGTGGGATTGCTAGCCAAGCAATCAATTCTTGGCCCTCTAATTGTTCATCATTTTACTCAGCTAAGTTTAGTTTCAATGTTACCAACAAAACAAAAGTTTTTTTTATGCATACAAAAGATCAGCATATGTCCATATCTGTGTACAGACTGTAACCCCCTTTTGCTTCTTGCTCCAACATCCACATCTGTTCTTTCTGTTTCTGTTTTGGTTTGTTCCAGTTATTAATGAGTACTTTTAAATATACATACTTCTTATATAATAACTTTTATGTCTCCAGTTCTCCCAGGACAATGGCAATTATTACCCTTTCACCCTCTTTTATGCTTACACATCACTTGCTGCCTTCCCCAGAGACCCTTGCTTACATGCACAGTTTGGTAAACAGCAGAGACATGACTGAAAATGTATATAAACTCTGGATTATTGTCTTAATTATCTTTTTTTCAACAGAAGATTGATATAGTTTTAAGAATTTTGCAGGGTCCTCCACAGTTATAAGCAAAATACTTTCTGGTATTTAACACTTTCTTTTTCAAAACTGGCAAAACGCTTACCCTATGTTCTTCTTGTTGTTGTTTTAGTGTTTCATATTCAAGGGCTGGTGCAGGAAGCTGAGAGATGATCATTTCTGTTTCAGTTAACCATGGCCAAAGCTCTTCATAAGTCTCCCAGAACTGGTTGACTAGGGACTGAGCCCGTTCCAGCTGGAGGTTTCTCTCTGAGTTCATTTGACAGACTTGATCATATTTCTGTAAGAGGCTTTCAATTTTTTTCTGCAAAATAATATTAATTTTTTAAAAGTATGTTTTCCCAAGTGTCTCTTACCTTCATTTCCAAACATTCTTTGATAATTTTAACACCAATTCACAGTGAATAAAATTTCAATTTTGATGTTTCTACAGTACCACTGCTTAAGGTGGACAGAATCAACAATCAGGGAGACTAGAATTTGACAGAGTACTTGAAAATAATTAGAATACATTTAACAATACTGATATTTACACATAACACTTTATTCATAGAGCTTCTAGTCAAGCTGCAAATGATCTGACAACAGATCTTAGCCCAACTTCCTTACTGCAGACACTTATCTTCAGTGACACTTGGCAGAAGATAAGTTTTCCACAGCATTTCTGATTCAAAGCAAGTGGAAAAATACACAAAATCTGTTGGGATGTTTAGTTTGGTTTGGTGGGTTTTTTGGTGGGGTTTTCTTTTCCACTCTGGCAAGATAATAGGATATTGTTGCAACTGTCATTTACAAACTTGCAACAGAAACCACAAAACACTATTTTCCAGGTTAGCCTACATTACTTAATGAGAATGTATTACCATTAATAACATAGATAATAGTGATAGAACTATAAGGTTTATACATTACTAATTTAATGTATTTGGGCATGTAATAATAAATGAAAGTATCAACTAGCTATACTAGCTATATTTTTCCTGTGGAAAACTGCCCATGTTATCATGTTTATGAAATATTACATGTGACAATGCACATAAATCCTAGCCTTGGAAAAACTACATATAAGCAAGACGTTGAATATGAAGAAGCTTTTCTTTTCTTCCCTTTGGCAGAACAAGCTATCCTTTCATTTGTTATGTCTTGCATGTAAATTAAGTATAGAGATGCTATCCAGAGGACAGAACATAACACACAGATATGCAGTACTTTTGACAAATAAAAATATTTAGCAGAGACTCACACAAAACTGCTCTGCCTTATGACTACAGTTTCATAGGCAGAACACCTCATCTATTTTAAATTGACTTAAGAGCAAATCAAATTTATTCAGAGATCCTGCAGCAAAACACAATTACTGAAGCATTGTTTTTCATGGACTGGAAGGACTGAATTTACACAAAATACCCAGCCTCACAGTAATTTAGCAAAAAATTCCCAACCCCACAACTAATCCTTCCCAAATGCCAACATGAAAAATCCATCCCTACATGTTTGCAGCCCTGACGTTGGGCTCTCTGTGTCTGTGTGTAATAAACAAAGGCATAAGAATGCCTTTCATGGGCTGTGACAGGATGGAATAATCTTGGCAAGCAAGGTCTACTAGGAAATCAGCAGAAATGAAAGTAAAGACTCCCACTGAGGTGCAGAGCCAGTGAATTTGGCACAGAAATGCTCACGGCCCAGAGCATCACTGACCCAAAAGAACTCGGAAGATAAACTGCAAGATTCCACACATCAACCCAGATGACTAACACCTCTTTACTCAATCATCTATAGGCTAAAATACTGTTTACTATGGATGAAGATGACAAATGGGGCTCCAAATTAGTGTCAGGCAAAGAAGCAAGTACACAGGGTTTGTTCTCTTGACATCCTGAAGGAAGGAGAGCAATGCACAACAGCATTTCCTCCAGCATTACAATCCTCAGACAGGAAGTGACTGTAATTAAAGCTTTTTCATTAGTATTTTAAAAGACATTATAGGAATCCTTCTACTTGTACATTTTCTGCATATCTACCTCTGTAGCTGCAATTTAAGGAACTTTACCTTCATCATCTGTTTCTCTTCTTCAGTGCATGTTTTCATAATCTTATCCCCAGATTTAACAAGTTCATCTATAGTATCTTTGTGCCTTAAAATCTCCATGGTAAAAGCCTTGAAACACAATAAGAGTTGGTTAGAATAATATTTTTTTTAAATAAAGTATTGGAGCAAAAGCTGGTTTTGAAATGCATTAATTATGATTGGATTGAAAATTAAATCATGCCAGTACGTTTTCTAGATGGAGAGTGTGCTGGCCAATAATTAACATGACAGTTGGAAATGCATTTCTTTTACCTTTTGAACTTGCAGCTGAGCAGTGGTCTGGTCTTGCTCAAGCCTAATATCACCCAGAGACATCAGTTTCTTTTCTGTTTCTGCAATCCAGGCAAATTCAGCATCAGCTGCTTGATCAAACTAAATGAGGGAGACAAGAATTAGTTCAGCAGTTCTACAGACATGAAATTAGACTAACAGTTTCAAAAAATTTAAAGAAGATTAAACAGCATATTTTTGAATTTTTAGAAAGATAGCTTCTCAATTTCCATTTGAGATTTTTATATAAATGAAATACAATGCCCAAAATGGTTCTGAGGGATTGTAATACAAGCAGCTTAATTCATAAGCATGACAAAGCAACAGAAGCAAATACTTCTTTCCAAAGCCTACAGCTCTCTAACAGTCGTAAGAAAATAAAAAAGGATGATAATCTCAGAGTTTTAACTAGACTGCTTGTTTTCATTTTATTCTACTTTTACATGTCTTTTTCATCTCTGTGTTTATTATTACTGCTAGTATAGGAATTAGCCTGAGACACAGTTGTTTGATGTTACCCTATTAATCTGAAGAGCTGCTTTGGTATTAAATGATCAAGGCAAAACAATCACAGTTCAGATAAGTTAGTGCAAAAACCTCACTGAATTTAGAGAAGACAGGATTTCATCCAAATCTAGGCCTCAGATTAAATGCAAAAGTTTTTTTGAGCATTTGGATACAGCCAGTTCTTTTCCTTCTGACTTTTAGATTAACTTCTGACTACAATAGTCAACATTTAAATGTTTCAGAAATTTTCGAAAAGCACTAATATAATGAGAGGAGTTTCTTACTAATTTGCAAAGAAAAGCATGAAATAAAGAATTCGGGGATCTAAGTCTTCTGAAATGTGAGACCAAATTTTAAAAAACCAAATCATACATTCCCTCTTCAGAACAAGTTTATAGGCATGTGCATTTTAGCACGCACATGTTGCAGTACTCAACCAGGGCAGCTTTGAGCCTAAGCCATAGAGAAATATTACATGGGATGTATCAGATGCTCATTGTAGAAACTTATAAGAATTTATTTAGTGAATTCGTTAAAACTCAGCCCCCTCTCCAAAATGACCTGAACCTTAATATAGCCCTGAGTTATTGTTAAAATCTGTTTAGGTCAGAACCTGCTACTTGTGTTGTTGATGCCCACACTTCCCTCAGAAATCTTCTGAACACCCTCAGTCCCACTTGTCTTTAAAATATGCTGATCTGTGCCTTTATGGCTGAAGTCCATAAGAGCCCTGCTCCTTAATATAACTGGAATTCACTTTAGTCACTAACACAGACTTGTCTTAATGGTTAATCATGAGTCCCACAAAAGGAAAGAAACAGTTCTGAGATTTCACTCTTTATGAGTCAATCTTTTTTTGCCTTTATAATCCATTTGTTACGTGAAAGAGCAGAACATACTTTTTCACTATATGTCATTTCTCATTTCAAGTAACAGAAAGTAAGACTTGTCCTAAATATTGTGACATCCCACTAGAAAGGTATGTTCTGAAATAATCAGTACTGTAAACATTAGCATGAAGCACATGCACCAGAGCTAGTTAAATCCTGGCTTTAGAAACTACAGTTCACAATCAAGGTTTTCAGAAGTCCATCTATTTACAACTGAAAGGGAGAAGATGATTTCAAATGTGCCAGATGTACAAACTAACTGCAGTGTGACTTCCTGATACCAAATATTCATGGGTATGTAAGTAATATTGAGGAAATATTTAATAGAAATAACAAAACCAAGGCAAGGCATTGAAACTTTTAAGTTAAATTGCATTGAGGAAGGGAAGGACTCGAAACTCATTTTCCTGAAGGTATAGGATTTTCAATTTGTGATGCTTAAAAACAACATTAAGGAATAAAAAGCATAAAATTGGTACTCTCTGCATCAAAAATTTGAAATGTTTTCTTCCCATTATACATGGCAGTTACTTATGAGCCCTCAGGTACACTTGGAGTCGCTATAAAATCGCCTACTTAATCCCCATCCAGTTTAACCAAGCATAGCTCATTGTGGTACATTTTCTTCTGATCAGGAATGATTGAATTCTGAATATGATGATTTTCTCCATGAATGCTTTCTAAAGCACTCTCTATGGCTGCTTTAGAGTGAAGAACAGGTAGAATATGACCTTGTGTTTCTACACAGGACTCCTTCACTGGAGGACCCCACCAAGGCCTTTACTCTTCATAAATGAAGACTAAACCATGCAGCTGAATTTGTCTCTATTATCAGTCTGGGACCATTTTGCCCAGGTAGTTAAAAACCCTGGGCATTGCATTATTCTTCCAGCTTCCACTCACAACATGAAGCTATTCTGCCTAATCATCTGTGTTTCTTGCTGCATTCCTCACCTTGGTCCAGGAACATCTGACACGAAACCTACACTTCTACCAAAGCCTTGTATTCTCCAGCCAAAACTTAATAGTATAGGCACTTCACAAATTGCCACAGGGCAAGCTGAAAGAGCACGAGCTTCTCCAAAAATGTTTATTTTGCATAGCCAAATGGGAAGTATCTTACCCTTTACATTAAGCCACCCAAAACTTATCACAGGTTATGGTGTATAGGAGTTTATTGTGATGATGTGCTGAAGTGGAGGTTAGGGATATGCAGCATGAGAGTGCAATGTGGCCTTCCATTAGATAGTGGAATAGCAGCTCTGGAATTTTCATGTCTGGATGTGAAACTGCTCAACTTATGCTAGAGGATGCAATGTACTCATGGAATTCAGAAAATCTGAAGGAGAGCCAATTTTTAATCTCCTATCTCACCTCATCAGTCATGAAAAAAATGAATAGAAATCACCCTTCATTTTTGAGAGTTAGGTTAATAAGATGAGAAAATATTAATTATCAAACCCCTTAAAAAGAAACCTATGGTTATTTTTAGGCTCAGTTAGAAGAAAATCTGAATTACTGCCTCTTTTAGCCAGCTTTTAGCAAATTTTAAAATTATAACACATGCTCTCTTTTTGTCCTCTTACAACTGTTTAAGAGAACTGTACAGCAATAGGAGAAGTCTCCACCAATATTTGTATGCGTGAACTGGAAAACTGTTTCCACAAAGCATTTATAAGCTGGCTTAAATATAAGACTACTTAGTGACAAAATTAAGGCCCAGTTCTCAAAGTGTAGCCACATACACATCTATGCATGTATAGAAACCTCCACATACTAAATAACTCAGGTTTTGCACCCCAAGAAGAAAAGCATTGTGGATATTAATGAAAATGTTATTTAAATCCTCCACTACAGCTTGAACAAGGTCATCCACCTTTTAATGGTGTAACGTGCAGAGGAGCTAGACAATCAGCAGATGTTAAAAGGTATGGCCAGCCTAGCAATATCAGTGTCACCTCCAGAAAAGTGGCTCAGGATCTTGGCCCACATTTTACTTAACACAACATGATGTACAAAAGACCTGGGCCATTCAGTTCTTAAGCAAACTCTGACTTAAGGAGCCACAGATTACTAACAGCAATTTTAGCTAAAATATTTTTGTTTGCATCAACAAAAAGGGAGACGACAGAGTACAGATTAACAGATTTTTGGCATTCATATTTTAACACTGGAATCCCATTTCATTCAAATTTGCACTGTGCTGCTCAAGCATAACAAACTTTTGGCAACACTATTATAGGACAGCTATTGTTCCAGTACACATGTCCAGAGACTGCTACTGTCCAAAGAACAGTTTTCAGTACCTGCTGGGATCTCAGGAAGGCAGCATCGATCTCATCCACCTTCTGAGAGATGGTGTCACTCACTAATCTGTAACGCTCGTTGTCCTCCGTTATCATCTTGTCCAGCCCCTCTCTGGCCCTCCACGGCACCAGCTCCAGGAAGGCACTGCCAACCTCATTCAGAGTGTCCACCAAGCCTTTGTTGTTCTTTGCTTCTTTCTTCAGCTCCTGGAAAAGGCCATGTAAAACAATTAAACCATTTAAACATGGCGGTATATGAACAGAACATACAAAGTTTGCAGATTTTTCATTCTTTCAACTACTCCATGAGTTCAGAACTGAAATGCTTCCCACACAAAACAAAGAGCTAACTTAGAATACTTATTTTTAGCTAAACTGTATTACCTTTTTGATACTGTAAGCTGTTTGACAGAACGGTAAGTGATTCTTAAGAGAATTTTCCACAGAATTTAACCTAAATATATTTCTCCATTCAGTATGACTGTATGAAAATTTTCTAAGAATTGTTAGTACTTTGTGAAGCATCCAAAGAAAATAAAATGGATGGTTGTGAACTGCAACTCCATAAGGAACTAAATGAGCAGCAAATGAAATCAGCAAAATATGATGAATTCAAATTATTTCTGCAATGACTCGATTAAATTTCAAGCACACATTCATACAAAGGAACAAGCTTTTATGTGTGTAGAACTTCCCATCTATTAAAGAAATGTAATGGAATTTTTATAAGCTTCCACCCTCAACATTTTCTATACCATGCAGCTTACACTCCATTTTTTCTTTTGAAATAGATCTTGTTAAACAAAATTAGTAATATGTTTAAAATGCTGACACTTTACAGGATTTTATCCATGCCACAGCTAAAGAACTAAAATAACTTTGTTTGACAGCCTATGAAGTTTCCCAGTCTTAGGTAGCTCCTCGAATAAAACAAAAATGTTGTTCTTCCCTTGTGCTAAAAATAAACCTCAGCCTAATTTCATAAGTGATCATAACAGATGACTCTGGAAAAAGAGTTTGATTCTTAACTACTGGTACTTTTATTCAAATGATCTGATACTAAATTTAGTTATTAAAAAATTATTTCATACCAAGCATTAATTAACACAAAACCTCACTGAATTACAGAACAGTAAATAATTCACAGGTTCTAAACCTACTTTTTGTCTTTCTTGTACTTGGCTTAATTCTTCACCCTTTGGCATTTGAGTTTCATATGAGAGTAACTCCATCTCTACTTCATCAAGCCATTTGCAGAGTTCCTCATGAGTTGAGTGCAGTTGGCCTGCAAGCTGCAGAGCCTGCTCTAAAGTCTTGGATACATCAGAACTTAATTTTGTAATATCTTTGTATCTTGCTTTAATGCCTTCCAGTTTATCTTGAACAATTACAACTTCATCACCTAAAATATTAAAGGAATGTTATTTCCCATTATTACAAATATTTAAAAAAGAACAAAAACAAAACCACCACCACAACTAAAAAACTAAAATCCCAAACTCTACATATTACAGAAAACTCAGTATTTAATTTATAAAATAACGCAAACAAGGTGAAAAGGCCAATCCTCAACTTTTGTAAATTATCCTATCATCACTGAAACCCACAGAAGTACAAAGTTTACCTCAGTTCAGGATCAGTCCTTCTGTCTTTTTTCTGCTTTACTAAACTATTACAAAGTAAGGAGTTAAATCCAATTTTAAACAGAAATGTTCTTATTAAAAAAAATCCACCTTTAAATTCACAATACTTCTTATAAAGTAAAATACTATACTTCTTATAAATTAAAGATATAAAAGCGTTGCAAAAAATGTAAAGAACAAAAAAAAATTATCTACATATTACTAACTAGACTTTCAATTACACTACATTTTGACATCACAATCCACCCTCATTGCTGTCCATTTGAAACACAACTCAAAAGGCTAAAAGAAAAACAGTGCATTGAAATTTATTAGCTATAATATTAGATATGTTCAGATTTCATCATAGAATATGTGTAATGTCAAAGTTTGGAACAGAAAAGGATAATACCACCCTGCACTAACATATGTACGTCTCAAAGGGTTCAAGAACTTTATAAGTATAGGAAAATCTGGGCAGATGTTGATCTACAGAACAGACACATTGTGTATAACTGGAATGCAACTTTTCCCACAGTATTGGCTCCCATGGCTGAAGCTTTCCCCTTGCAGTAATAGGTAGTCTAACATCTTGTTCATCTGTGGATGCCTGCAGGGAATTCACTGTGTCCACTGCCAAACATCCCTCCATTATGAGTAATGTCCACAACTCACTATTAGGAATGGAATGCAGGTTCACTAAGATAATTTTCCACTTAAAATAATAAAAGGATTCAAGGGCTAAATTCTCTGCAGGCAAAAAAGGCCTTTTGCTCACTTACATTAAAAGTAAAATTGGCCCCAAAACATAGCCTAGGTTGACCTCAAACCTTATTAAAACAAATAACTATGATTGCTTTAACCAGTAAATATGAACCATATTTACAAGCTTCACTTTAATTTTCTTAGGCAAGTACAAGGAAAAAAAGTATGACAAATTATAGTTTTATGTAAGTTCTCACCTGTTGTTTGCTTGAGAAGCTCTAAGCCATTTTGTATAGCCAAATCAACATTTTGTTTTCTAAGAAGAATCTCTTCCTGAAGATCCTATGAATAAAGGTCATTTATGTTAGCACAGACCTAAAAAAATATATTATTTTTATTTAGAATAAGCATACTGATATTTTAAACAAAATACATTAATGAAAATAAATGATGTATGGGGATATAAATCAAATTAAAAACATGAATTAAATAAGAAATGAACAGAAATCAAAATACCAGTAGTTCAGAGTGCTGTTTCTCAAGCAATTCTGTGTTGCAGTCTTGGACTGATAATTTGTTCAGTTTATCATGGACTTCATTCAGCCAGTTCATCAATTCAACTTCGTCCTCCCCAAAAATCTGAGCATTGCTGTAAGCTTGCTGGAGAAGTTCAGACCTGCTGTTGCTCTTCTCTTGAATTTCAATGTATCGTGCCTGAGCAGAATCTAGCTTTTCCTGCACCATATCTTTATCTTCCCTGGAGCTCATAGTCTTTAGAGACTGACCAGCACTAATGGCCTGATGCAAACTCTTATTGTGAGCTAGGACATCATCTTCTAGGGCCTATATTTTAGTGTCAATAATGAAGAATAATGGAAAAGAAAATCAGAAAAACATAAAATAAATTGAGGTGGAACTCAAGAAAAATTGAACAAAAAAAGGACATATTGTCAACATAAATGTATAAAATTTAAATTACAGGGAAAAAAAAATGAAAAAGTATGGTGAAATGAGTACAGTGCAACAGCTCTGCCAGCTTTACAGAAGCATCTAAAAAGAATGAGCAAAGCAAGTGAGTGGTTTGTATCTTACTTTATGCTGAGCAATCTGCTGCTGCAGTTTGGAGGCCTGTGTCCCAATGGGCTCTGCATTTGCAAGCCTCTTCTCTGTGGCTGTCAGCCACTCCACCAGCGGCTCCAGCGCTTCATGGAACTGCTGCGCTACCACCGAGATGCCCTCCAGCTGACGGTTCCTACCAATGCACCCAGGAAAGGGTTATCTTTTGTGATCAAGTGAGTATCAAACAGTTTTAATAAAGAAAAAAGTCCCTTGAATCCTTTGAAAAACACTCCAGAAATAATTTAATGTCATTGTAGGAACCGGTCACCAAATGAAACAGACATATATCCATGATATTAGTGAAAAGCAAGGTAAAGTAAAAATCAAGTAAAATTAAAAACAAACACCTCCAAGGCATTTGGCTAATATACCAGTTTTGAAAATAAAAATAATATCACTTTATTCATATACCTTTTGTTAAAAATAATCTAGCACTCAATTCAGCAAAACATTGTTTTATAGCCAGTTAAGATAGTTCTCAAATTTCCAGCTGTCTTAAATCATAAAGTTACATTCCCTTGACTATTATTCATGTTTTAAAGTTAGGCAAAGGCTTTACTGAACCAGAATGCTTCCTCAGTGTTGTAAAATATCTTTAAACATTTTTTCAATGATGACAACAGAATTATTTGCTTCTAAATTTTCCTCTCTTTTCCTGGATAAAAGCTCTCAATGAAGTTAGTGAGATAACATTAATAAAGCAGAGAGACTTGACCTCCAAAACAGAAAAGCAGCATCTAAAACATTTCCGTTTCAGTTTATTACATGTCAGAGAAGACTCCTGATTATAGCAAAGTCTTCTCTATAAGCAGTGCTGAACAAATGTCATTCAAGCAGACTTTTAGGAGAGATTTGTCCTACATGAAAACATCACAATAATGTTGTTCAAATGAGGATCTCATTCTAGATAAAAGCTACATTTATATATGTTTTCCAGGGCTTATAAATAAGGTAGACTTGACAAACTTAGCCATGGAACACTCTGTGGGGTACTCTACATAGTTACCAAAATCATCTTCAAATTCCTTCTTCATTTCTAGAGACCAGTCAAAGAACAATGGAGACAAGCTTGCAGATAAGGATGGTTTGGAAAAAGCTGCAATTTCATTTGTAATTAGATATCACCAGACTGGGAGGATATTATTAAATTAAACATGACATTAACATTTATCCCAGCTAATGAGTCAGATTCCTTCAATAAAAAAGAAGAAATAACAAAAAGGAAATAATAGTCTATTAGCAGTTAACTAATTAAATAATCCTATTATTAGTATGAGGCAACAAAACAGGTTCAGCTAAAGAGAGGCTACCAGAAGGAATAGAAGACAGCAGAAGTGAGGTGAGTTCAATGCTACTCTAAGTCCCAACACAACCATCTGTTCTTCACTGCAAAGCTTCACTGTGCACTTTAAATTTTTCCTCAACTTCCCAAGTCCTCTCTTACTCTCAATTATAGGCCTTTTACCAAGCTGTCTCATACAGTCTTCCCTCTAATCTGAAAAAGACTGTCCTTCTCAAATCCCCACCCAGAAAACATGTTGAGTAACCCTTTCAACATAGATTTACTCAAAGACAGTTTCCAGTTCATAACTTTACAGGTGTTTTATCCATTGACAACAACTCATAAATGTAAGTCTGTGTTTACATAGATGCTATATGCATGGACTTGGTTTGATTTTTTTCCAATTGGAACTTGAAGTAGACCTCAATGTTTTTTAAGAGATAGAATATACAATCTATATATATATTCTATCTCTTTTATATATATATATATATATATATATATATATATGCCAGAATACATATATCTATATACTTTAAATGTCCATTTTTTTCTTGAAAACTAAGGGAGCTCGGCACCTTGCATGCATCTGCAACTGACATTATGATGACCTCTGAGTTGCAGAAACTAATTATGCAGATACTATTAAAAAAGGGAAAGAATTGTAGCAATTTCTTCTTTGTACCAACTCAGGACTTTGAAGTTCCAACAGAATATCATTATTATTTGTTAGGTGTAAAATTTGCGCTTGATTCTATTGCAAAACAGGTTCTTGCCCTCAAAACACTTGCATTCCAATTAATTAGCAGAGATAATTAATTAAAATTGTTCAGAAGATACATATGTAGCTAATCCTAGCAGATTATCACAAAAGACTAAACATTTTTTAAAGAGCTTTTTGTCTCTTCCTGTCACTTTTCTCCACTTTCCCCTCAGAGGACCCATATATACATCAAGACACAAAGCCATAATGCAATAAAAAGCATGGTAGTACTTCACAGTACGGAGTTCCACATGCTGCTTCTAAACATCCATCACATGCTATGTCTACATTTCTCAAAGCCATGAAAGAATTTCAAGTACCTCGTTTCAGCTTTACTGAGCAAGGCATCCCATCGGCTGTCCAGGAAACTCAGCTGCTTCAGAATCTTCACTCTGTCAGCAGCCTCTGCTGACTCCGCAATTTTCTCCCCTTCGCGCTTGATTGCCTCAACAGTCGGCTTGCGGTCATCCAGCAGCCTCTGCAGGAGCTGCAGAGAGAGCAATCCAGCAATGGTTATTAAGAAATATTGCAATAATGCAAACAGCAGACTTCTTGAAAAGCCCTTAAAACAAAACAAAACAAAAAAAAAAAAAAGCCAAAAACTAAATCACAATGCCTATATTGTGATAAATATGTGAACAAAGCCAATCAAAGAGACACACATAACACACACACATCAACCCCTTCCCTGACCAACACAGGCTCATTTTAGTTTCTCAGTTGTTTTCCCAAGTACACTGGAGTTTCATGAAGCCCAAACAACAACCCTGGTTCTCGGAGGTAAGGATGTCCACCAGCCCAAAAAGTGAACACATAGAGGACAAAGTTCTACATAACACCCTTGGGGGAATCCAGCTATCTAGAATTCAGTTACATTTTATAGGAATATTTATGGGGAAACTGCATGCCCTGCCAGATTTGGCTTCACAGAGGTAATTCAGATACATAGAGAGATGAGAAAATGGATACTAAAACTATTGTATAATCAACTCATCACTTATACGAGATACAGTTGAGTTCACCAATCTAGTGTAGTACATTAACTTGTCTGTGAAGAATAAAATGTGCCTCTGTCTGCAATCCTCCCTTCCTCCATTCCCTAGGTGCCTTTGGACACATTAACATTTTGCCACCGCAGGTATCCCAGGATGACAACCTGTACTGGCCATAACTCTAAATCCCTGGGTGGCAGTGGGCCACACTGCATGAATTGTATGTTTTATCAGCTACATTATCATTCTTTTTTCTATAACCACTATTAAAATATGACAAAGTTGATGACCCTGACAGAGTTTCTACATTAGCACAGACCACTTCCCAATGGGATTCCAACTAATTACCAACAGTGATCACATGAAGATCAAGACCCAAGGATTTAAGTCCGTAATCTGCAATCTTATCTTATCTCTAGTAGTAGAGTAAAATTTTACTAGGCTTTATTTCCTACCTTTCAAATGGCCAAATACTGGATTTTATGCTTTCTCTTTTTCCAATGGATCTTTAACATCCTTTCTAGCTAATGTTAATAAACCAAAGCTCAGATTGCACAGTATCACTCTGTCGTATATCCAAGGAGATGAGCACTCCTCCCAACCCTTTACAAAGTCTTGAGTTTTGAACAGATGGCTCCTTTAAACACCTCAGCACACCCCAGTGTAATATAATACACTTGAATAGATATTATGCTTTGCCAAAGCCTGGGAATTTATTCTCATTGGTCCAGTGGAAGGAGATTCTGAAACCATTTCACTTACCTTCTGTTCCTGTATTTGGGCCTTGACAACTTTGAATTCAGCAGATGGTGGTTTCTGATTAGCCACAAGATCTTCTGTATCAATGAGCCAGCTAAGCAGAGATTCAAGGGCATCCTGGAATCTCCCACAGTGGAGAAGGGCTTCCTGCAATTGTGCAGCACGCTGGGCAACCTGAAAAACAGCAGAGGATCTCACCTATTCTTTTTATTTCTGTGAAATAATTAGTCAAAATGTGTAGAACAGCTGTCAATATCACTAATAAATACCATTGTTTTTATAACTATTCATAACAACACTATGTCACAATTCAGCATGAATCAAATTCATGAATTGGGGCTGGAGCCATCCAATGAAAAGAATAGACTGACTCCCAGTAAATCAGCCTGCTCTAGTAATTCCTTACAAGTTACTCCAACTTTATGTAGCTACAGTATTATGAAATATACTGATGGCACGTTTGCATTTCAGATGGTCTTTATTTTCCTTACAGAAAGAATGAGCCACGATTTCAAAGTAACAGCTCTTATTAAGGCCCAATAATGCCATTAATGAAGAATAAAAATAGGAAAGGAGAAGGCAAATATGTGAACCACAGGTGTATCTGGTTCTGCTGCATCACTCTTTCAGGATGGAGCAGAAGATGAGCACCATTTTTACTCCCCACCCTTTCCATTTCCAACAGCAGCTACTGCTGAAGGAAGAGTTCTGAAAAGTACAGAAAAACATCTACAGCCAGTTTTTCAAAGCAGTGGTACTTTCTGATGTCTCAAGCCATACAATCCTTAGTGTGGTGTAAAGGAAACATTGCACCAGTCACACAAAGCTGGGCTGTATCTTAGCTCTGTGCAGGTACAACAGTGTACACAGAGCAAATACAACAAGCTGAAAAAACATGCAAACAATGACTGACAGTGGGACTGGATCTCCAGGGATCTCTTCCAACCCCAATTTCATGATTCTGTGAGTCTTTCCTGAGTAAAAATCTAGAACAAACCTACAGAAAGTTTGGCAAAACCTTATAAATGACAGCAACACCTCTGGCTTTTAGCAATATAAATCCTATCCTTAGAATTACAAACAAAGTGATTGTGTAAAGCAAATACAACTCATATTCTTAGTGAATATTTAATTTCCTGTATTTTGAAAGACATCAGCAAGCAAACAAAAGGCAGAACACAACAAAAGCCGGACAGTATACAAGATAATAACCTTCTTATTAAGAGTCTTCCATCGGGTGTTGACATCTTCAAGGTCGTGTTCAAGGTTTTCTGTGCTGGTACTTTTAGCAGCACTCTGAATAAGGCCCTGACCCAACCAATTTACTTCCTGTTGTTTTACTTGTAAGGGTTCAATTTCTTCTTTCTGGAATACCTGCAGTTGAAACCCAAGACAGACATGAAACACGGTAACTTCAGTCATAAAATGCATATGATGTTTACATGACAGTATGCAACAAAAACATTACTTAAAGCTGGTGTCTACAAGAAAGGAAGCCATTCCTTGTCAGGACCTTCCTAAAAAACCATTAATAAATCTAAACAGAATAGACTCAATCTAAACAGAGTAAATTCAATGCATCATAGAAGGGGAAATGGCATACATTTCCATGAGTAGTTTTAGATAGGAAGGAAAAGAACAGAGAAAAACACAGGTGGTGAAAGTTCAAAGGGTTGAAAAAAGAAAACTTCTGATAGAGGGGTAAAAAAAAAAAAAGACTGGACAAACTCATCTGTTTAATTATCCATCTATAAAATCTAACAAAAAATGGCATAGACCAAGAGAGACAAGGGGGCATTTTTCCAAAATAGAACTAAACCCAAAGTTTTAAGTCAAAAAAAACAGTGAAGGAAGAGATATTTTAAGATCTGTTAAGGAGATTATAATGGTAACAAGTGAGGAGGAGGCGCTACAGATGCCGTTGAAACAATATCCCGGCAGACACCCAGGAAAATGGGCTTTCAGTCAAAGGATACTCTTGCTAATTGCCAAGCCTTTGACCGTGCCCAACAACAGTTTGAACAGTTTTGTGTTTGCTTTATTTTACTCCTGCAGGTATTTAGGCTTTTTCAGAGCCAGATTATTACCATTAGCAACAGCAATGTAAATCTCCATTTGTATTCAGCAGCATTAAGCTGCACTGACACAAGTGTCAATGAGATCAGAAAATGGCCTGAAGCCCCTGAATTAATTACATAGGCCAGTGAAAAATAACCAATGAATAAACAATGCTAAAGAATGCTCAACTTTTGACCCTAAATCCTTCAATTTCTATAGCAGCATTCAGTAACAGTTTTGGTGTACACTTAGTGCATTCAAAGCAACCTTTCTCAGCATCCTGAAAAGCAGAGATCACTCTGAATGTACCAGCAACTCTCCTCTTTTGCACCAAACACACTGTGGCAAGTGATTCCTTTTAAAGCTGCAAACCTCAGGTGGCTGAGGACACTTCCACCAGCTTGACAAGTTAATCTAGAGCTACTGCAAGTACACTAAACATGAGGGGTAAAATAAATTAAGCATCCCTAAGAGATTTGTCCTACAGACAAAAAAAAAACTCCTAAAAACTCTACGACTGTGGTTACATGAAAACTGAGAGCGTGCAACGAGCTGGCTGCTTCTAAAAGAAGGAAAATGCATGTGTTTGTCTTGACTGTAGGGTAAGGAGGAGGCAGAATAATATTTCAACACAGAATCAATAACAAATTCTTCTTTTATGTGCTATAAAGTCTCATCGTTTGAGAACAACGTCCTACCACAGAGAGGACTGATCTACATAATCTGCCCTTTAAAAATGCACACATTCTTTGTGGAGAGAAGCTTAAAATAAATTACAATTATTGCTGAGGCTAAAGTTTACCAGAACAACTTAGCAACAAAGCTTGAAGTATCTCAGATTTCAACCAGAGTGGGAACAAAAAAATTACAGACCCGGCAAACACCCTTTCTTTATTACAAAGTTTCCCTTACTCTCTTACCTCATCCAGCACTCACAAAGCACTGCAAGATCCTGCGCTTGTAAAATACTACCGTAACGTCAGATCTGCTTTCTGGCACACAAATGCAAAAGGCATCTTTCAGAAGAGGCGGTGAGCCTTTAATCTGCCTGCTTTGGAAACCACAACCATCTGATACTGTTGCTTGTACCTTGATGAGTAAGGCTGCTCAGAACACATGGCCGCGGCTGCCCTGGAATGGCACAGCCCGGGCCGCACTGGGGCAGGCACGGAGCACCGGGACAGAGCACGGAGCAGCCATTCCAGGTCGGGAGCAGCAGGCACCACTGGGCAGTAACAGCCCTGCTGCAAACAGCTGGAGCAACAACCGCCCCTCAGACTTTGCCCCTAGCTCTGGCTATTTCACCCACTTTGGACGCCCCATGTGTGCCATGCAAACGGCACCGATCACTGCATCTGCCTAATTAATAATTTTTTTAAAGTTACGATTTTGCAATGATGGCAAGACTTAAGAGTTTTAAACAAATATCTTTATGGTTACACTACAACTATTTCATAAACCTATGGCTTTTTTTTCTAGTTACCTTGTTGGACAAGAGGCCATTGCAGACTGTATCCAAGGTGTCTTGGATGCCAGTGGTCCAGATATTGCCTTTATTTCTCTCTGAGAAAACTTTTGAGCAGTTTACAGTGCTATCTAATTCAAGCTGTTGAACAGAAAATGCCATTTCGTTTGAGCCTGTACATGCTACACTGCATTCCTCCGTATCAGATAAAATTTCATATTTTGCTAAATCCAAGTCACTGGTATTTACAGCAGCATTAGTGTAATAAACATCTACATGAAGAGATACATCATCCACATAATCCTCCTCTACTGTTGTGACTTGTATTTTAGTTTTTTCATGAACTTCATATGCATTTTCCACTTCATTTTTGTCAGGGGTAATACTTCTTCCATCACCTTGAAGAGGATCTTCATGTGACAGAATCTGCTCTTTGAAACCTTGCAAGTGAGAGCATTTCCCCTCCATCTCTTCCTGATCACTCTCACATGTCTGGGCATTGTTTTGTTTTCCTTTTGCAGAGGGTAAAATATCATGCAAAGCCAGTCTGCCGTTTTCTTTGACAGGGAGACTCATGCTTGCAAGCAGTGGGGTTTGCTGCTCTCTGCAAATGGCTGGGATATATGGTCTGAACTGACCTACTACATGGATATCTTCTGCAGAAGACACACTTCGTATTTGAGTTTGCTCCCTTGCTAAAGGTGCATCTTGTTTATCTTCCCTTTCTGTTGGAGGGCTGCACAACCCAGAATCATCCTCTTCCGAGGTAAGAGAATTCGTACCCCATTTGCATTTGCCTAGTCTAGCTGCCTCTGACGGATCAGCAGCTTCATTAAAGGAGCTTTCACTTCTATTAGTGTAATCTGGAAAGCTGGGTGGAACAAGCATTCTCCAGGACCGTCTATGCTCCTTCTTTTCAGTGTGAGACTTCACCTTGGGCAACCCAGCGGTCCGAATTATATCACTGTTCAGTTTAAGAGCATCAAAGATCATTTTCTCATCCAACTTGTTAGCCTCACGGCTTCGGAGCTCAAAAACACTGGCAGAAGTGAGGGCACCATTGGAGCACAAAGTACTGATGTCCAGTGTTCTGTGACTGTAGGGTAAGGTCCGGTCTGTGAAATGCCTCGAGGAGAGGCTGCCCTTGGAGCCTGAATCGATCTGTTCATTCAGCCGCACAGTGTCATAGATAGACCTCTGGGGAACGTAGCAGTCTTCAATATTTAGATCCTCATCTTCCTCCCCTTTGCCAACACATGGAGGATTCTGACGTAGGCAGTCTGGCCTGCTAAGTGGCTTCCCCATGTTGAAAGTATTCACACAAGTATACCTCCGTTTTCACAGATTCAGGGCAAACATTTAAAAACCACTAGCAATCTGAAGAAATAGTAAACTTGCCCTTAGCATAAGATGCGTAGATACGAAAATATACATCATAAGATATGAAGTGGCTGAGGTCATTCATAATCAGTGCATCCATTTAAATTCGATTTTACCTGGATATGAGGTTTTCCACCCCCCAAAATATAAAGTGCTTCAGTAAGAAAGTAACAGAAATGTCCCAATGTCACAGAAAAACAAAGTATAGCAGAAACCAGCAGTAGCCCAATATGTCAAATACTCAATGGAAGGCTTCATTTACTTTTCCAGGTCAGAATCTGTATCTGAAATCTCCCAAATAAGCCTTCAAATGAACAAGTGTTACAGAAGGCAGTACATTATCTTCTGTACATGACTGCTTAACTGTAATCCATTTAGCTGGCTTGCAGGGTCCCATCTCCTTTATAAATAAAGCATGGTGCGGCAGCTTAAAAAGACAGAATCCACAGTGACTTGTATGGTCCTGACCAAGGCACGGAGAAAATCCTGGGGGTGGGGGGAAATAAGTTAAATCCAGAACAGTAAGAATAATAAAACAGCCCTTTACTTTTTTGGCAGTAGCTATAAATAACCTTGATCTGAAAGGCAGCTTATCCTCCTCTTGTAACAGGCTCGTTCGCGGTGCCTCCACAAGTCCCACAGGAAAACATCACTTTCTAGCAGCCAAGCCAAGGTGTCCTTTGAGCAGCCCGTCGGAAGACGAATGTTTCAGCCCGATTCTCCCGATGCCATCCCGGAGCGCTCTTTAAGGCAGCCGCAGAGCCGAGCAAGCGTGGCGCGTTTCCCGAAGGCACGGCAGGTTTACATTCGGCAGGTCCCGACTACGAGCTGCAGCTAGCGGGCTGCCCTCGCCTCCTCCTCATTTCTGAGGCGCAGCTGCTGAGGAGCCGAGGCAGGCAGGGAGGGAGGCAGGGAGGGAGGCAGGGAGGGAGGGAAAGCCCCGCCGAGCAGCGCCGGCGCGTCCCGCCCGCCCCGCGCCCCGGCTCGGCTCGCTGCAGCCGCCAGGAACGCCCCGCTCCGCTCCCAGCAAACATCGGCCCCCCGCCCGCCCGCGCCCCGAGCGCCGCTCCGGGGGCTGCCCTCCCTCAGGCCCTGCCCGCCGCTCCGGGGGCTGCCCTCCCCTCGGCCCTGCCCTCCCTCAGGCTCTGCCCGCCGCTCCGGGGGCTGCCCTCCCCTCGGCCCTGCCCTCCCTCAGGCTCTGCCCGCCGCACCGGGGCTGCCCTCCCTCAGACTCTGGCCGCTGCTCCGGGGGCTGCCCTCCTTCAGGCTCTGCCCGCCGCTCCGGTGGCTGCGCTCCCTCGGCCCTGCCCGCCGCCTCCTTATCGGCTCAGCCGCCCGTGCCTCTCGCTCTGTGCCGTGCAGGGGCCGGCGGGGCAGGCGGCGGGGAGACTCGGTGCCCGCCCGGCGGTGACATCAGTGCCCCGCTCCGGAGCCCGCGGGAGCGGCCGGCACCGCTCCGGCCGGCTGCCTGCCCGGGAGAAACTCCGGGAAGGGCAGGAAGCGGCGCTTTAACCGCGCCCGCCATCGCCCCGTCTCATGGAGCAGTCATTTCAATGGAGGCTTCCTTTCCGAAGTTACACCGAAACTTCACCGCTGTTTTACTTTAAAAAAAAAAATCCCACAAGCTCGCCTAGTGTTTAGATTAGGTGTTGGAATAGTCACACGTTGCTCCACCTGACATGCAAAGTTCAGTCGAGTTTTGACTATTTGCAGTCTGGTCACTGGCCCTGAGGCAGGAGTGTCGGGTGGTGTTGGCTGACAGGGCAGCCGCTCCTGAAGAATTCAGTTCCCACTGAAAGAAATATTAAAATATTGGGGGAAAAAAACCTAACTATATCGGAAAGATCATTTTCCCCCCCTCTTTTTCAGAGGGATTTATTGGAGCCCTAAACCAGCCTATCAGGACAAAGATTCCAGTTTTGGAAATTGACATCTTTTAAATACAGTTCGACACTTGGCACCTACACTTCTAGCTCATAACCACGGAGGGGAAGGGTTGGGAGACTCACAGGTAATTTGCCAACACCACAGGAGGAGTTGCCCGGACCGAGCAGCTCCACTCCAGTAGAAGCCAAACCCCAACGACCTGAGCTGCTGGTGTGACAGTAGCCATCAGTTTTAGGGACAATTCAGTCACTTTAAGGACAGCATAAGGCACTTAGTGCTGAAACTTAACACAGTGCATTCACTACAATCAGCTTGAGCATTCTGCATTAAGCAGCAAGCAGGATACACTGTATGCAAGAAATACAAACATACCACACTTCATGTTTATTGATTTACTTAATAAACAGTCAGCTACATATCAAAACAATAAGGTAATGCAAAACAAATTCTCTCTTCCTCCTCTCTGGTGAGCAGCCATATAACATTTGGATTATGCCAAACAGATAATCACCTCTGGATTCTCTAGCAGAGAATATACTCTAATGGTAAAGATGTGAAAAAAATTTTAGATACTTTTGATGAAAGGTCATATCATCCATGGTTATCTTCACACAAAACAACCAAAACCAGATAGATCCCTGCTGAATTTAGAAAGTGCTGCATGATTTTTTAGGGGAAGTGTATAGCTGAAATTGGTCTGTATTTGTTCAACAGCAAAATTATTTTAACAGATTAAAAATAGTTTACCATTTTTCACTGTTTTTGCTTAAGACTTTTGTATGACAGGTAAGTCACTTTCAAAACGCAATTCTTAAAAAATTTAATACTTGCTTATATTACCTTTGCTTTTCAATACAGACTTTGACTGTAGTAAATCCCATGGAAGATTTTAGTATCTTATTCTAGGGGTTGTAAACAGCACATGTGATGGGCAACACTTACCTCAAAGAGAAACTTAAAGAGAAACTTCTGATTATGCCTTCAACATTATTTGCCTTCAAAGCAAAAGTCAGAGGACTGACACCCTCTACATAACTAACAGGACATGTAGATGTGGCATTTAGGGACATGGCTAACAGTGGACTTGGCAGTGCTGAGTTAACATTGGACTCAGTGTTCTTAGAGGTCTTTTCCAACATAAACAATTCTGTGGTTCTATAGCATAAGCCAATTAAATCTTAGATCAAGCTTATTGGCAGGAATACTCAGGCTACCTAAAAATTCCCATAAAGTCCAATTAGAAGGCAACCTCTAATGACTATATCTACTTTAAATCCAAAAATAAAAGCAAAAATCAATGAACCACATACTCATGAAAACTGTAACAGTGACATGTTGGTTTTACTAAGAAGAATGACATAAAATAATTAAACTTTGAGTTCTTTTTCTATTTCAGAGAGAAACTAGCTGCAAATGCTTCTTCAACTGCAAACATTCTAGCACTGTGCAGCTACTCAAACCCAGAGTGTTTGGCTCAGTCCATTTGTACAATTCTTTTTTGTTTTGCTTTTGAAGAATAGTGGCAGACTCAGTGTACCTTAACAAACCTAATTTACTGAAATTTCCTTTCAGGGCTATTTTACACATTGCATACAGACTTTGGGGTAGAAAGTGTCTTACAAAGCCAAGTTAATTACTACTTTTCTGTGTGTGTTTTATTAATTGAGATAAATTCTTCATTTGATTATACTCTTCCTGAAATGAAGTAAGAATCATGGTTCTCCTTTGAAATTAACTGCTCTGAAATTTTCATTTACAGAAAGTAAATATTATAACTACACTGTAAATAAATATAGTTTAACACTGATGGCACCTACTTTCAATTTAATACTCTATACCAACTGGAATAAGCACATTACAAAGAAGAAATGTAAATAAAACAAGTATGCATATGCATTTTAAATATATATATATAAAATACAACTCAAAGCCAGTTTATCTTTTAAAAAAACACTATGTGTTTTAATGTCATGCCAAGAAGATGCACGCAGCTCTAACTCTTTGTACATAAAAATTGGTTAAACCACAAAAACCACCTCCGGCCCATTACACAAGATCCTTCCCTGAAGAGTGAAGATTTCATGTTAATAGATCTATAACAAAGAACAACTCTTTTGCTTTACTCTTGAGGAACTGGAGCTGACTGTAGCTGACCACAGAAGCTAAAGACATAAGGAGCCAGACAGTGGTTTTGTGGCCACAGCCACACTTTCAGGTTGTGTGTGTTTGCGTACGTGCACAAACACGAGAGCAAACACAAACACCACGAGTGGAGCAGGATCTGTGGGATCCAGTCTCCCTACACTTTGCTGCCTCAGGCAGAACTGTTCTCTGGAAGGGCAAAGAGTATAAACAGATAGATTACTTACTGCAATTTTGATATGCTGCAGTAGCACCGACACCAAGCATTAGGAGAGTCGATCCCTATCCTCCTGCTATCAGTATCTCTTCACTAACTACACTCTCACTTAGTAAAATTTCCCATTCTGGTCTCCCTATTTCCTTTCTTCAAAGGCTCATCACTCTGCTGTTTTATTTCTGCATTTGCTTCTCACTTATTTAAACAACCCCTTCACTTTTTCATCATTCTTCACCTCCTGTTTAATGGCATTGTGTTTTTAATCATAAGCAAAAGCGTGGCCCAGAATAGTTGCTTCAAGCAAAACACATTTCTGAGCTTATAAATATCTCATATAAATACAATCCCAGAGTAGACTTCTGGATATAAACATGCTGCTATCACTGTTCTCCTTTATGTCTCGCCAGGTTTTTTTTTGTCTCCCTACCACATAAGCCCTTGTATTACCAGGGATGCTGTCACCCCACTGGTCTGCACAGGTCTTTCACTCCCAAATTGCTCAACTGCTGTGTTGTGTCCAATGCCCTGATGAACTACAACACTGGGACAACACACAGCGAACTGGATTTTCCTACCATCTGCTCATCAGCTTGTAACATTTTTCTTTATAATAAAACATTTTTCTTTATAATAAAATACATATTTGTACATATACAATTCATTGTGTAAAATACACATTAACAAAGACATGAAGCTGCAGCTAATGTTTGAAAATGTAAGAAATGTGGTGAAATCAGAGATCCCAAACTGGCTACATCTTAAGTCCTGTACAGTCAATGTAAGTAAGAGCATTCACAGCAGGAGCTGTTTCTATTTTCCAATATCCAAAGTGTTTTACTAACCATATACAAAGAAAAGCCATTTGTTTCTCTTTTAAATTGAGATAGAGTTGTTAGGATAGAGTGGCATACAATTTTAATCCTCCCAGTCTAATGGAATCTCCTCATAATGTAACTATTTGTTCAAGATTTTTGTCTCTATTTATGCATTCTCAAAGATCACCAAAAGTCACAGTTACTTCCATTTGAAATTTCCAGATGAAAGTTTTCAGGTTTAATTTTCCTTTCCAATATGGCTTAAACAAGCAAAATGCACCCTCTGTTGGCCAGCCATGTAATGACTCTTTTCCAAGGTCATCAAACAGCATGGCTTATCAAATACTGCAATGAAGGTCGGGCTTTATCATCAAGTGTCAACTAATGCACAAGTCATACAAACATTTGAATCAATATTATATTGGAATGAAACCAGAGCTGCTCAGAATATTCAGTGCTACTATATAGCCACTAGGAGATTTATGATCTTTTTCAAACACTGCTTACATCTATAAATCATTCTAATGAAAACTGGAAATTCATTTATTGCAACCTAATCCAAGCAAATATCTGTACTTATTTCAGCAGCAAAGCTCAATTAACACTCACTATCACTGCAATGCATTTCTTTGAGCTGGGCATGGATTGCTAGCTGGCAGATTAAAAAAGGTACACACAGAAGCTCTGGAGTGCATTTTGGAAAAGGATGCTATAGAAAAATCCCAATATCGTATGGGGATTATTTTGCCTGTTTTCTTTTTATTAGGATATTTCTAGGTAAGGGTGGAATTCAGAGGTAAAACTGGCCAGTATATCAGAACAGAAAATGGCAAAAGGTAACATCTTAAACCTAAGTATGCTGAAAGCTATATCTACATGAAAAAAACCTAAACTACTCAGATGAGCAAAGTGAATGTGGGCTGATATGTGAACATTGGAGTCTAAAATTCACACCACTGTGAAGATGAAAGTTGGGTAATACATGGACATCAAATAGAGATGTTTCTCAAAAACAGAAAGGCAGATAGATTACAGAAGATAAGATAGTGAAGAGAGATGAAGAGGGAATTGTGGGGCAGGAACTGGGAATTTTACTGAGATGTAAAATTCCCAATGTCTGCCAAGCTGTAGCAAAGGAAATCTTCTCTAGAGCATAAGATCCCCAATTAAAACAGATAAAATGCATACAGGCAGAACAGACTGCTGTGAAACAAGACTCTTCTAAGGTCTGCACTTAACCAGGCTCTTTCACTATAATGTTTAATAAAATGGTATTGTGGTAAAACACTTTATGATAGTAAGAAAGTAATCTTCCTACCTTGAATGTATTCAGCTGCTGATTAATAGCTTCTGTTTCCATTCCAACAGGACCTTGTGACTCTTCATGTTCTTCAGCTCTCCCAAGCAGAGTGGAAAATTCTTTTAGCTTAGTGTAAAACTCCTCAACACGGCAAATAGCACCCTCCACTTGATCTTCCCTGGCTTTTGCTCTGTCTTTTAGCTTGTTGCACTGTTTATTTAGAGCTTCCAAGTCTCTCTTTATACCAACAAGATCAGGAGAAGCTTCAGCTTCTGTGGCCAGCATTATTTTACAGTTTTTATTAGCATTTTCATTATTCATTATAAGATCCTCCAACTTTTTCATGAAACATTTTATGTCCTCTCTCTGTGACTGCAGTACCTTGAGATCCCTTCCCACTGGAGCCATGCTATCAAGTTCATCATCAAACTCTGCAAACTGAGAGAACATCTCTCGGATGCTGTTTTGGAAGTGGCCAATTCCCTGAAGTTTGGTCTCTAGGAATGAGCACCTATCCTCAACTTGCTGCTTCACTGTAGTGTATTCTTGCTCCAAAGACTCAGCTTGGAGTAAGAGGTCAGAAACACCTGCTGAATCAGAAGCTTCTACCACCAGGTCTTGGGCAAGCTTTTTTGCTAAATCAATGTGAGGCTTTAAAGCTTGCAAGGCTTTCTGCTGGGCCTGCATCATTGTCAGGTGTTTGTTACTGAATGACTGAGGTCCAAGCGAGTCATGAGCTTCCAGATGCTCTTTGGCACTTTTAAGCTGTCTTTCAGTTTCCCTGGATGAGTCCTGAAATTCTTTCAGTCTTTGTGCCATATTTTCCAAGCACTCTCTCTTCTTATGTAACTGTTCTGTAACCACTTTCACATTCTGATTCAGCACCTTAGTTTCTTCTTGAATAATTTCTTTATCTGTTTGACTTGCATTGAGCAAACTTTCAGCAGAATTATTTAATAGTTCCACCATCCCATGGTGTTTATCCAGGTCCTTCTGCCATGCCCTCACCTGAACAATAGAATCCTCTATTTCAACAGGGTTTATGCCAACTTTCAATTCACACAGGTTGCTTTGGCACTTCTCTATCCATGGCTGCAGATTTTCTACATGCTGCTTATATTTGAGGGCTTTCTCCAAACAATCTGCTAATTTGTCCTCCCTTTCTTTTACCTTTTTATTCATTTCGTCCCAGTTATTCTTGAGTGTGGCAATTTGGGATTGTAACTCTGCTTTGTCATCTCCTTGAGTCTTCTGTAAGATACTTTCTCCTTCTGCAACAATTCTTTCATAGGAACTAATCTGATCGGTCATTGTCTTCTTAAAATCTTTCTGTTCTTCAATGAGTGATTGCAAGGCCTCAAGTTTGGCTGACACAGGATGAGCCTGGTTCAGCTCTTCTTTCTTTTTGCTTAGCCAGCCCTCAAAGTCTTTGGACATCTGCTGGAACTGATGAGAAGTGGTGTATGCTGACTGAAGCTGCTGAACATGGTTATCTACAAAGGAGAAGGCAGCACAGAGGTTCGTTAGCAGAACCTGCTAGTATTCAGTGAAAAAAAATAACTAATATTGACTGTATTATGCATGATCATTAATTTTAAGAAAGCCAGTCCTTAGTATGTGAAGTTTGACTGGCAGACAACCAAGTTTCTTGCAAGGGGCAGACTCATTCCTGTAATACAGAAGGCAACAGGACATGAATCAAATGAGGTGAGCTTATCCAGTCTGTGTCTACATGGATCCCATTTGAGCAGATTTTGGTGGTAAAAAACACACAATTGTGATTCATGGTACTAGGAAGTGTAAGCACAGGGAATATGAAGTGGTATAACCCAGTAGTGTCTAACTGATGGCCTACAGGCAATACATCCTCCTAGGGAGATTCTTTGAAGTTTCTCATAACCAAAGGAAATTAAAAACCCAAAACTGAGGCTGCTAGGGAGACAAAGTATATCACTTGCAATGTATTACTTGCTCAGTTCTGTTGTTCACAAGGTAAGGAAAGGCTGCAGACTACCAGCCCCTTTCTGTCACAGCAAGTTTTATACAATTACCACCATGTTTCACTAAGCCATTAACTGGTGTTAGCCTAAAAATTATTATTTTAGTTTATACTCTGCCCCTATGAAGCTGGTAGCTCAATGAACAGCATCCTCTCTTGGCATTCTAATTCAGTGAAGATGCACCTGAAGGAAGACATGGCACAAGCAGCCTTGTTATTTTACTCCAAGTTATCTCCTAAACCATGCACTAGAGATCCCTAGTATTGTTTTTACCTTTTCAAGGCATGGGGATTCTTCTAAATTCTAATGTAGAACTGCTTGGGGGTTGGACTGGATAGAGAGCTGCCACCAGGCTCAGCTCACCTCTATTACAAGCTTTTACCTTACTTTATGCCTTAGTTACTGTTTTTCTTTAAATAAATACTAACCTGATTTTTGCTCGATGTCCTTAAATGATTTTAAGATGCCATCTAATTGTCTTGTAAGTTCTGCTTTCAAATACTCTTCCCCAACCAGTGTTGACAGTTCTTCACAAAGAGCTTGTGCTGCATTTATATTCTTCATTTCCTGTTCTATTTCCTCCTTCATTTCTTTAGCAATTTCCAGCTGTTGTTTCACAGCATCGGGCTGTGTGCTCACAGCCAGGCTGCTGCTGAGTTTATTATCCAAGGCACTTAGCTTATCAGAGAGACTTCTGAGTAAACTTTGATACTCTGTGCTTTTCACAATGGCTTGGTCGATTCGGTCACATCTCTTCTTCAGCTGGCTGGTTAGACTGTCCCACTTTTGTGCCACAGCTGCCAGTTGCTCTTTTACAATTTCATGTGAGGGTGGATGTTCACCAGGTCTCTCCAGAATCCCCTGCCCAGCCATAGTTAACTGCTCATATTGTGGCTTTCTGGTGTCAAACTCTTTGAGCAGAATCTAGGGGGAAAAAAAAAGAGAATTTTAAAAAGGATTTACTTCATGAGAAAAAAAGTGCTTCTGACAAAAATTCATGTAGAATTTGTCGTAGCTAAGCTCTATTATTGAGTGTATTCAAGTTTAAAAGCCAGTGAAATAAATGTGCCTTCTACATAAACTGTGTTGTTTCCAAGTATCTACATTAAAGAAACAGAAAAAAATGAGGTGAATTTATACATCATCTAATAGAAATTCAACCAGGAGATACAAGTAAACAATGAATTCTGTTAATACTACAGTAATTAAGCAACCACACCAAGTGAAGTAAGGGCTGTTTAGTTTAAAGTAACGTCTTCTTTCCTAGACAGTTTTGATATTTGTCTTAAGAAAGAACTTCAAAGAAGGTGTATTCTGACATACTATTGCAATGTTTTGTTATAGAACAGAGACTATTTGGCTAATTCGCAAAATGACTGAATGTGTAGTGTAAGAACTTTTAGTCTATATCACTGGTTCTCAGTTGTTTTGGATTTTTTTGACAGTAAGTCACAGTGCTTGCAAAAGAAGGGACAAATGTAATAGTTTTACTTTACAGAACATTCCAAACCCTTTCTAAGTCAATTAGGTTGAACTTTTAAGGACTGTGAAGTGATACATGATAGTCTTATGCCATCTGTCTAGACTTTTGAAGCACTTATAAACCAATATTGAGTCATAGTATTTCACATAGTATTAGATCATAGTTCATGTTTCAAATACTTCATTTTAAACAATACTGACATTGATCAATGTCTCCTCAACATTTTTCTTTATTTTTTCTGGTCTCTATTCACTCTTATGATAATTTTTTCTTGTAATTACTGTAGTCAAGTATGATGTAAGCTGATACCTAAAGATAAACAAATCTAATGGCTTATACTAACCATGTTCTGCTCTAGATGCAAAATAGTACTTTGCTAATAGCAAAAAGGCAGAAGAAACTTAAATCAATAGTGTGTGTTGGCACTACTCACCTGAACCTGTTGCTTTTGTGTGTTCAGCATATTAGGATCAATTGATAATGGTCCCAGCACACTGACCATTAGCTCCTTTTCTACAAGCCAGTGCTTTAGCTGAGCTTCTGCTGTCTGGAACTGGATCAGGTAATTTGAAGACTCCTCCAGTTTTTGTTGTCTCTCAGATGTAACTTGATTGAGCTCTTTCCATTTGGAATCTAACAAAGGTAATGTTAACACATCGCATGCATGTTCTAGCAGATGGATTGCGAGACAGCAGACTACATATGAAACATAAACAGAGCTCTCTCATAAGGCTTCATGCTGATTAACTCCAGATGCCTTATTGCAGTGACTCTGCAAATAACATCTTATAAGTCAGACCCACATAGACTTGGATGACAGTCAGCCACGTGTGGAATTTTTAGAGCAATGAATATTCCACATGTAATAAAATTATACTAGAATATTACTAAATGAAATTCCCCCACATTTAGGCTTTGGTCTCAAATGATATAGAAGGCAAAGAGTTCTACTCAGTTATAACTCCGGTTCCTGATTATAGATAGACAAATATCCCTGCTTAGTCAATAATAAAGCCTCATAAGTTTTCAAGGATTATCAGAAGCAGAAAATTAGTCTTCAGCTCTGAACAGCCCTCTGAAAAAGCCTAACTCTAATGTCTGTATCATTCATCTAAAACCATTCATCTAAAACATCTAAACCAGGTACCTAATGCTGGACAATGAGAATACTTCTGCATATAGGTATTTCAAAAGCATTGTGTGGGCTTAGGTTCACACCTTGCCAGTCTGTGGTCTTTTCCAGTATGGCAAGTGGCTTCCAGAGCAGCCTTTGAGTCTTAATCTTGTAACTTCCCCATTCCCCTCTGTGACACTGTCAGTGCTTGCTCAGTCAGCTCTGGTATTTTGCCAAGTCTCCCTGTCCCTGATTTTCACCCCTGTTTTTTACAGTTCCATTTGCTGCTTCACAGTCCTCTGCTCATTCTGTATGAATCCCCTTTCAGCACTACTAAGGGTCTGTTGGAGACCTTACCTGCCCCTTAAACTTTTCAGAGTTCTGCTCTGAAACAAGCAGGACAGACTGGAAAATTCTCAGCTTCAAATTTACTGTTGGTGCAGCAATGGAAATGCCTATCACCATGAAACAAGATTGACATACCATGCTATTGACCTATAATTGATTTAAAATATGATTAACATAAAACCAATTTTTAAAAGCTCATGACAATTAAGTGCTGTAATATCTCAAAATCTATTGACTAAGCATGGTAATTTTCTTTATTTTCACTGGCTTCTTAAAAGCGACATTTATACAGGTTTTTTAGCAACATTTATTTTTTTAGCAACATTTACACTGTTTTAGAAAACAGCAAAAAAACACCAAACCCACAAAATGCCAAAAGCCACTAGTTCATGGGGAAAATACATGCAGAAGAGCACTACCAAGAACTCAAACCATTTTCTACATGAAATTAGAATCACCTTATATTTTGTAAAAAGAACAAAATATATATGTTGCTTGTAAGTGGCCAGTCAAGTTTTAGCTGCACAATGTTTGAAAAAGATAAAGCCTCTCAAACAGGGAGTCAAGCTATAGCCTGTGCACTAATACAAATTCAAAGCCCATGGACATGACTGGAATTAAATCAGATCTACTTGGAAATGGAGTTATTTCCACAGAATTTAAGAGGTAAGAGGAAACAAGGTATTAAAAATACTTGTTATTTGTAATACATTAAAAAAAAACTCATAATTAAACAACTTCCATATCAGTCTGAGCTATAATACAGCTTTATTGAAATACCTATTTTATCCAATGTTTGTCTCCACTTAGGTGCCTCAGGAGAGTTAGGGTTCTTCTCCAACAGCTCTGTAACTTTGTCCTTCAGTTCCTGCACTTTATTTGCACTTTGCTTTAATTCAGTTTCAAAAAGCTGAAAATTTAGGTGAGAAAATGAATAAATAAGAAACTAAAGAAGAATGGTAAAGTTTGCAGTCTATAATATTGAGGTGCAAAACATTAAGATAAAAAAAATAAATATCTAGCCTGCATATACTACTTTTCTGCTATGAATCTCAAAACACATTATAATGACATATGTTGCTAGTCAATTTTTTTGGAAGAGAGAACCCAACAGATATAAATTATATTAATAATTATGGCTTAATTTGAAGAAGTGACAGAACTAGAAGAATTCAAATAAATAAGATTCACTAGGTCCCATCATATTCACACATACTTGGAATCTATTTGTGTACAGAAGGCAAACTGACTGATACAATCTAGTTCACAGCAGAAATAACCCAGCTAGCTCTGACAGAGAGGGGTGTGGTGTGGCCTCATTTACCTCAGTAGAAGTCCTGCTATCACAGACAATTTAATGTAGATCTCCTAAACCCATAGTTTAAAGAGAATCAGAGTTTTAAGTGTAAACCTAACAGAAGAGAACCTGAGATCTCTAACTTGAGACACTCCAGTAAATCCTAATTAATGCTGTTCTTGCAGACAGAAGTGAATGTTTCTTATTAATTATCCAAAACCCACAAAAGTAAACACTGAACAAACTGTACTTGATGTAGAACTTCTAGTAAAAGGTCCAGTGCATCAGATGACTCTTGCCTGGGCACTCACTCAGTTTTCCAACTATTTGTGAATACTTTTCTATTACTACACTGCAGGTTAGATGATCATGATAGCTTTGCACATTCTCTGTTAAGAAAAAAGAGCTGGTTTTCTTTCACACTTAGTCTGAGTTTTATGATTGAATGTTATCCAACTCTGAGGAAGTTGGTAGCTGGTCAGGTTAATTTTTAAGGGTGACCTGCCAAATATAAAAAAAACTCAGTTAAATCTAATTCTGTCTTTGTTTATATACAATCACAAGCAAGAAAAGAATTTTCCCTATCCATTACATTTCCCTTTCTAGATGAACCTTACATGTGTAAATATTGTCCTTCATTGCTAGGGAAGGATATGTCTCCAGTGCTGAAAGAGGACAGAAGCTTACTGCTGAATCAGTGGTTTTCTCATATCAATTATAAAGGGGGAAGGAGGCTGTTGTGCAGCTATATAACTTAACAAGCATGACAGGGTTGCTGAAGAGAAACACTGCCTTGGAGGAGACATAAGCCACTGCAGCTGCAGAGACCGGGAGGTCTGTGGAGCATCAGTGAGCTAGCAGCTGCAGAAACAGCTTTTGGACACATACAGCCCTTCAGATATTAAAAGTATTATAAACCTCTAAACCACTGAGATTAAAAAAGTTTATTGTGCAATCAGCATAGCCTCACCTTTTCAAACTGTCCACCAAAATTATTATTTTCTGACCTGCAAAACTCATTCTCTCTGACACAGTGTTCCTTTACTCCACTGACACAGTTTGCCAGATTTGCTCTAAGCCTGACTAATATGCTTAGTAGGTTCATTTAAATACTCTCTGTAACATTAAGCTAGACTGAGATATCAGTTATTTCATAGCATCTGCCTAATAACTACAAGAGAAAGTATTTGTTTGAAGGCACAAAGTACCTTATGTTGTTCAACTTGGGCTTTAACTGCTTCACTATCTGTTGGAGCAGCTTCCCAGTCTGATGCAGTTTTGTCCATTTTTTGCAACCATTGCATCATTGAGGCTGATTCTTCCTGAATATTTTGCATTTTTGAAAGCATACTTTCTAGTTCTGAAATCTTTTCATTCAATAAAACTCCCAAATCTTCATAGCTGTGATTTACATTAGACATGGCTTGTTGAACAGTTGTCAGTTCTGTAAAAAGAGGTGCACAAATACTGTGTTAGAAGTTACAAGCCCTTGAAACAATACTGAATGTAGTGAATCAGTACTGAACAGTAGCTAATAGTCCCCTAAGAAGTCAGTGAATATGTTAGTTATTCCCAATCCACTCTAAATGTGGCAACACTACATCTGAATGAGTTAATATAAGTTCCTATTTGCAAGAACTTCTTATTTCACAGAAATAATTATTTTAATACATACAAGTGCACAGACATGTCTCAATCTTTCTACCCATTGCTGTTTTAGTATTTTAAGTAACAATTCCATGACCAAAAGTTGAATATACTGGGATACAGTTCAGCTACTATAAAGTCCTTATATAAAAATTCCTTTGTTTCTATAAAAGAGTCAGTCACAGTGATAGAAATGTATATAAAATGGGTGTCTTTGTGTGTATACACATGTTGTGAATTCTGATGGGTGTCAAAGTTTCAATCCCCATTGAAAGATATTTCTCAAAAGTCATGTCTTATATTAAAATATCTATCCCTGTGTATATATAAAAGTGTATATTGATTCAGAAAACAAGGCCTGATTGGTTGGTCTTCAAAGACCAAGATAGGTATTGTTATAATTACTTATAATATCATGCCCTAGTCAATGTAATTGTCTTAAGTGATGGGATGTGAAATTTCAGTCTAATAATGACTGCTACAAGCAGATTTATGTACAGCATTTTAAAAATACTTCCACATTCAACAGCAATTGGCAAGCAACAATTCTTTATCACATGCTGAAATTTTTACTGACCTTTATTTTTCAAGAAATCCTGAGTTCCTGGAGCTCCTCCTTCACCATTTAAAATTGTGCTACCTGTGGATCAAAAGAGATGAAGCCTCTTGCTTATGTGAGTCTTAACCCCAGCACTTCATTTCCTCTTCCAAAGATCATGACCCATAGCTGTCATTACAACCTGAAGAACGAAGCTCCAGCCAGCCAGGACCATAAGGGGTTATCACATAGCAGAGCAGGGCACAGAGGGTGGGGTGTACGTGCATGACCTTACAAAGGTGCACATATGTATGGTGCATCAGCAGTCCTACTGCTCACAGCTCTGTACTAAACAACTGCTCACAGTTCTGTACTAAACCACTGAGCAGGGCCAAAGCTCTGTGTCCTAGCTGTGAGGCCATTCACATCCAGATTGCTGACAGCACTTCCTTCCTCTCCCCAAAGGACCCTGTTCCCCACTGAGAACACAGTTTTACCCAGCTGGGACAGGTGTAGTCTGGGAGAGGATGAGCTGGCAAATGCTGTGACTGAGGAGAGCACCAAACATTAAACAGCAAAGAGGCTCAGAGTGCTTATTGCAGACACCACAACCAAAGGCACTGCTTACCTAGGGCACCTTTACCCACCAGGGAAGTGGCTGAGATACCGTTCTTGGAGGTATTTAAAAACCATGTATACGTGCTGCTTGGGGACATGGTTTAGTGCTGACTTGGCAGTGCTGAGTTAGTGTTTGGACCTCATGATCTTAAGGATCTTTTCCAACTTAAAAAGATTCTGGTTTATGTGCATTGTAACTCTGCACAGAAAGCTCTTGAAAGCACCTGGATTAATCCCTCCCTGTCTTGTCTTAAGCAAGACTGAAGCATGTGCTCCATGACAGGAATTGCAATGTGGCCCTCTTATACCTGAAATCCTTACTCTGAGGCAGCCCTGCTGATTAACCATAATATCAGAGCCTCTGAAACCAGAGCTAATGGGCTTTGTAAAATGGAGTCAGAGCAAAGAGCAGGGCCACGAGATCACACTGCAGAGAGCTGCAGGGAGAATCACTTCCCGCTCTCCTGCACACATGTATTCCCAGAAGAGCAATTAGCAGAGGAGCATTAATGGTTGCCTTGGAAAAGGCTGTGCACAGTACCAGCTGCACAGTGAGGACCACATTAGTGGCAGCTGGAGGATGGCAAGAGAAAACAAACCAGATAAGAGAAGTCACAGACCCCAGCCAGAGTCCTGTGGATCTTCACACTCTTTTAGCTGGACTCTGGTATTTATAACTGCAATAAAGTGATACACAGTACAGCTCTTCTCAAGGAGGGCAAATGTTCTGGTCTGGAGGACTGTAGCTGCTCTTATGTGATAGCTATTTAACTTTTCTATCTGGATGCATGAGTAGAAAAGAGGCAGACGAATGAGCCCAAATAGATCATAGAAGATTCCAAAATGTTCTTTGAAAGATTTTTATTTAAAGTTAAAAAAACCCCAACAAACTGAACAAAACAAAACAAAACCAACAACCCAGAGGCAGCTATTACAAAGAGACATAAGAAAGAAAGTGTTCTACTTTTGCCCAATAGGTATCCTCTGTCAGGCCCCAACCTTCCAGTCATTTACAGATGACCAACGAAGGGCAACGCACTTGAATTTATTTCCAGACCTAGTCAGTTCAAGAATTGACTGAAAATGTGCTTATTGCCATTAAAATGCCCCAATGTCCTTGAACTATGTCTGGAATGATACTTGGCAGAATTACTGGTTTCTGTAAAACAAATTAATATTTAGCACTAGAGTAAAAAAAAATCGTGGAAACAGACTTGCTATCTTTAAATTAGGATTGCCAGTAGAATTTAGCTGGTCTAGACAAAAAACACATTTTGGCCCAGGAAAATCATGCTGAGATACAAAATTGTTTCCCTTCTGTGCTGTTGTTTCAAATAAAACACTGACTAATACCAATTATGATATCATGTTAGGATGAGTACATTTACCTAGGCTCATTTTTTATATAAACCATCTCCTCATCACCCTTCTAACAAAAAATCCACAACTCTGCAAACCTTTCTGTGTTTGCTTGGTGTCACAGAATAGCCTTTTGGTCTTTAAATAGGCATCTCTGTGCAGGTACATCAGACCTTGCCAAGCAAGGTTTGTATTTCTCCTGCTTGCAGACTTGACGGATATGTGAAGCACCCAACACTAATCAGAAAAAGTAAATTTCTCATTCTCTGAAGCTTTCTGGGATGAGGTGAAGGCAACTGTGAAATTGTCATTTTATTCCCTATCTGGCAATTCCATAACAACTCTAGGACATGATAAACTTTTACATCAGCACACTTCAGCATTATTTTGGCAGAGTAAAACAATGAGAATGTGTTGAATTTCTATAGCAGCTAGACAGTTTAAATAGAAATGGCAAACAATGGTCAGAAGAGACAGGGCTAAGTGTTTTCTCACAAGCCATAATATTCAGAATGCTAATCCAAGGGTGAAAGAATATTAATTTTTGTCTTGAAGATTTTAAAAATTCTTGGCATGTTAGGCTTACCTGGTTATACAAAACCATACCTGATTTGGCAACTGCTCTCAGTTTTGCAGGAGAAGTCACAGCAGTGATTAAGCTACACAGCAAAGTTCCTCTGCTATTCATTTTCTGCAGTTCAGGTGCCTTTAATGTCCATTCATCTTTTAAATTCTGGTCAAGAAAGACAGTAATTTGTTCATTACAAAACTGACTTCAAACTTAAGAGCATTAGTGTACAGAAAGGAACAACTTTGCTGCTTGGGAATCTGTTGCAAACTTACAAAAGTAAATGGGAATGTAAATGCAGACCCCTAGTCCCAATTACTATGACTGCTTACATATTAAATCTGTATTTCAATATTAGTAATAGGTGCCTTATTTCCCTCAGCCAGATTTCACTTCTGCAAAGGCTTACCAATGTATCTTCCAAAGGTTTCTTTAACGCCTCTGTATTCAGAGAGGGCTGTGCTGCGGGAATTCGTTCTGTCGTCTCTTTTATCCATTTCTTTAATGATTCTACAAGGAGCTCAAAAGCATCCATTTCTTTCTGACAAGATGATACATCCTCTTCTCTAGACAATTAAAAGCAAAGAAATAACAGTATTCCTTCTAATAATTAAACCAGCAAATATTATTAATCTGATATTACTATTCCTAAATTTAAAGTGTCAAAAAGCTAATTTTATGGATATAAGCAGAATTTGCAGAACCTAGTCTTACTGCAAGGTAACTTCTATGAAATCTCTTACAATTTCTCCAGTTTCCCTTTGCAGCCTGATGCCAAATAGTACTCTAAAGCAATATACACAAGTAGCAATTTATGCTCTATCACAGAAGGGGAGAAGAAGGGTTTTCTTAAAATTGCCAACAATCCTGTGAACGTCACAAAGTTTGATAAGTTACATATCTTTATGGCATTTTTTTAGAGCTCTTGGGCCAGAGAGACTAACTACAGACGCATTTTCAAATAGAATATTTTCCTTCCAAGAAAAAAATCCCTTATTTACTCTGGTCAACTGCAATATCTTCAGATTGCATACAAAAAGATAGCAGTAATCACAACATTCATACTGTGTTATTAGCCAAAGTGGAAACGCTTTGGTTATCCAACTTACTTTTCTTTTATTGTCTCCTCTACCTCTTTGAATTTCTTTGACAAAGCATTTACTTTTTCTGATACCAGTGCTTTATCTCCAGGAAGAGCATGGAATGAAAGTTCTTCAAGGAGCTGCTTCAAAACTTCCAGATCCTTCTTATGTTGTGCCAATTCTACACTAGCTTCCTGCAAAATAGGATTACATTCTTCATATTAGACTTTACCATCACTTGTTCAAAGTTAAACTCTTGATTTTAGCTAACCAACCAATGCTGGAAAAAAAACCAAAACATGCCTTGTTTCTTATTCAATCACTTAGATGAGTTAGACTAAGAATCCACAACGCATACAAATTGAATGCTAGAGTACCTGCATGTACTGGGACACTTCACTGACATCCTTTCTTGGTGCCTCTGTCTCACTTAGAGCCCGGTTTTTCTCATCTAAAAATGATTGAAGTTTTGTTGAAAGACTTTCAAATAACTCCACTTTAGTCTTCAATTCTTCCATTTTCATAAGCTTCTCTCTATGCTTGTTACTTGCTTCAGAAAACCTTCCTGCAAGCTCACTCATTTTAGCTTGCAGTGTGGATGCAGTGGATGGATCTGCTGTTTCCATGAACTTCTTCACTTTTTCATTCATAGTGTTTATACTGCTTTGGCGACCTGCAATGTCTTGTTCTAGCATCTGAAACATACAAGAACTACTTTGTATTACTTGCAACTAAATTTTAACCAGTGAAATTCATCTACTATATAAAGCAACAAACCACTACAGCTAGACCATCGGTGTAACTATTTCAGCTACAAAAATCCTTATGAGCAGTTTAACTTCATACAACACTCCTCTCTAGTAAGTGTTTTTAATCCATGAAAGGTGCCAACCTAAGATTTTAATTCAGTCTTTAAATCTGAACTATCAAACAACTGCTTATTTTTTTCAAAGAATGCTACTTACAATGCTTTTACTAATAATGTCCTGAATAGCAGCAGAATTCAAAGGCACTTGATCTTGTTCTTTAAGGCTCTTTTCAACTCCTTCCATCCAATCAAACATTTCATCCAAACCGTCCTGCACACTTAGGGATCGTGTCAGAGTTACTTGAAGCTTCTCATTCCTCTCATTCACAGATTTGGATAAATTGTCATATCTTTCCACAATATCATCTGATAAAGAGAAGATATATTTCAATTTCTTCTTCTAGCTAAATTAAGCTTTTAGCTTACTTCACCAGCACTCGTCAATTGAGTCAAAAATTGCTATGTTAGAATGAAGAAAAAAAAGTCAGCTTTAGTCAGTAAAAACTTGGAAGCAAAGACCAACAGAGCCAAGACACACATCAGACAAGGGAAATGAGGGAGTAGCATACAGCTGTAGTTCCCAGTGTTAGAAACTAGTTTCCATGTAGCTCTAGCTTAAGACAGCTGTTGACTATTCCCAAGAAATAAAATAGCAGAGTATTAAGACAGCTCTTCTACAATTATGTCTCTTATGTTACTGTGAGATCTGAGAGGTTCTTCCAGATGGTTCTTCATTACATGTCCAATACTTTCAAAATAACTTTCTGAAAACTACAAGCTCCAGGTACCTCCCATAGAGTTTTATCCCCAGCTCCAAAGAGTCAAGTTGTTCTATTTTGTTGTTCTGCAAGTTACTTATGGGATTCTATGAAGAGATAGTTGGGTGATACACACAGAGCATCTTCAAACTTCAGACAGTGACATGTGAATGTCATGCTGTGCTACTTCTCACAATTGATAGGAAAGAGTATTAGGTGTAGGTGGTAAGGTTTTGGTGCTGGTAAGGGTTTGTTAGTGACAAGTTGTTTTTGGCTCATGTGAGAGGAGGTCAAGGTCTGCCCCATGGAAGACAGAGATGGTTCCAGCCAACTCCAGCTGACCCATCACAAGGCACAGCTGAGCTCCTCAGCCAAACTGGTGGTGCCACTGGAAAAATGCATTTAAGGAAAGGGAAAACACCGCATGGGACTGAGAAATGAGGGAAAAGAAAGTATGAAAACAGCCCTGCAGACATGAAGGTCAGAGAAGTAAGAGGGATGCTCCAGGTGCTGGAGCAGAGATTGCCCTGAAGCTGTGGAGGATAGGAGCAGATAACCACACTGCAGCACATAGAGGACCCAGGCTAGAGGAGGTGGATATTTCCTGAAGGAAATGCAGCCTACATCCACACTGGAACAATATTAGCCTCAAAGATTTCAGCCTGCAGAGAGGTCCCTCACCAGAGCACGGGAAACGTGTGAGGAGGAAGCAGCAACAGAGAAATTACAGACTGACCACAAGCACCCATTTCCCATCCACATTGCACTGTTTGGCAGGGAGGCAGGGGCACTAATTGGGAAAGAAGGAGTGATGGTGAACCTGGAAAAAAGAGTGGGGGGAAGGATAATGTTGCTGTAATTTGTTTTTGTTTTGTATTTCCCAAACTTGTTCTATTTGGCAATAAATGAAAGTTAATTTTTGCCAAGTCAAGTTTATTTTTCCCATGACAGTAAAAAGTGAGTGATCTCCCCATCAACCTGTGAGCTTTTCTATCTTAATCTGAAAAATCTTTTACCCCATCCACTTGAGCAAGGGAAGTGAGAGAGAAGGTGGGTGGGCATCTGGCAGCCTACCAAAGTCAACCCCTTCATAGGCAGTTTCATAAAGTTAGAGGGAAGTAATCCCTCAGCTAAGCAAACTTCAAATAACTGCTTGTAAACAGGCTCCTTGGAGTAATTTTTCTCTGGAGAATTTATGATCCTCAGCAAATCACTACCTCTGCTCGCCCATCCCTATTTCTGTAAAAAGAAAAAAATGAAATGACAGTGAAAAGCATATGGATCCATGAAGGAGAGAGACCAACAATAAAATTACTGTGTTGTAATGACTTAACACTCAACAAAACATGGACTTGAGCAGTGACATAAGAATGTGGAAGCCCTGTAATTTTTCTCTTCCAGAGTATGCATGCAGACACAAGTGATAAAAAGGAGGCATTAAGAAAAGCAAATATTTTACCCAGTGTTTTCTGAATCTCATCTTTGTCTGGTGTCAACTCTCCCCTTGTGTCCAATAACACTTCAGCAGCTTTTTTCAGTTTTTCTACAGCAATTTGGTGGTTAGACACTTGTCCCTGAAGAACCTGTAAAATTCCACTATTATCAGTTATGCTTTTCAGTACAGTTTACATTTTTACATATATTTGTAAATGTGCATATTTTCATAAGCAAGACTTGAGATACATCACAGAACCTAAACTCAGTATTTGGAATAAACTAACTCAATTTGTGACCTCTCCTTAAGAAAAATCCTGACCAGTGGTTATGGCTGCTGTTACCCTTCTGGCCCTTGATTTAGTTCATGTACCATCTTTTTTATCTTATGTTTAGGAATACTTGTCTGACCTAACTTAACTTATTTCTTGCATGTAACTTCAAATGTGTCTTTTGATTAATTGTTTCTAAAGACCCATTGTACTGACAATTATAAACACATTTTTCCACTCAGCATCTAAGAACAATTCAGAGGGAAAAGCACACAATCAACAGCAGCAGTTACACATTCACCAGCAGTGGTATTGACAAAGGATCAGGCTGATATTGTAGCACAAACAGGAATAGCTTGAAACAAGATGATTGCTTTCACAACCAGGACCCCCTGAAGCAGTGTGGCTGAATTTTGCCTGGGTTTGTCCATCTCACCAAGGAACACATGTTCAGAGACTAGCCCAGCCATTATTTTCTCCAGAGCCAACAAAAACAGTAAGGCTGAATCAATTTCTAGTGGTTTTATCTCTGTATTGTGTAAGAGTACTTTAGGGTAAATAATCTTAAAATTATTTCAGGCCTCTGTGCTAGTGTTTTTTGATTCACTTGAAACCTATACAAGTCCAAAATAAAGGGACATCTCATTTATTTTTTTATATTCATTGATACTCAATGAATATATGAATGAAAAGGTAATCCTATGTGCCTTGCCAGCACAAAGAAATCTCGTCAGTGCATTCAGCACTGGTACCCAGAAAATAAGAGTGTGCCAGAACACAGTGCATCATCTTGCTGACCCATTTGACACAATGAGTCTCCAAGAGATCTGAAGAGGCTTAGGCTAGCTTGTGCAGAAAGGAAAAAAAAAAAAAGCAAAAAAGAAAGAAAGAAAAAGATGTACCAGAAAACCTTGTATGCTAACAGAAGGCAAGCAAGCTGATGCCAGAGGCAGTGAAGAATATTCTGAAGAACAGTTAATCCCCATAAAAAGATTAGACCTCACCATGCTGCCAAGGTCTGTGTCTAGCTGGATTATCAGCTGCATGTGTTGGCTACAAGGGACAGCTTTAACTTGCAACACCTGACTTCCTCAAAATACTCTTTGTTTTGCTTTCATTAATTGGCTCAGCCTCCTGTTTTTTTCTCTTCCTTTGAATCTCTTGACATTTTGTACCCTCTCCTTTCTTCCCAACTCACAGCCATTGAGTGCCTCTTTTGTGTGGCAAGTAATCCATGTAGACATTTCATAAAAAGAGCCCTAGCACTCACTCCTTTTATATTATATCCATGAAAATTTGCATCATAGAGAATATAATTCATTTTGGCATAAGGAACAAAAAGTTTAAATGAAGCTTCAAATTGTAATTGGTTTTATTCCTACTCTTTCAGTGCTTGGAAGCACAAATGTACCTAAACATTCAATTGTTAGGAGTTCACAACTCACACTCTTAATTTTGTTGTCTTAAACACAGCTGTGATTTTTCTCCTTTTCCTGTCATGCACCAAAGTGCTGAGCATTTCCAGTGGCCAATTTGAAAGACACCATAGATAAAGATAACTACTGCTCAGGCTGATGTGAGGGAAATTGTTAAAGTATGTACTTTCCAAAAGCCATTGACTATGATTTTTCAATAGTAAATGTGTCTGACCTGCACTGATACTTCACCAAACACAAACAAAACAGTGAGGAAGTGCCTGACCATTAGTCTTGCTCACTAAAAACCAAATAATCTTGCTTTTTTTATAGTATAGGTGATTGAATGTGTTTATGAAAATATAATAGTCAGTTCAAAGATGAAGACTGTATGAAACTTTATATTGCTCACCATATACTTGGCTTCCTAAAGCCTTCTCCAAACCTACACTTTATACAGATATCCAGAGTTTTACTTCATAAGCTCTATCATTAACTTGTCTTGCCTATACTAGGATTTACATGAAGTCACCAGTTACATCCTCAGAGGCAAAAAATAAAAACCACTGGTTTTGTGTGCAGCACAAATTATGTTTAGTTCACTCTCTGAAGGGTACATAGCACTGGGTGAAACTGAAACAGGCAGACAGACTACTCACATCACACTGTTCACCTGGTATGAGCCCTTTCATAATGCAGTAACACAAGAACGTGACCAGAAAAAAAGTCAAGAGTCACAGACAACAATCAAATGGATTTCTCTATCTGGAACCCTATCCAAGCCTTATTCTGACAGTAAACCATAATCACTAAATCCTTTCTTAGTTCAAAAACTTTCCAGATTTCACCCTGTCATTTGCTAAGAGATAGAAAACACATCTTGCTGTCACCACTGCTAATGGCATCTTGGTACCCAATTTTTTTCACCCAATGCTTTTCAGATATTGCTCTGGACAGGCAAATTTCAGAACCACAGAAGCTGTATGCCCCCATGCAAGGCAAGAATCTGGCCTGCAGCCATTTGGATTATATTAGATCATCCTGTTTCCCAGACAAAAAACAATTCCTTTTAGGACAAAAGCACTGCTGCATTTTAAAGCTTTTCACCTTGGTTTCTTCAAGTTGTCTTTGGAGATTTTTGGGATCCACTGCAATTGGCTCTGAGAGTTGTTTGTTCACAGCTATTTCAGAGGCCTGGAGACCTGACAAAAGTCCAGATGAGGCATCTTCATAATGCTGGTATTTATCCACCAGGTCTTTAAGGTTATTTCCAAGGATGCTACACTAAAAGAGTAAAAAAGAGACAAGCAAATATGCAGGCATTAACTGCATGCTGCATTTCATACCAATCTCAAAGGCAAACATTCATTCCTGTTGTACTGCATCGTTTTTTCCTGCCATCATTTCACTAACTGATTTTTGATCTAAGACATGACAGCTGGACAAGCTATGCAGGTCTTCCCAGTTTGTGTTCCCAAAGGATGATTTAGGATAAAACCACTGATGTGGGTGCAAAACTGGAATCTTACTTGCTGTACTAGAATAGGAAAAACTTCAGGAACAATGTTTGATTCAGTGATATAAAGATTCTTTATCAGAACTCTGGTACCAAAACTGTGGAAAGCAAGTGGAAAGTAGAAATGTAGAAAGCCACTAGAAGCTAGAATTTTTTTTAAATCAGGAGAGATATGTATGCTCATTAAAATACAGACAGTGGAGAACTGTTTTCTTAACTACCTTATCTGCATAGTGAATCCAAAGTGATGTGCCTTGGTATTGGGCATATGCTTTGTTTTATTCACTTTAAAATGTCATCTTAAGAAGATCCTAACTAGTCCTATATGTTAGCATGCACCAAAATGTTTACAGCAAATTGTCACATTAAAAAGTCAGTGAAAATCTTTCAGACTTTCTGGAGATGATTTCACAAGCAAAATCTGATTGTATCAAGTCATAATATTTATAAACAGTTACATTAAATATTTATATTCTGAACCTTCCAGAGACGGTATTTTAATAGTCACAAATGGTACTTGGTCTCCATCTGGTGGGCAGACATAGAACATGCCTGTTTATATAATCAGTTAACCAAGAACTGACTTTAGGATTCCTTCAACAAACAAGCCTATAAAATCATGTCTCACACATGTGAAAATATATATATAAAAAAAGTAAAAGCAACCTAAGTATTTATTAAAAGCAAGAAACTTTAAAAAAGGCAAAAATGGTTACTACCAATTCATTTACAAATTACAAATTTTTCATTTTCGTGGAAAATCTCACTGGTTGAGGACAATCTCACTTTTTAGAATTCTGTCCTTAGAGATACAAAAGGTCTGCTTTGTTCTGCATATTTATTGTCAAATATTTAAAGCATGTCTCTTATAACCCTGCTAAATGTATATATGGAAAGAATAGAATTTGCAAAATAGACAAATCAAGTTGCTGGTATGGGAATTTTAGGTGCATAAAAATAAGCTCTCTGAAAATTTTGCTATGAAATCTTTACATTCATACTCAAAGTAATTCAATAAACCAACTGGAGAAATTAGCTTGTTGAGAGAATTGTCAAATTAGCTGCCCTATTCATAGCAGTTAAGCAGGAAAAGGAAAATGTGCTTCTGTAAATGAACAGCTGTCTTGATAAACTGAGAAAACAAGTTTTATATACTTTTTTCACTATGTAATCAGTCTTTATAGAATTAACATTTCTGAACATGAAAACCTTAAAGAGATAAAAATTTCCAGATAAACGTGGCCACTGTTGCAGGCCAACACTCTACCAGTGGTCATTGAAGCTCTAAGGAGTTTGAACCTATGATCTCAGAAAAATATGAAATAGCACAAGTCAGAGGCTACTGACAGAAACTTCAATGGTTCAATTAATAATTATCTCAGAAGTTTACAGTTCTGGAATATTATCAATATTGAACAACACTTGTTTTTTTTTAAACAGCTGGAAATTGGCATGTGAGATTAGTTGGTGATGTTTGTCTAGTTCTGTCAGGCCGATACCATATGTGAACCTGGCACAGAGAGCTAGATTATCTTCCCTCTCTAAGGTACATGGAGGATTTTGCACTGCTAATTACTCATTAGTTAGACACTAATCTGATATTGTTAAGGATAAAATGTTTAGTTGGCAGAGCAGTGGAAAATAATTGCTGTCCTTAAATCACTAAGTTCTTTCATGCCTAGTGCTGACAACAAAGGTCACATCAGGACAAACTTCTTCAGGATACAAATTAAAATTAAAACTTTGCATGCTATATTTGGCATAATCTCTCTCTTTTTACACTAATTTTATTAGTAGGGAGCCCAGTAAATAAACAGCTTTGGGAAATATTGCAGGTAACATAAAGTAACATTATATATCTGAAAGTATTACAATTTCTTTCCACCCCAAAGCATTACTCAAGGCATTCTGAGCTGCCACAGTCTCAGAGGCTGTTTAAGCCTGAAAAGAAGAATGAAGAACTCTGGTCTCATTTCTTCCTTATAACACAAAGTAGAAAGTATCATCCATTCAGACCTTTAATAGTCTGACATTTAACTAAAGTAGATCTGGAAAAGCATCTTGTTCTGTTATCTTAACTTGAAGAAACAAAGAATTTACAACTTCTCACAGTGTTTGTTTCATCAACTACCTCCTGCCTACACAAACTGCTAAATCAATTATAGCAGTATATTCAGTATAAATAGAACTTACCTTGGTATAGAGAGATTTGAAGTGCTCTGAAGCTCTATCCAGTTTGTTCTGCACTTCAGCATACGTAGCTGAAGTATCAATGCCATCTTTGTCAACCTTCACACCATCTCTTTTGCTACATGACCTTGCAGCATCCAAAACTCTTTGTCCAGAAATTGTGATATAGCGTAAATCACCTTTGTGAGAGATAACATCTTCTGAGAAACTCTTCTGCCTTTTCAGTTTGACCATAATACCACTGAAGTCAGAAGCCCCTGCCTCCAAGTTGTCAAGTTCTTGTTCTGCCTGCTGCAGCCACGTTTCAAATTCACTATAGTCTGCATCGAATTTCTCCAATTCTTCCCTCAGAGAATGGGTCAATTTCATTTTTCGCTCTGATTCAGCCAAAGCAGTCTCATACTGAGCCTTCAGCTCTTTCATGTTCCTTTGCATCTTGTCCTTTTCTTCAGGGGTAAGGTAATGCCCTTGCTTCTCAAGCAGTGCCTGAGCAGACTGAGTTGCTACTATGATAGCCTGCTGCTGTGAAATAATTTTCTCATGTTGAGCCTACAAATAAAAGAATAAATTACAACCAGCACCCTCGCACATGGTTCCTTAGTAAAGGACATGTAGAACAAAGACCATCAAAATGATAAAGGTTTTTCTAATGTTAATATTGTTTATTATAAACCCAACATTTTGTCAGTAATTTAAGTGAAAGTGTGACTCTTAGTCACCATATTTCTGTGAAGTTAAAAAAAAACTACAAAATATTCAATAGTAATTTTTTTTCCAGAAGGCCATGACCATATGGCAATGTTCAAGTATCATTGCAACTCAGCAATACCTAGATGCATATATCACACAAACATTTTCCCCTGTAATTCCAAAACACAACTTTGTAGAGCAAAACTACACTTTGTCAATCTCTTTAATGTTTTTCCTAACAAAATTAATTTGCTGATTACTTAGCATTTATGGTAGTGTACTTAGTGTAATCAAAATTTTCCTAATTCTCTGTCTCAAAATGGGATTTAAAAAACAAAACATTCAATGGTAGGGAACTTTCCAAATCAAAACTCTCCATGTCCCATTACTTATATTGTAGCTACCATTACAGACAAGCACACCTAAAGGAGTAAAAGCATCAAACATAGTACTGATACTTTCTTCTTACACTCAGTGAACAAAAATTATTACTTGGGTTTTGAAATTGCATTTTTTCAAAATCAAGAGCCATGATTCTTATCAAATATAGTTAGTTATAAAACAGGCCCAGTTGACATTAAAAATCAAGACACAATCTGTGCTTTCAAATTTTTCAATCCCATTAAAATATTTAAGTCCAGGAACTGGTACTATATTCCAAATGAAAAGCATATTTCAAATAGATTCTTTCAAACAATTCTTCACTCTTAAATGTCTCCCATGAAAAATAGCTATGTAAAATAAACAGTATGCTTTTCTTCCATGACTACAGTGGCCAATTATTTTGTAGGCACTAGGTGCAGAAATTAACTGTCAAAAAAACAGAAGTAAAAATATGATCTATACCAAACCCAATAATCCTATTTTCTCAGGTTGCCTTTGGGTTTTTTTTTTTTTAATAAAAAAGAAAATCCAAAATACTATCAGCTACAAGCCATTTTTTTTTAAGGTTTCAATCAACTCACACCTAAAGGTTCTTGGTTTCTCAGCTGCAAGTCAGCAAATGAAACTAAAGTCTTATTATTTTAAATGCTTCCAACTTACCAGGAAAATCTATTTTAAAAATGCTGCACTGTAATTTTATGTAACTCATCCTTCTGAAGCCTTGAAACACTGCTTTGCCCATGTGTTAAAGTTGTAGGAAATGAAAACTATAATTTCAGTAAATATTATTTGCAGCAATTTGCAATCTGTAGTCACAAGGGATTAAAAGGGGATGAATCATCTAGGTATCACAAAGATTTTTGAAAAAGTCACATAAAGAATATGAATTTATATTGCTACTTTTTGCATTTTGTTTGCTGGTACCAATTTCTCACTACAAAAAATAATAGGCTCACCACAAAGATTCTTTACATTTACCTTGCAGAATGTGTCCTTTGTCTTATTTTGCAGGAAACAACTACAGTAATGGCAAAAAAGTGACAAATATGCAATACATTCTAACCACTGAAATTCCTAGCACTGTGTATTACTATCTTCCTAGTACTTGCTCCAAAGTCTAGGACAGACAGGATGAGATTGAGTTCACTTGTGTTGAATAAGGAGTGATACTCCTAAATGTTGAATAAACCCAAGAACAATACCTTGACTTTCTGATACTGCTGGTTCAGGTTATCATCTATGCTTTTCACTAGTCCATCCACCTGAGTTTCAATGTCTTGCTGCATTTCCAGCAGATTCCCATTAACATCATCCTCCTCTCCTTCCAAAACTTTCACATCTCCTTCTTCAAAGTGTGTTCCATTCTGTTCTATCACTTGCTTAAATTTCCGGCCATGCTCCGCTTCCTTATCCACATTTGATAACCAATCCAAAAGATTTTCTATTGTATTTTTACTTTCTTCCAGCTGTTCTATGGCTGCAACCTATGATGAAATTTCACAGTTTCAATTTAGAAATCTTCTTTAAAGATCACAAAATATCAAATAAGTGTAAGAGTAAACCATTTACAATGTATTAACACCAAAGAAAATGTTTGATTAATATAAAGGTTGCTGTTTATTCTATGAGAGAAAAAACCAACAGTTCATTAGTTACCCAAATGAAATATGATATTAACCTCTCCACAATTTATCAATATGTATTGGGTTTGCTTGGACAGGTTTTGGAATCAGGGGGGCTGCAGGAGTGACTTCTCTGAGAAGCTGCCAGAAGCTTCTTTCATGTCCAACAGACCCAAAGCCAACCAGGTCCAGCATGGACCCACCACTTGCTAAGGCCAAACTCATCAGCAAAGGCGGTATCAACTCTGGGATCACATAGCAATAGGGTAAAAAAAATGCATGAAAAACAGCAGCAGCCTGAAGAGAGTGGTGAGAATAAGTGAGAGGAACAGCTCTGCAGACCCCAAGGTCAGGGCAGAAGGAGGGGCAGGAGGTGCTCCAGGTGCCAGAGCTGAGATTCCCCTGCAGGCCCTGGTGCAGCCCATGGTGAGGCAGCTGTGCCCCATGGAGGGCCACAGGGGTGTAGAGATTCACCTGCAGCCCATGGGGGTCCAGGGGATGCAGAGATCCACCTGCAGCCTGGGGAAGATCCCATTCCAGAGCACATGGATGACCAAAGGAAGTCTGTGACACTGTGGGAAGCCCACACTCAAGCAGGCTTGTGGCACAACACAAGTGTGACCCCGTGGGGTCATTCCACATACTGGAACAGGGTGCCTGAAGGACTGCACCCCGTGGAAGGGACCCTGCTGCAGGCCTTGGGAAGGACTCAGGTTGGACAAGTTCATAAAGGACTGGCTTCTGTGTGAAGGACCCCACACTGGAGCACAGGAAGAGTGCAAGGAGTTCTCTCCTTGAGGAGGAAGGAGTGGCAGAGACAATGTGTGATGAACTGACCACAACCCACTTTCCCCATCCCCCTGGCATCTGTGGTGGGAATGAGAGAGAGAACTCCAGAGCTGAGCTCAGGAACAAGGGAGAGGTGGAGGGAAAGTATCTTTAAGATTTTGTTTTTATTTCTCATTATCCTGTTCTGATTTGATCAGTAATAAATTAATTTCCCCAAATCAAGCCTGTTCTGCCTGTAACAGCAGCTGTGAGTGATGCGTCCCTGCCCTTATCTCAACCCACAAGACTTTCATTAAATTTTCTCTTCCTGTCCAGCTGAGGAAGGAAGTGATGGAATGGCTTTTTGGCACCCAGACAAGGTCAACCCACCACACAACAGTTATATTGCACAACTAATATCATAAGACATGAAAAAGGTTTGAATAAAGGAATGAAATGGTTGCCTAAAAACCTTTTCTGTTTCCTGCTTAATTGCCGTTGTCATAGCTTTATCCAGTTCTTTTTTGGACTCTTCTGCCTTCTGGCTAAGGAGCAAACACTTTGTCTTAGCTTCATTTAGTTTCTGCTCCAGAACAGTCTTGTCTTCTTGTGACAACTTTTCTCCATTCTCTTTCAAGAAGGCTTCAGTATTTTTCACAATCTCTGCCAGTGTCTGGGCACTTGTTCTCATGTCTTTTTGGATCTCCTTTTGATAAAAAAGAAAGCAAATAGCAGTAAGTAAATTATTAATTAGATCTTTCCAATTAACTTTATTGGAACTATCTCTCTTCCAGTTGTAAGCACCACACTGGTCCTTCCTAGCTGCACATGATACATTAATAAATTGCAGACAATTATTAAAATCAAAGGCAAACATCTGAAAATGTTGTTGCAGCACAATCTAATTTTTTTTTTAATTGCAAATCTGTTTGCTTACAGTCCTATTCAGACTGAGCTCACTTTTTTCCCTTTAACAGTTTAAATATTGGGTTTCTACATATGCAGAACATATATTTATTTTATTAGAAATCAAGGCTCAAGTAAATCTGCTACACTGCAGTTAGTAAAGTGAGTCTCCTGACAAATTCTGGTCCATTACCATCCTGACAGAAAGCTGCTGAAAATAAGTGGGCTGAACAGAAGTCAGAAAATTGTAATCATCTTTCCTGGGTAAAAGATTTCCCATATTTCTTGAGTTTGTTCAGGCCAAAGATGGCATACAATTTTTTTTTACTTCCATTGTAACCAATCACAATATTTCAGTCTCTCAAGAATGTTTACTTCCATTGATTTTCATAGTTTTCTTCAGTTTTAATTTACCCAAAGCAGTTTTCCTGGTCTGCCTCCCAATTATCTCAGAGGAGCTTTAATTGTAATGATTACACTGTAGAATACATTCCCCCAGTTACTGAAACAATGACATTTTTCACCTTGTTGTACAGTGTAACAATCTTGGAGATGCAAGACAGAACATTTGATCCTCATTCTAGACCACAGATTTTGCAGCAATTTTAGAGTGCAGCAGCTAAAACTGCAGCTCATTTTAACACTTCAGCAGGTACATTAGAAATATTTTCCTGGGGACTCTGATTCAAGAAAAGCTTCTCCTATGACCAAGATCTCTGTGCTCCTTTTCAAACAGCACACTGAGGATGAAAGCTCTGACTTGATACAGAAAACACTGGTTTTAATCCCCATTCCATCCTAAGGCACTTTTTGAATGGTGATTCCAAGAAATCAGTCAGAAAATAACAACTAGTCTGCTAGGAAATCACAAACAGCTGATGGGGGAAAAAAAACGAGGCTGTATCAGTTCTTGACTCCCCAAGAGTACCCCATTTAGGCCATAAATCCTTAAGACAGGTAAGAGATATTAAAAGCTACCCCAGGGGTGTCTGACTGACTGCAAGAACAATTTTGACAAACTAGATACATTACTTCAAAGATAAATAAAGCAAGGCAAGATGAGTAAGGAAATTTCTCCTTTTACAGAGTGGGAGCTCTACAGTATAGTAAACTAGTATTAGGAGGAGGAAGAAGGAGAGTACCAAACCCTTCAGTCCTTTAACTATCATAAACTCAGTTTCTATCAGGACAGAGTAAAAGCCTAGAGATTACTGGATACAGCTGAAGAGCAAGGAAAGCAAACTTGTTCAAAGGGGTTTGGTACATGAAGATATCAAAGAGATTGCAAGAAACACTAAGAACCACAATTCAAAACAAAGCAATGGAAAGCCTCAGGCAAGAGAAAACATTGCAGCAAAATTTTACAAAGTACTGTGAACAGGAATAAACACTTCCTGATGCCAGTTAAAAAGCTGGCTAAATCATTTTAGCATAATAAACATGTGTGATTTTATCACATTCAACAGGAACAATCTTAAGCTAATATATTAACAAAATCGACACCTGCTTCAAGAGTGCTTCTTGAAATGTGTAGCACATACTCCCTACTCTAGTGTCTCCTCATTTGGAAGTTTCTCTTCTCCCACTGGCACACACTGGGGTGTATTCACAAGCAGCAGTTTAAATGCATGCCACTAAGCCTTTACTTTTGGTAGGTCAAACAAATCTATTTTATTCTCTCTCACATGACAAGCCTTGTTTCTCAACAAAAGAGTCGAGTCACTCTCCTCTGCACTCAGCCCTCTTTAACTTCTCTGTTAGACTAGAACTGTGCCTACCTCCTGTTTGGTCTGGTATTGTTCCAGCTCAGCCTTGCTGTCTCCAATGCCAAGGGACTGTCGCTGCCCAATGAGTCGATTTTCAGTCTGTGTAAGCAAGTCACAGATCTCCTGCAGCTTCTCCTTGCACTCCTGCTGCCGCTCAGCCACATCCTATATTAGAGCCAAGTACAATTGAACAATAAGACAAAAAATCCTCACTTCGGGAACCAACACTCTAATAGATATTAGAAATCTTTGAACATCAATTTTGCAAAGCAATTATTTTTAAAGTATGCTGTAAACATGATAGCAGTGGTACAAAGAGCAAGATGAACATACAGAAGTTATGGATAAACTTCAAATATGTTTTAAGTAAAAGAGACCATGTTTGATGGAATTGCCCAATAGAAGTCTGGCCATGCACATATGTGAAGGATGAAATCTCCAAACAGCAGGAGTGAAAATCCAGTCTCTTAACCACTTGAAACCTGTGATAAACACTATTAATTCTGAAAAAAAGGACATCAAAACAGAGGTTAGTTGTGAATGTGAGTTAGCTATTTTTGGTATGCATAACATGTTACCTGAATAGAAACTGTGAACTTTTTAAGCAGTAGAGAAGAACAAAACATGCAAGCTCATTATTGTTACAAAGTCCTAGAAAACTTATCTGTGCCTTTCCTATACTCAATTTTATGCTTCTTTCACAAAATATAGTAGAAAGAAATGTTCTTGGAATGGCAAAATAATACAAAGTCTTCGGAATAATAAAGCACTTTTATTTACACATAAACCAGGGGCTGAGGTGGTGATTCTGAGTCCTAGCAGTGCTTCTATGAGAGAAGAGGAGGTGCTGTTCACCTGCAGCATCTTATCAGCCTCTTTTGACTCTACAAAGGCTGCTTACACTTGCTGAAGAAGTAACTGGCCCAACTTGACTCACAGGTTTCCCAGTGCCCACACCTAGAACTGCAAGTACCTTGGCTCATTCACTCATATGTTCTCCCTCCAACCCATCTCAGTCAAAACAATCCATGCTACACGGATTTTAACAAATCTCGTTCTTGGACTAGAAAATCTAGAGAAAAGATCACATAAGAAGATGACCTGGCAAATTCAAGAGAAAGAAAATGTTCAGCAAGACCAAAGTGTTACGGAATGGTGCAGTAGCAAATTCAGTGATCAATATAGCTCAGATCAATTACTGATAGAGCTGCTGAAGAAACAACACTTGTGAGAAACCTCAAGTAAATTTCTCTCATTGCTAGAAAGAGCAGACCTGTGTCTGTTCTCAATTTAATATGCTGTTTCTGTGAGTATAACAAAGAAAGACAAAAATGATAATTCACCAAATTTCATCAATATCATTTTTGGAGAGCTACAAATGTATCTGTAGTAAAAAGGGAAAAGATAGAAATACACCCAATATTGCATGCTGGTATAAAAATTCCTCATCCATAGACAGAAACATTCAGCACACATTTATACAGAAAGGCAAACCTTCTGATCACCCAGCTCTTGCACTGCCTGTAACTGAGCCTCTAAACTTTCCACTTGAGAAGTTACTGCTTCCTGTGCTTCCTGAAAAGATTTCTGGGTGGTATTTAAGAGCCTCAGTAGCTGTTTGCTCTGATTAGGAGAAAGATCTTCAGCATGTTCAGAAATGAAGAACTGAACATCAAAAGCAGTGGACTCCAGTTGCATTTTTTTACAGCTGAGCTCTGCAGCACTGTTCTGTAAATGAAGTTAAGGGAATTACTAGCAAGAAAAATTGGGTACAAATAAACCATAAGTATGCCTACCATCTCTTCTTAGCCCTTATCCCAAAATGCTTTTGGTATACAATTTAGCCATGGAAAATCAAAACTCAGAATCATACTGCCACATTCAGGTATGACATTAGAACTTGCACATGGTTTGCCTCAGGACAGCTTGTGTCCAATGAATAAAATATGCGATCTTGTACATCTCTATTTTTGAAATAGATTTTTGAAAATGGACTGACCTTCAACTCTAAAAGATTTATGGCAGGTAGATGTAACATTTCTAGGTGACATCTGGTCTGAAGATCCAGAAATTTTAAAACATATACTTGAAATCATTCCTATTCTTAACTCCACAGCAGGAATGTCACCATTTCTAGCAATGTGGCAAATTCTACCAACAGCTACATACTGTGGAGCCCCTATGACCATACCATTTCTCTGGAACTCTATTTAAGCACATTAAAACAACTAAAATAATTTTTATTGTTAATACATAAAAGTATATGAACTTTACTAAAAATTTGATCTGCTTTGTTTGCCATTACTCATTTTATGGAGTATGTAATGAAAAAACCTTTTTATCTTTTCCCATCTTGTGTTCTCACATAGAATTAATTTGGAAGACAATTAAGCTTCAGTTAAATTCTGAACCCAATGCATAAAAATTCAATTTTAATCACTGAAATACTTGTATTACATATTAGATTTCTAAAAGGCTCAGATTTATGGCAACAAATGTAAGTAGAACCAATAGCATTCTCAGTAATCCTAACTCTATGAAACTTTATTTGCAAGTGAAAAAGCAAATCAACAAGATTTTATTACTGGATTATCTAATTGTTGTCTTCTTAAGTAATTACTTCTAGTCCTCTCTTTAGGCCATAGAGATTATTGAGAAGGAATAAAAAACCTAGCTAATAATTAATAATAAGGACCAATATTGAAACATCAACACCTGCCATAAAGAGAACTTACTTTAAGTAGCTGTAAACTTTTCTTCATCTCTTCTATATCATTAGTATTCACTGTGAAGTCATTCATGATTTTATTTTTCTCTGTGATCCAGTCTGAAAATCTCTGCAGTTGGTTAAAAAGTTGCTGGTGTGATCCTGCAAGCTTAGACTAGAAAGGGAATTTGTATATTTATTTATGCTCCTGTAGTATACTCACATTTTCTACCATATTAAATTGAATCATACATGTATCTTTATACTAGGATAAAATAAAGAAAATCCAAATTCCTTTATTTTAGCCCAATTGCCTTGAAGAAAATCAAGGTAAAAACATACCATTTCCAAGTCAACAGCGCAGACTATTTGTTTTGCTCGTTTTGAAGATCTATCACAGACCTCCAAAAATGCTTCCTGCAAAGAGTCATAGCTTATCTTTAGCTCTTTAAGCTTCTCTTCTGGAATATCCCTGTTACAAGACTTTAAGAATTCTTCTGCCAGCTTCATGTCCTTTTTTAGGATAACTGCAAAGGTAGCCAGTCCTGATTCAAATGACTACAAAGAGAATACATCAAAAATGCTTTAAGTTACTAGGAAAAATGTTTAAATCTGAGTTGCTTTAATTGCATTTTGAATCTCCCTTTTTACACCTAACGGCTATATTCAGCACCCATCACTGAAGTACAAGCATAAAGAACACTTTACTTACCTCTAGCTGTTCCAGTTCAGCTTTTAGTATTTCCAGGCTGTTACTAATAGTCTGCTGTTTATCTAGGTGGTTTTTCATATCTTGAAGCACTGCCAAATGTTCTTGCATTTTCTCTGTTAACTTTAAACATTGCTGTACTCCATCAAACTGAAAATGAGTTTTAAAAATAAGATTTTCCAAACTGACTTGAAAATAAGCAATAAAATTCTTTGGATTTATTATGATTTATTTTACATTTATAATCTAATTTTTCAACCATTTTTCCAGTTCAATTGTTCTCTCCACCACTTGGAAAGATCCATGCAATTCCACTAACACGGGACACTGAACACATATTCTTGTTACTTACCATGCTAGTGGGGGTGTCTCCCATGACTGCTTCTTCTGTTTTCAAAGCAGGCTCAGTAAAGCCTTTGGACAGGCTTTCCATCTTCCCATGCTCCTGATCACTTTTCCAAGCAGTGGTTCTGTTATCTGCCAATGTTTTCTCTTCATCAATTTCTGATCCAAGCTCTGATTGTTCTGTTGAGGAGAGAGAATGAAGCCCATCTCCTTTGCCTTTACCCTCATGCTCTGTGGCAGTACCAGCAACCTGTGAGCTCCTAAGCAAACCATTTATCAGCTCCTCTAACTTGCTTGTACTTTCATCTCCAAGTGAGATTTGAAAAATTTCCAGAAGTTCATTGGTAGCAAGCTTGGGAACAGGAGCTTTCATGTCTGTTTCATTCTTCCTTTCATCTGAACCAGCTGTCTTTTGCTTGCAGGATTCATGCTTCAGAATATCATGAAGAAGATCAGGACTTCTGCAATCAGGCCGAAGCAGTGAAGGAGCATCACTGTCCTTGGGCTCTGCACACAGCGTGGTGACCATTAATGCAGTTCTAACAGCATTGCTTATTTGCTTCAGATTTGACCCACTAGACATTTCACTCTCAAGCTGAGTGCTTCTAACCATTTTAAGTAGATTTTGCATTAAAGTTCTGGTATCAGAGTAACTTAGGGGTTCACATTCCTGCTTGCAGTAAACCTGTCCCATTTTCAATTTCTTTTGTAATATACTCTGTAAGTCTTCCATTGGCATGTCAGACACATCTGCTGATTGTGAAATACCTTCCTTTACTTGAAAGTCTTCGCAGGGTCCCATTTCTTTTTGCAACAACTCCATGGACATTTGTTTTTTGAAACCATTTCCAAGGGAGGAAGTGTCACTGACCATGACATTTTCTCCCTTTGTGCTTTTCAGCATCTCATGCTTGTTCTGGGCACTGTAATTCAACTTAGCCCCCATGCTACTCAGAATTGCAGAAGAAACACCAGTGGTATGGATATGACTCCCAGTAGGTTGCACTTCACTTCCATCCCTTAACTCTTTGGTATCCTCAATACTTCCTAAAGCATCTGGTTTTGTGGAGGTAATTTCACTATCACTGCTGCTTTTGTTTTCTGGAATGCCTTTCAGAACATTGTTGTCGGTATTTTGACAGTTAAGCCTCCCTGTTTCTTTAGTTATGCTAACCTCCTTTGGTGTTGCTGTATCAGGTGGAGGAAAAGAGTAAATGTTACATTCACTTGAATGCATTTCTTCCATATTTAGCAGAGAATCCTTTTCATTTCGTATACCTTTTTCCCCTCTTTCCATGTTCTCAAAACAGAATTCAATTTCACTGAATTCTGAATGGCCACCTCCTTTTATGCATGTTGTATGTTGCTTTAAAGCAGGAGAAATGCTACCACCTCTATTAAATT